AACATCAAAAAAATTACATCGCAATTTTTCAGCAAAAGGTTGGTCGGTTTCTGTCACTTTGAAGGAATGTTTTCACTGAAAAGCATTCAGATTTATCCTGCTTTATAAACTTTGTTTGAGCCAAGTGGTATTAAGTAGACAAAACTGTTAGTTTAAATTAAAAAGCGACATTTATCAGTATATTACCGATGGGTTTTATCGGTATATTACTGATGGGTTTGTATTCCGTCCGTATGAGATTAAATATTTTCCTCCCCCTAAGAAAAATAAATCTCAGCAATGGTAAAGAATCCTTAAAAAAAAATTCCTGGATCCAAAACCAGATCCGCATCACTTCCAAAATCTAATCGATTTGTACTTGTACCAATGACCACCCCTAAAAAAAAAAGCATTAAAATCCGTCCAGAACTATTTGAGTTATCTTGATAACAGAAAAACTAACCAGCCAACCAACCACTGAACAAACTAACCAACGCCGATGAAAACAAGCTCCTTGGCGGAGGTAATTCTGTATCTTACTATAATTCAAGGAATCTCTGTCTGTCTGTCTGTCCGTCGATTATCTCCAGAACCGGGCACCGTATGCGGTTGAAAATCGGTGGGTATATTTTTCGGGACAACAGAATGTGCAGTGCAAAGTTTGAAGTTGTTTGGACCAGCGGTTCTCAAAAAAGCTGCAAAAAAGCAGTATTTTCTGAGGACGTGGCAGTATATAGCTTAGAACATAACACCCGCACGCACTGCCGTTCTTTTCAATTGTTTACGTCATGTTTAAGCTAAAGCGCGCGTGCTCAATATGACGCAAACAATGCAAAAAGGACGGGCACGCGCACGTGCATTGCAGGGCGATACATTGTCCAGTACGGGTGAATACTAATGGCAATGGGTGAATAGCACTGCATACCATGTTTTCGTATGTACACGGGCACATTATTTTTGCAGTCGACTGAGCGACCATTGTAGGTGGTCGAACTTCAAACTTGGCAAAAACTTTGACGCAAAAGTGTGCGTTCAACCTTTGAAAACAACACCATTGAATCGCGTGCGTTGTTTGCACGAGCAGTTCTCAAAAACTCTGCAAGTATGCAACCTATACCAGCGGCAAAGCAATTTGCGTTTCCCGAACATGCACATTTTAGACGGGCACTGCACTAGTCTTACTATAATTCCAGGAATCTCTGTCTGTCTGTCTGTCCGTCGATTATCTCCAGAACCGGGCACCGTATGCAGTTGAAAATCGGCGGGTATATTTTTCGGGACAACAGAATGTGCAGTGCAAAGTTTGAAGTTGTTTGGACCAGCGGTTCTCGAAAAAGCTGCAAAAAGCAGTATTTTCTGAGGCAAACGTGGCAGTATATAGCTTAGAACATAACACCCGCACGCACTGCCGTTCTTTTCAATTGTTTACGTCATGTTTAAGCTAAAGCGCGCGTGCTCAATATGACGCAAACAATGCAAAAGGGACGGGCACACGCACGTGCATTGCAGGGCGATGGGTGAATAGCACTGCATACCATGTTTCCGAATCTACACGGGCACATTATTTTTGCAGTCGACAGAGCGACCATTGTAGGTGGTCGAACTTCAAACTTGGCACAAACTTTGACGTAAGTGTGCCTTCAACCTGTGAAAACAACACCATTGAATAGCATGCGTTGTTTGCACGAGCAGTTCTCAAAAACTCTGCAAGAGTATGCAACCTATACCAGCGGCAAAGCAATTTGCGTTTCCCGAACATGCACATTTTAGACGGGCACTGCACTAGTTCCTTCAATATTGGTTGGAATAGGGGGTCGTAATACAGTTCTCTTTTTATTTTTCACATTGGGAAATGAAGGGTGTTCAGATTTGAATAAGACTCACCTAGCTTGGGGGCCTTGTAAGGGTGGCTTGAGATTCCGCTCATCCTTAGCGGAATCAATCTGGCGATGGACATATCCACTTGGGGACACCAACCGGGAGCCAGTCATGGGCTGACCGGCATTCCGTGATCTTGGGCGGGTGTCACCTCCCCGTGGATTCTCGCTCCCGACATGAGCCGAGTGCGAACACCGTCCTCGGACGGTGGCAGAACCGTAGGGACCGCAGGTGCCGAAGCGCTGTTTGCCGTCTGCCGTCGAGGGATCCGAGTCACACGCCTTTCTGAATGATCAAATTAAACAACAAAATAAAAACATCGCAATAATCAGCAAAAGGTCTGTCGCCTTGTGTCACTTTCAAGAAACATTTTTATTGAAATGCATTCAGGTTTATCCTGCTTCAAACATGAACTTTGTTGGAATTAAGGGGACAGGTAGGTTTATGATAGTCCAGCGGATATGTGACAAAATATCGATGAATTGTGCACTTTTGCATAAAAGCGTGAAACTTGGCACAGATGTTTATATTCATGCGAGAAAATGTTTTAGATGTGGAGCCATCGCAAATTTACCCTTTTAGGGGCGTGGCATCCATTTAAAAAAAGGGGCGGGACTTGTCGTGCCAGCAGTGAAAATGGTTTTTCCCACTTGTTACAAAAGCAGGAAACTTCACAAAGACATAATTATATAGATTATTAGTGTTTTCCAGATTCGGAGCCACCACAATGATGGCTTAGTTTGAATTAAAAAGCGACCTTTATCAGTATATTACTGCTCGGTTTGTATTCCGTAGGAATATTCCACTTTTTCAGGAGTTAGTATCACGTTGTATGGTTTTTGGTTCCTTTGTGTTGGATTCCATCAATACAAAAAATTGTCTTCAAACATTGGAAAAGGGGAATGAGGCAATCTAGGTGCTAACAATATTCTGCCTCAACAGAAAAATACAAAATCTCATCAATGGCAAATAGGTTAAACTCTTACTGTCTGATTTATTGTACTATCTTTTGAACATAAATATACAAAGTGATACAAGATGTAATAGAAAAAACAAAAATACCAAAATAAAGGAGGATATGGTCAATAACATTGACGATAACGTGATTTAGAATTTCTTTTTCCAAATAATAAAATAAAGAAATTGTTGAGGATGAAATATGAAATTGAAGGACTTTCTGGATTCCATTTCTTCTAAAGAAACGCTGCTACAATAGCCTTGACTACAGGGTCACCTGGGAGCAAGTTGAAAATAATTTTAACAGAAAATGTCCGATGGTATGTTTTTAATTAAAAGTTACTTACTTGTAACTTTCCGAAAAGGCTGCTGCGTACGCGCTTGCGTAGTTGTACATCCTGAATCGCTATATTCTCCGTCAAATCGTCACTTTCGAGCATCCGAAAACGCACCAAAGCAAAAAACCGTGTTCACTGATCGAAACACAAACACCAACTAACGTAATGTTACCAAGGCGCGGCAGAAGTTGCCGATACAGTTACAAGTTTGCGCGCACGTCATTGTGACGTCATAAAAACAAATCCGGGATTTCGATCTGAAGCGTGTGCAACGCTTCGGATTTTTTTGGCCAAGTGCCAACAGGGTCCCGCGGGGTAGAATCACCCTCACATACCCCTCCCCCCCCCCCTCCCACGTTAGTATAGCCGCGCCTACTCTAGCCTTTTCAGACTGATTTCTTTTTGATAACTTTTTCTTCAGAAAAAAATCCGTTCCCCCACGCAAATATAAAAGTTTGCCAATTGTTGATGCCTTTTCACACGGGAAATTAGAAGCGTTGAATTAACACCACTGACATACAATCCCTTCTTTAGTCGATTGAGATTAAACCTAGCAATTTAGAAACATGGAACACTACTCTGGCAAAAAAAATTCATTTTATAAAATAACAAAGCGTAATTTCAGTGCAGAAATGAACCCACTTTTGAACTTCCACAAGTTTCCACAGCGCCCTCTATAGTTTCTCGCAGATATGAGCTAAACCTTTAGTACGGTGTCTTCAAAACGACGTATTTCTCTTTATAAATGACTTCGTTTCCTGTTTTTTTGTCCTACAGTTTTAAATTAATATGGTATTTATTCTTCAAAACTTAATCATGCACAAAAATTCAAGGGTTGTAGTGCGAATATTTTACTAGTAAAACTGGTTGGGTCTCGAAAAGTTGTTTAATATTCGATTTCTGAATCCCTGTCCATTTTTGTATTTGTCGCGTTCCATATTTCATCGCACGGTATATATACGACACGTTGCAAATACCGGTAACAGGTCATCTCGTACCTTGGGCAACTCGTACCTTGGACAACTCGTACCTTCAACTCGACGTCATTATACCGAGTCGTACCTTGGACAACTCGTACCTTCGGCAAGTCGTACCTTCAGTTAAGACGACTCGTACCATCACGCGTAAGTCAAGTCGTACCGTCAGTCAGGATAATGATCCGAGGCTGAATAAAGTGGACCGTAACTCATTGAAAGTGGACTGCTTATTAAAATAAAGGCGAATCTCTTTTTGGTATGGGCTCTCTTTCCCCCCAAAAGAGGAATTTATTTAGCGCGAAGCCGGCCGCGGCAGGTTACACGCACTGTGTGCGCGGCATGCACAGGCCCACGCGGTCGTTTGCGGTCAACCTACGGTAGCCATCCGTGCAAAGTTACACGGTTCTTGCGCCATGTACATGTAATTCCATTAAAAACAGAATGGCAATGCCGCGCGCGCCGCGCAGGCCGGCTGCTTCCGAGTCACCGGTATCGGTACCGCGCACGACCGACCGCTGCTCGCGCCCTCGGAGGCCGGCCCGGCAGTCAATTTCGTTGCCCTGCCATGCCTGCGGCAGGCCCAACGCGGAAAATCACGCTGCCTGGCAAAGCCATTAGATATTGAATGTGGTTCTGTGGGATAAAAATTAACTTTGACTTGAAAAGAATCGAATCGTTTCGGAGTCATGTCACGCACGTACTCTACTTTTTATTCTGATGGTACGAGTCGTCTTAATTGAAGGTACGAGTCGTCCAAGGTACGAGTTGTCCAAGGTACGAGATGTCCAAGGTACGAGTTGTCCAAGGTACGAGTTGTCCAAGGTACGAGTTGCCCAAGGTACGAGTTGACTCGTACCCGCATATTTGCAAGCGTGCACATTCTGTATCAGAGCATCAGCATGATAATAATGGCGGAATTAATGAATGAAAATGAAACCGCTCCTCCGGTTGAGAGCGTCCAATCAAACCAAGAGGAGACGGAGGCAAACGATGACGTCGGAGCCGGTGAAAGTGACCTCGGGAGGTACAGGTCACCACGTTCTACGGTCGATGATGCGCATAATGACGATGAATTTGTCGTCGGTGCTGTTTCAGGAAATGAGCCGGCGGTCGTTGATGGGGATGATGGCGGCGATGATGGCGGCGATGGGCAGCAACATGGTGGGGTAGAACCCGTCCAAGGTGACGGTTCGTCCTCCCACCAACCACTCGACGTCATGGCCAAGTCTTCGCTGAAACAGAGGAGTTCCAAAGCAAGACGGAACAACTCGGTGGACAACAACGGCGCGAGCAGCAAAAACGGCAACGGGGATTGCGATGACTGTGACGGTACCATGCAGAATGGTGTACGTGGCGAAAGAGTACGCACCTCGACAACCAAGAGAACATTCCCCGTCGGCTTCAAGACATTCGCTTTGCTCGTTGTACTGTGTTTCCTACCCATCGGTTACCTGTGGTACAAGGATGTCTTGGCTAAGCAGGTGTCCACCAAGTTGGATGCGCCGCGAGTGATTGAAGATGATGCCGGCAGCGCTGTGAAGTCACCGCGGAGGTTTTGGGGAACCTATCGGCCGGGAGTGTATTTCGGTACGATCATTATCACAGATCAGTTGATGAGCTTTTATTTTTATACTTATTTGGAAGGCAAATTTTTTTTGTTCGATTTAATATGGTGACATGCTCAACTTCAGAAAGAGCAGGATTCTGAACAAAAGAGTCGAAAAAAATTGTTAAAAATCATCTTCTTCTTTTTTTAAGTTTAAGGCTGTATTTGGGTTTTCCTGGCTTTAGTTAAAGGAGTTTATTTATTTTTGCCATTGGGTTTTATTTTGGGCGAAATCGAAAAATCTAAATATGTGTACCTTGTCACAGTGACTTAATTAGTAACTAGTAAATAATAATGTGCTTATATAGCGCTTTATACAAATGGTCTCAAAGCACTTTACCAACGAGCTACCGAAGCGATCTGATGGGATGGGCAGTCGTAAATCTGACATACATTCGCATTGTGTTTTTACAATGCCGCAACGATAGTATTTGAAACTGCTGCGGCATCCCAATAGTCTTGAAAACTACCTAGGGCTAAAGACGATTTGCTTCAGAGTTGCACAATTCATTTTGGAACAACGAAAAACCCTTTTAGAACTGAAGAGACACTGGGGTCCTAAACTATATTTTTACCACAATGATAAGGAATCACATAGATATACTCCATAGCATTATTAACTAGTGTAGTGTTTCCAGAGCTTCAGCCCTCTACATTTTGTGTTTCTTTTTTTTTTTGATGAAATTAATCCTTCATTTTTTACCATCACAGGAATGAAAACGAGGAGTCCACATTCCCTGGTGACTGGCTTGATGTGGTTCACCCAGTTTGGCAAAGAGAGGCAGTTACCGGTTCGCCACACATGCGAACAAGGAGATCAGTTGGCAAGGTGGGGGACTAACTTAGCCTTGTTACACCCCAACTAGACCATAGGTCCCAACTTTACTTGGGACAGTCCCAACTTTAATTGGGTCTGTCCCTACTGAAGTCGGAATAGTTCCAGTTTAAGTTGGGACCATAGTTCTAGTTGGGGCATAACAGCCCTTATTAACAAGTTCACGTCAGAGGCCGTGTTAACATGCACTGGCTGTTTATATACACAGGCACGGCTGCGAGGTTAAAACGTCAAGCGTGCCTCGACTCATGTCATTTGTACACACACACAAAGTCTGTGAAGTCTGTGGAGGCAGACCGTGTGTTGATCTTGAATTGGCCGCTGTGCACAGCCTGTTGTTCTACAATACACTCCGTTGCACATCCCGGAGTGTTGACAAATATGAGGTTTCGGCAAGAAATAGGCTATCGTACTTGATAAATACTGTTGAAATGACTCTTGCGAATCAGTTTGGCTGTATATCAGAAGTTAGCTGCTATATTTTGCTTGTTTTGAAAATCGAAAATACTGTCACAGATACTTCCAAGTCCACCAGGGTCTTTGGGAGGATTTTTTCCCCCACTTTTTCTGGGGTTGCAGAGAGAAGAACCCAGTTGAAAGGGACTTGAGGCCCCTTGAATTCTGAAAGTTTGAACACTTTCACGAATGTGCCATTGGTTTTCAGCACAGTGCCATTTCTTTGGAGGCTGCAGGAACGCTAAAAACATCGACTAGAAAAGTACAGTAGCAAGTCAAATCACAGTCCACAACTAAGCACTGCCATGAAGATGTCACTTGCCTTTTAACTTCCTGATCAACCCCCTGTTTCCTAAAACCGTTGTATACTTTCTGCAGTTAATCATGTTTCTTTTGAATGAGGTGTGTGACAATCAATTTGCCTACAGACCTTCATGCTGGAAGGTAGCCAGAATTGTGTTGACTGTAAATTGTGTTGAAAATAAAAAGGGGAGGGGGGTGGAGCAGGACATCATCTGGCTTTAGGTGGCGGACAGTAGGTGGCACTATTCCTTGTGGCATATTTGCTGACAGACACGAGAGTTTACCTTTGCCGGGGAGGGGATGGGGGGGTGGTAGGCTCGAGAAATTTTTTTTTCTCAAAAAGGGGAAGGGGATTATAGTATACAAGCTGATTTACCCGATCATAGATCGGGTAGGGCGTAGTGTTGGGGATGAAAATGTGGGGAGTTAAATGTAAATGGGGGATATAGTTGGGGAGACATGCAGTTATAGAAAAGCAATTTCTGTGGTGTGATCTGAGGCAATTTCTGACCACTAAAACCAATTTGAGCAAAAGATCATCTTGTAAAGTTTTGAGTTTGGAGTAATTGAATCAGCTACATGTATTCTGAGCAATAGAATCATTATTGTAGGCTACAATATTTTTATTCGGGGAAGAAAACGTCGGGGGGGGACCAAACAATGCCCCCCGCCTCAAAATGTGTGTGTGTGTGGGGGGGGGGTCCCCTGTCCCCCATCGATTTACGCACATGATAATTATGTACCGTGGAAACTGTCTGTAAATGTTGCCATTGGTCTGTTAAATTGGCTTTTTGTGAGGCAGTCGCATTTGGAAAACGTAGTGAAAAGGTTACTGTAGTACACAGGCGAAGGCTGGTTTAAATCATAATGCAATAAAACGTGAAGGTGTCATTTGAAATGAAAATGTTGAGTGTTACCATAAAATTACAAACGGTTTGAATCATGGAGGAAGGTCATAATTAAGTTGAGTATTTATATAGTATCGTGCACTATTTCCACATTGTAATATTAAAACTAAAAGGTATGTGTAGTTGATGGCTTGCGAGGGAGATACATGTATGCAATGTTTTAATTTATTTATGTCCCCCCCCCCCCCCCCCCCCCCCCCCGGATCCGCTAATGTGAACACCAAGTGCATCCATGGCTCACTCGTTTGACGGAGGATCAACTCAATAATTCTTCTGATGATTGGCTTTTTGCTGCAGGTATGGATGGCTGGAGCATGACGGAGTCAACTTTGGAGTTCAAGAGATGGTGGACAAGAATTTCACCCTGAAGACGGAGTTTGTCAAGCAGCCTGGAGGGAGCCACGGTGGGGACTGGACGGCGCGCATCAGCGGGAAAGCAAGGGTACGCTCTGCAATAACAAACAGATCTCTCATTCTTTTGAAGTGATCAGGCTTGTGCTCATGTCAGAGGCTGACACAAGCCCAAAGTTGCATACGTTGCAAACAACACGTGCATCTTTAATGGGACACTGCGTATTCTAGACGCACGCATCATATGATGCACATTTACGTTATATACCTAGTGTGGACATTTGTTTTTGTGTAGTTAAGAAAAACCTGGGGGGAAAAAAACATTTTACTCACACTGAGAAAACTCTTTCAACCCAATTTCTTTTCTATGATTCCCTTGAGTGTTTCTCTTCAATTTGCCACGGATAAACCCAACCCAAAAATGCCTCTAAACCTGTTTTCCAGATTGATTGAAGTGCAACAAACAGAATTGTATTAGGAGAATTTTATTCTCTTTCCTAATACTTGCAAACCTTCATTTTGACCTTTGCCCACTTCCGTCTCATTTTGCCAGCATGCCTCGTGTATGAAATTCAGAAGTAAGTGAAATTCAGAAGTATTCAGTAGTGGCTTTAAGTAAAAAAAAAAATGTTACAAGTGATTGCTTAAATAATGTTTTATTTATTCATAAGGATGTTGAAACTATCAATCTCAATTTTGTGTTTACTACACAGAACAAAGCTTCCAACAAGACCATTGTCAGTCTCATTTTCTATACGGCTCTGGATCACAATAATGGCGTGCTGCAGCCTGTGGTCAAGGGGAACCAACTCTTAGAAATCCGCGGCGCAACAGAGGAACTGGGCAGCTTCTCCCTCAGGTTTCCTCCACTGCCCAACGTCACGGCCTTCCACTACGTCAGCACCTACAGCCCAAGTATCCACCTCAGCAAGGAAGTGGTTATGCAGAGTCTCAAACGGTACCCATACCCAGGCAACAAGTTCATGGCCGGCCTGGCCGGGAACATCCTGGCGCTCAGGGGGATCACGGACTACCAGCCAAACTTCATGGCCCACCAGGTGACTCTCTCCCTGCCGTTTGAGATGGAGGTCATTTTTGAGTCGGCCAGCCACACCCAGCGCAGCGAGCCACTGTCTGGGGACGTATTCACACAGCAGCTGAGACAGCACAAAGATGCATTTGGCCAAGCCTTTGAAGACAAGTTTGGACTGAAGGAGAAAGGATACAAGAAGAAGGAGATCAGTTTTTCCAAAGCTGCTCTGAGTAACATGCTTGGCGGAATCGGCTACTTCTACGGGCAGAGTACCGTGAGATCCAAACACACACCGGAACCTGTCCAGTACTGGAATGCCCCACTCCTGACGGCAGTGCCTTCCCGCTCTTTCTTCCCGCGTGGATTCCTCTGGGACGAGGGATTCCACAACCTTCTCATCAGTAAATGGGACCCGACCTTGAGTAAAGAAATAATTGGCCATTGGCTGGACCTGATGAATACAGAGGGCTGGATTCCCCGCGAGCAGATCCTGGGCAGCGAAGCCCGCAGCAAAGTGCCGGAAGAGTTTGTCGTCCAGAATAATGAGAACGCCAACCCGCCGACATTGTTCCTGCCACTTCAGTCTATCTTGAGGGATACGACCTCCAGCAAGAACGGCGACTTCTTGGAGTACCTGCAGCATGTGTTTCCCCGGCTGGAAGCTTGGTACCACTGGTTCAACACCACACAGTCGGGTCCAAGGCCTTCAACGTATCGATGGCGAGGCCGTGATGCAATGACTGACAAAGAACTGAACCCCAAGACACTGACATCAGGACTGGACGACTACCCCAGGGCCTCGCACCCCACTGACTCTGAATTCCACGTGGACTTGCGTTGCTGGATGACCCTTGCCTCTGGTGTCATGGTGGACATTGCCCATGCAATCAAGGTCCCATCCCAAGCCTACGAAGCCACTTACAGACTCCTCAAGGACAACCGAATGCTGGACAAGCTTCACTGGTCCCCAAAGGGGAAAATGTACAGCGACTATGGAAGCCACACTTCTGCTGTCATGTTGAAACGTCCCCCAGTCCCACCCCCTCCCACTCCTAAGCCAGGTCAAAGGAGACTCCCGCCCCCTCCCAAACTGCCAATGGTACGGGTCATCACAGGGCAGAGTGGGCCTAAAGAGCAATACGTTGATGCCTTCGGCTACATCAGCCTCTTCCCCTTCCTGCTTCAGATTCTTGAGCCGGATTCCAGCAAACTGGGTAACATACTGACAGACCTGAAAGACCCCAAACTGCTGTGGACCAAGTATGGTCTGCGCTCACTTTCAAAATCGGACCCTATTTATATGAAGTACAAGACGGAGCATGATCCGCCATATTGGCGTGGCGCCATATGGATAAACATGAATTTCCTGGCCGTGCGCTCCCTGCATCATTACTCTAACACGCCTGGCCCCTATCAAGACACAGCCGAAGAGCTGTACACAGAACTGAGACAGAATCTGGTCAGTAACATCATCAAGGAGTACGAAAGGTCTGGCTACATCTGGGAGAACTATAACGACAGCACTGGCAAAGGCCAGGGGTCTCATCCGTTCACTGGATGGTCTGCTCTAGTGGTGCTCATGATGTCAGAAAAATACTAGGCAATGGCGGCCAGTTCATTCTTTTCGTGACATTCTGGCAAGCATTCGCACCGCAGATTTGCAATTTAGTTGAACATACAAAAACATGTACATGTACTTTATCTCTGTCAAATTTCGTTATGAATGTTTTTAGATGCCAAGTATGAACTGGCCTTAAGACTTATGGAGGGAGAGTCATTTTGTGTCACTTTTTATCCCCTGGCTGTAAGCCAGAGGGGAATATTGCGATAGCGTATTCCTTCTGTGTGTATGTCTGTATGTCTGACAAGAAGTATAAAATTATTACAGTGCTCACCGGAAAATTACTCCCGAGCTTTCGGTGTAGTGAAGTGTTCTTTCAGCAAAACGAAAACAAATCTTATAGGGATGTGTGTGAATTGTTTTCGTTTTGCTGAAAGAACGCACACCTTTTTTGTGATCGGTGGACAGAACTTTAAAACGGTGGTTACATGTATGTTTAAAACTCCTTAACTTTAAAAGTACATGAGTGATTTGAATGATTCTTGTACTAAAAGAAAGCTTATGAATTGGGCTTCCATATCCTAGATTTTGAAAGTGCTACATGCAGACACTTCACTAAACCAATAGTCCCAACATTTAGGTTTCGCTTTTTTTGACTCGCCCTGTATTGAAAAGTAAAAGGTGTGATTTACGGGAAAAGAGGTGTACATATTGCTCTTGTTGTCTTTGAGTTGTTGGTTAAGAAAAATGACAATTTGGGATATTTTTGGTTTTGTTATTTATGTCATACATGTATGCACATTGTAAATATACAGTGGCAACTATGTTGGAGTTACGAGTGTGGAAAAACGACAGTATGTTTAGGAAAGAATGTTGCAACCTGACGCCACTTTTTTTCTTTATGTTTCATCTCGATGAAGGTCAGTCATTGCAAAAAATGATGATAAGACATGAAACTGGGGCTGAGAAACATTTCTAACTTCCAAAATTTTCTTGACTCTCCATAGACTTGGTACACGGTACACAACCACTGAAGTGGTGTCAGGTTGTTTTTCGTATGTTTGTTTTTTCACCAGGTCCTGTTTCAGTAGTTTTGATCATCAAACTTTCCAGATATTACACATGATTTGTTTACGAATTAACAAAACACAGTTTGCATAAGGGAATGAGTATGTGCTTGGCCGGTTTTAAACAAGTACTTTTAAAACCGGCTAGGAGCCTGGACACACCCAAGCCGGTTTTAAACGTACTTGTTTAATACCAGCCAAGCACATATTTATTCCCATTCATAAATACCTTTTGGTCAAAAAGTCAAAAGAAGTCAAGTTTAATAAATTTCAAACGATTTTGTTCAACAGTTTTACTTTATGTTTTTTAAACGCCCCTCTAGCTATGTTTATGGTATGTGCCTCGCGCAAGTAGTACTAAAAAATCTCCTTATATGGAGATTGGCGCGCTCATACTGCATGATGTGGCGCAGAATGCAGCTGTTCCGGTTTAGTGTGAATTTAGGACTATGAAATTCGGACTTAATGGCAGTATGGCACATGCCAAAGTGAAGGTAATTAGGAGAGTGACTGGTCATGTTTTGAGGGTTCAACCAATAAGAGTAAAAGGACTATTTCATATGGGTCCAAATTTCATTCGACACCGGAAAAAAGGGTTTAAAACAGGTCAGTTTTTTTATCAACCGTTGCTCTTGACTAATAGGAATGGGTAAACTGTCTTAGTTATTTGTGAATACCGTGTAATACTCAGAAGTTCGTATTTGCAACCGAGAAAGTTGTCAATTTCTTTTCATGTCTTGGGTTCAGCTGCAATACATACATGTATGCCCAGTAATGTAACATATCCTAATTTATATCTAGGTCAGTTATTAAATACATTCAGGTATGTAGTAAACACATCATCTTTTCTTTCTTTCGTGGTTTAATTAATAATTTGGTGTACTGTGGGTTTTTTGCTTATTAGACCAGAAATAAAAGGGCATTTAGGTTTTCTTAAAACTTTTTCTCATTATATACAGCATGTCATCATTCAGTTTGTATAAACGTTAACAATAAATTATAAATTGACGAAGATTGCATTCAATGGCTCAATTGACCTAAGACATAATGCACGACGTCACGCTTTGTTTACAAGTGCGCTTTCCTAGTATGGGAGGCAAGTGGGAACGACTGGCTCTCGTCCATAGCAAAGTGCACATGTAAACAAAGCGCGACATCATGTCTTACAATGTAAAGTTACAACAAAGAAAATTGTGTAATTATCTAATGTATGTCTGTACCGCTAGCAATGTGACTTGATTGTGAGGAGTTTGGAGAAGTTTGATGCTGAGAAGAACCAGTGGTAAAAGTCACTATACATTGTACAAGATGCAAAGATCGTCGTCTAGTGTGTTCTAGTGTGCCATGCAAATTCTCTAATAAATCTGAATTGGTTAATATTTCACTGGGCTAAAATGCATGTATTGAAATAAAATACGGCAATTGAATCATGTTTCCCTAAAGGTAAAGAAAAGTGTGAGTGTGTGTATTGTACATGTGTTGGTTTTTTTCTTTCAATTGTGTTACTTGCCAAATTTTTAGTGCATAGGTGCGGGCGGGCTGACGTCATCCAATGAAAACATCTATTCATTTGCACACCAGTTTTCATCGGTTGCCATTGTGGGCGTCAATCGATGGGGGATAAGTCTCCCCCCACACACACACACTTTTTAAAAGCAGGGGGATATCATATCGTTTGTCCTCCCCCCCCCCCCCCCCCATTCCCAAATAAATATTGTAGCCTGCATTTGATTCTATAGCTCAGAATAGCTGATTCAATGACTCCAATTTCGAAAATGATATTTAAATAATGATCTTTTGCTCAAAAAAATGGTTTAAAGTGGTCAAAAATTGCCTCAGATGATAAATCACACCACATTTTCATAGTGAGAGCGTCTGGAGTCAAAAAGTTTTCGAGCCCCACGCCATTAGGGCTTCGCACTAGCATGATTTCTGATCAAGGTATGGTTTCCCCCCCCCCCCCCCCCCCCCAACTTTTGAGAAGCAATTGACGCCCTTGGCTTGGTTGCTGTGTACATGTACTACCATTCAGCACTCGAGAACCATTGAGGTTCAAGAAAATAGGTCTGGGAGCTAGATAAGCCAATGTAAAAAAATCCCGGATGTCCGCGCCCGCTTACAGCGCCCTCCTGTGGGGAAGAAGTTTCAACCCGCCTCCACTTTCACCAGATTACCTGGTTGTGTCCGAGAATTGCAAATCATTGTAAATGTAATTGCGGATGGGTTTTTAAATCCATCAATTATTACGAAGGTATGGGTTCAACAAGAGAGTAAAAAAGCAAGCGTAATACTTCAGTGAAAACATCTGTAAACCATCAGACAATTACAAATTAAAACTTGGTAGATTTAGAAACCTGGAGAGGGGAGACCTATTTGTATAAACTAAAATCAACACAGATGAAAACGACTATTCTTTTGGGGGTGGAGAACTATATAAATTGAAGAAGTTTGCTCTTCATGGATACTAGCACTCCAACACTATTACTACGAAATGCAACTACCAGGTAGCTACAAGTGTGCTCAAATTTGTATCCTTGTGGAGACACGCACACAATAGGGAACAAAACATTGTAAAGGTCTCCACAAGGCAATTTCTATAGATGAATAGGTCTCCACAAGGTTTTCACGAAATAGATAAATGGATTTTACTCAAAAACAAGGAATTTCCAAGGTGGGTTGATCGGTCGCAAATGGAAGAGTTTTAGAAAAGGGATATTAAGTCCAAATTTCAGCCAAGGAAATTAATTCTGGTTAAAATAAGGGCATTCTGAAACTTCACTTTCAAAATTGAAAACTTTACTACACGAGAACAAAGAAATGTCTCCACAAGGATACAAATTTGAGAGTGTGTGTTTGTACAGAGGGTAATGGCCAAAGGGTTTAGTCCAGACTTATATACATGGAGATCGGTGTTGTGCATCCTCTGCACCACCGACTCTCATAAAGGTTGCAGACCAGTAAACAGACCTGTCATAAATGCGCGCTCTTCCCAAAATTATTTTTAAAATACTCACAACTCTCCGAGGTGTTTGAGACCCACATAAAATTAAATCTTATTTCATAATCTTTAATTTGCTGTTCAATTTAATTTTTTTTCTTGGGGGTGGGGGGTTGGGGTGGGGGGGGTTGTTAACCAATGACTTTTGGGAGAAACTTCCATCCAAAGATGATCACCCCTAAAAGTAGTCATGAAGACCATCGCCATTTTGAAAAAAGGATGCCTACGCTCCATTGCAAAATAGAGCCATTTTATGGCCTAATTTCATCCGAACTTTGCAGAAATACAAGCTTGCAGTCCTGTGCATGGCTTCCATCCTTCTTTTTTTACAAACACTCAAGTTTATGGCCCTCAAAATGCTCCAATACCGCAAAATTTTAGGGCATGCAAATCGTGATTTGGGCATCGAGGCAAATTCTGTCCTATTTTCTAGCCTGCATCAGTAAGTAGGCCAAAAAGTGCCATCTCCAGTTTCTACGCAGACTCAATAAAGGTTATTATACTGAGTTCAACAAAATTAATGGCTCAGGTTTATCGAATTAAATAAGCACAACACATTTTTGTTTACCCTGAAAGAGCAAAAGCATCATTTTATTTCTTGCACATAACTGTACAGAGATATTACATCTGCATGCAATAAACTTTTAATTAAGAACACTTTTTAGCATCTTGACAATTGTAATTAAAAAGGGGAAAATAAATATGTAAAAGGGATCCAGATATCAATAGCAAAAAAATTGTGGTCCCAAGATTTTATGCAGGTTGACGAAGATTTTGTCCTACCAGAACACCTCATAATTCTTTGTGTGACAAGGAAAAGGACGTTAGCAGGCCTGGCACACAAAAAGCACTTTTGGAGATAATCAAGTTGAAAGTTTTTGTGCTGCCATTTCTTGATTAAAAATCACTTAAGGTTGAAATTTAGACTGATGACATTGGTTTATAATTAAAATAATTTTGTGCATTTTTATGTCAAAATATTACTTCATTGTGAAGCTATTTCATTTTTACCGGGAACTTCCCAAGCCTTAAACGTACGCTTTAGCGGCATGTTAAATCCTTACATCCTTTTTCCGGGAACAAAATTGGCTTTGCGTACCCTTGGGACATTAGCGCACTTCGAACATTTATGTTACATAAGTATTACACGTTAACGTCCTTTTGCCGGGCACAAATAATAAAAATTCTCCTTCCATCTTTTGTTTACTGTTAATTACGTCAGAATGACGTAGCCCCTTGAGACAATATGTATATCAAATGAAAGATATTTCCAAGCTCTATCGATTATCCGAAAAATCTGAATTTGACCTTTTAACCCATTCTTCGCCCTAACGACCTTCTTCCAGGTACCCGACAAATTGTACATTTTTAAAAGACGCACGCGAGAATTTAGGATTTTCATACTTGTAATAATGTTCTCAACTACAACCTTTAGGGATGTTTTCAGATACGGGTCATTCCACCGGGTTGGGAAGCAGTGCATGTTACATCCATATATTTGGTTATATTATTTAAAGTATCAATGCATTCTAAACAATTGCTCAACATAATATTTGTCTTGAGGTGTTTCAATACTTGAGAAAGTTTGAAATCATTTGGAAGTACTTTGACAAAAATATGAGCAAAAATGTATTAATTCGGACATAACCTTGACACCGTGTCAATGTTACATCCAAATATTCTTTTTTTGCCATTTTTTACACATATGTCAAATATTACCCAAACTGACATTGTATATTTACACTGGACACCTAAGCACCAAGAAAAGCTTTTGTTTTGGTATAGTCAGGATTTAAATATAGCAGAAACAATACCTCAAGTGTGGATGTAACGGTGTAAAAATCACTCAATGGAAGTGTGACATTGGGTTTTACACCGTGTCAATGTTACGTCCACACAACCAAGCTATCATTTTTGCTCCATTTGGTACCTGACTACCCTAAGAAAAGCTTTTCTTATTGTGTTGCATGTATAGTAAGAAGTACGCAAAGTGAATTTGGGTGATGTTTCACAGAAATTTTTTTAAAAGGTACAAATGTCACATTTGGACGTAACACTGACACGGTGTCAATGTTACATCCAAAATGACATTTTTGGCTCAAATTTTTGGCAAATTACATTAAAATCATTTCAAACTTTCTGCAGTCGTGAAACACCCAACAACAAATATTATGTAAAGCAACTGCTAGCAAGGCATTCATGCTTTTCTTAATATGGTCATATGTCACACATTGTTCCCCAACCCGGTGGAATGACCCATATGTACTCATACTCAAAAGTTCCCAAAGAAAACATTACATGTTGGTTTGTGCCGGTAAAAAAAAAAGGTAAAATATTGTCAAGATATAATATAAATTAATTTGGAATTTCATATTCATTGTTTGCAGCAAGCTCCCAATTTATGACATGACGACACACTGACTGATATTTACAGTTCATATTACTGGACCAAATTCTATGATGCTAAAGTTCCACTACATTACACATTTGCTCTACGAACACACTAAAAGTCCAACCCTATTTTATTTATTCTGCAGATCTGCCCTAAAAGACACCCAAAAACAAGTTATGAGAGGAAGAACTTTTCATGACAAATTATTTGAGTTTGGGTTTTAAATTTTTTTTACAATTAAACATATTTCTGATTCCTCTTACAAATATCAACCAAAGCTAAATCGCTGAAATGATGCATAAAATGAAATAAATTTAAGTATTTTTGTGTAAATTGTAAAATAGAAAGGAATGCAAGTATCGCCTGGTCATATAACATCTCGTGTGGATGCATGAATTAATTTACAGAAAATCCTGGGAACCCCTTCAAGATTAATAAAAATTGAAAATGAATTAATTCCATTTCCATATTTGTCAGGGAGATGCAAATTCAATATTGGATGTTGCCTTCACCGACACATTTCTTTTCTGCGACTCATTTTTAAATTTACTTTTAAAACTGAATTTCCTATATGGCAAGTCAAATGCAAAAGTGGCCTTTTCAAAAACAAAAACCAATCCCAAAACAAATAAATTTTTTTTAATTTGAACTACAGTCGTTTTCCTAGTTCTGGATCGCAAACATTATTCAGTCTGCTTTCGGCTCAACTGATTCACGAATTCGAGTGACATTGGTTTAATCGTTTACCTTGAGTGATGAGGATACTTCAAAAATGTTTCCTACATGTAAATTTAAGTTCTTTCCATTTTGAATATGGGACTCGAAAAGAACCGATGCCACTTCTGTTAGTTCCGGATCGGTTTAATCAGTTCAAAAACTGCTTCGTGCGAAAAAAATAATCACGCTAGAGAATAAATTTGTCAGCCAGAAACAACCCGATTCAAGCAAATTTTCTGATAAAGTATTATTTAATTTTTCGAAAAACAGTTCTTTCATGAGAATTCCAGCAAATTTTAAGATGAGAATTCCCGAAAATGTTTTTGAAACTTTTGTCTGCAGCGCGACGGCACAAAACATTGACCAATCACAGAACACGTCACACAAAAATCGATTACGCAAGTGTAGTTTGGTCCTACTTATGCGTGCAATCCTGAACTAGGCAAAAGCATGCGTTCAAGTATTTGAGACTCTACAACTTATTTTGTTTCAACAAACATTTGATGCAAGTGTTTATACGACTGTAGAGTACAAAAAAAATTGTTCAAAATCACACGTTCCGAGTGTTGTATCAAGGGAAAAATTTATCATTGATTCGCGGCTCCTGTGATTTTCTACAAATCATCCACACACGTCAAAGTGCAAGTCGGAAATCTGGCCAAAATTCCTTTTCTAGAGATTTTATTAAAAAGATATTTGTGTATCAAGGAGCTTACATTTTACTTTTCAAACACACTTAGTCAGAAAAAAAATAGGATTGAAACCAATCCAAAAGAAGTAGGTTCTTTTGAAGCGATCCGGAACTAGGAAAAATCCAGAACTAGGAAAATGACTGAAGTATCTCTTAAACCAGACAGGCTGGAGGTAGGACCATTTCTTTAGGAAAACTGCCAATTCAGTCAAGAATTTTCATAATTGCATTCCTAACAAACTTGTCCAAATTTGGTACATTATCAGAGAGTTCAAACCCAATTGTACAAGATGCAACAATAAACAGAAAGACTGGGGGGAAAAACAGCTGTTGCATTTTAACATCAAAATATTCAAAATTTGGTCTAATAATTAACAGGATTTGCATTTTCAGTCAAAGCTGTTGCAGTACTTAGATGTAGAACAAAATGATATTGCAATAGTTTTTTTTTCCCCACGTGCTGCATCTCTATGGAACTCCTTGCCTGGTGCTTGTTTCCCTCCAACCTATGATCTGTCCTGTTTCAAGAGGAATGTTAATTCCTTCCTTCAGTTTTCTTGAGTACCTACTCTTCTTTTTATTTCTCTTGTAGCCCTGTAGCTTTTAGCCTTGTTCAGGAGGAATATGCATAAAAAACCTCTGCTACTCTGGCCATTTTTTTTTAATTATTTGGATTACGGATCTACCGCCGAAAAAATCGGATATCAACAATTTTTTTTTTTTTAGATCAGCCCAAATATTCTACTTATGATGACAAAAACAAATTCTTGCCTTCCGAGTAAATCACAAGCTTTTGATTCGCTTTTAAACCACAATCCAAGCGTCTAGCCCTGCAAAATAGAGAAAGGCCTCACCGTACATTGCCACATGTAGGCCTACGTACGTACATTGTAACGCCTTGATCTGATATCATTGCTTGTTGCTGGATTATACGTGCATACTACTTGTTCGTGTACTGGTTCCCGTCACCAAAAACATCTTGGGCAGAACGGACGGGAACCAGCTGCACTAGTAGGCCACGATGCCGATGTCATCGACCGATCATGCACACATGCTTTTCGATATTAAGTGACAAAACATTTAAAGGTAGAGTATTTAAAAGTAGAGTAGACCAAAAAAATCCGTAATCCAAAATAAAAAAAAAAACCTTGTCCTCCTACTTAAAGTAACTTCCAAAATAAGCACACAACTGTAATATTCCCCAAGCCCGCATTTCTGTAACTGTACAAACAAAAGCAAAAACCTGCAATGTAAACAAAAACAAAAAAGAGATTCCACTAGTACAAGTGACATGGTTAAATATGTTGTTCTCATTTAACTATTTAACTAATATTGCCTGGTGTTCAGAAGGTCTTCCTGTGGACGGCTCGTACTCCGTCCTCGTCGTATTCTTTCTTGGAGACCCACATCTTCTTGAAAGTGTCTAGTGAGGCTAAGATTGAACCCCTAAGGATAGGGAAAAAAAACAGAAAAAAAAATTTGTCAATTGACTGATATAATTGTACAATTGCGCAATTGCGACACCCACCAATTGCATGGGGGTTGCCAAAAATACAAATTCCCAAACACACGGTTTGGGACTGGTATTTCAGAGATGCGCTCAACTAACATATTTCGAAATTTAGAATTGAAGCTTGACGATCAGAACAATTTGTCACCGACACCACGAACTGACACTTGGCGGTGTATGAGTGCACGCCACGTACACGTACTGTACAGCAGTGCGTAATTGTGGTTTTCACGCATACCCAAGTACCGCGTGCACACACTCCGTTCATTTTCGTTTTCACGAACTGAAACCTGTCACAATTTCACCAGTTAAAAGGTTTTTAATTAAATGTTTCTGTAACTCCACAAGTATACGGATGGAGTAATTCGTGTCAAACCTCTCAATTTTTCTCCAAATAGTATTTCTGCGACATGCTTGCATTTCAGTTCGCGAAAACCAAAATTATTGTGTTAGGCATCAGTGTACATGGCCTGTGCGCACAGCCCAGGTCAGTTCGTGAATAAAACTTATTGATGGCGTGGTTCTCACAAAGTGTGCGCACACAGTACTTGCGTTTCAGTTCGTGAAAACGGTGAGAGCCAAAGATTGACTATTGAACTGACTTCCGGACATAAAGCTCACACGTCTGAAACAATTCTCTTTTGTGACTGTGTGTGGCTCTGAAAAGAACCAGTTTTGTCACACAATGTTTCGGACAGTACGCTCTGTCTGTCTCACAGTTGGCCGTCTGACTTTTGCATCCTACCACTGGCTCCATTGACCACCATGGATCCATCACCCCATCTCCACTTTTTAGCAACCACCAAGGATTCCTCTTAAGCCCAGCATTCCACAGTAGTCCAGCAGTCTCCTGAAGACAGACTTAGCATACTATCCTAAACGTCGTTACCAAACTGGTTCTTTTTAGAACCACACAGAGTTACAAAACAGAGTTACCTACATGGTGCATACATCTTTTGACTTTCCACGCAGGATTTGGTATTGCAAAAATACTGATTGATGAACAATTTCTATAATTAAGAGTTGACAAGCAAATCACCGTTGACCTTTTCACTCTCAGTTACGTTAGAACATTTAGTTAGGAGACCCATGGTATGGTATTCAACAGGTCGCAAGCTCAACCATCTCGAGTCAGTAACTAGAAATTTCTTTTGTTCCATTTGTTAGTCTTCGTACACATCTATTCCAATGTGATTCATTAACCCTAACCCCTTGAGTGATTTACCAGGAACCTTCCTCACTCTTGCAAAATCCAACACCATATGGTAAACTCAACACCCAAACTGTTGGACTCTGATTATGGTGGTATGCCTAACCCCATGTAAAGCATAATCTGTTTACAAGTGCAGTACTCACTCCAACAGATTCCAACAAACCCTGTCGTTGGAGTTTGCCTGGATGGGGATTGTTAGGGTTAAAAAAGAAATCTTGGAGAAGGAAATCAAACTCACCCAATCCATGTTGAGTATAATCTTTCTTGTGGGGCTGATATCTGGGGATGGAAAAAGGGAAGGAAAAAGAGTGACACATATAACACCACAAAACAAGTAATAAACCTGTTTGTTTTTCAACAACAGAAATGCTAAAAGACTTTTGGTTTCATTTTGCTTATTTTGCAAGCCTGAACTTGAACCGTTTTTTTTTTAAACCTTTCCTACAACTTCGGCTAAATGTCCGACTTCTGACTCACTGGGAAGCAACCCAAATGCAAATATTCGAACCTTTTGCAGGCATGATATACACCCCTTGAAAAAAAAAGTAGCAAAATTTTTTTTAGAGTCCAGTAACGTAACCAGGGTGTGGTTTTGTTTGCCTGTTTCAAAATAGAATTTTTGTCTCGCTTATAAATTCACAGACCATCCATGGTAAAAAGTTGACAGGATTTTTCCCGGCAATCAGCCATCTGCAAAATCAAAAAGCTGGGGGGTGTTGGGGGGGGTTTATCTATTGATAGGTGCAAATTTGCCGATGGATACACGATTTTTCTGAAATTTCGCCATCCCAAATTTTGCTTTTATCAGCGTCCCGATTTCGCTTTGGAAATATCTAACCCGTTGCAATCTGCCAATCTGCACCCCCCACCCCGGTTACGCAACTGATAGAGTTATCCCAAGGGGCCACCTTCATAGTAAACGAGATTGCATTTATGGATAATAACAAACGTTTGTAAAGCCAAGGACATGTCTTTGTTCCTCTGTGATATGCGTGAGTTGATACTTTGTACTTCAAATAATGACTGACCTCAAATATCGAAAAACTCTCCTCACTGAGGGCGCCGTTTGAGGGGTCAATATTTTCAGTGGATTTTTGAGGATTCAGGAAGGTCCAAACGAAAAGAAAAAATTACCGAAGATAAGCTATCAACCTACCCTGATTTTCACGTCTTTGGGCGCTAGTTTCTTGACTTCACTGAGCAGCCTGTCCCCGAACCCTCTGAAGAGCGTGGAGCCTCCCGACAGCACGATGTTGGCAAACAGAGTCCGCCTCAGATCCAAGTCTGACTTCTGGATGGCGAAGGTCAAGACCTCGTGGAGTCCCTCGCACTCCTCCCCGACCAAATCTGGCCTGAAGAGGAGCTCTGGTGCCCGGAACTTAGCTGGACCAACCTAGGGGAAAGGGATATCATGAATAAATAATCAAGGAGATTCCATGATTTTAATGTTTAAACAGTCAGGGAAAAGAATACAATTGGTGTCAGGGAATGGGTTCTGTACGCCAACAAAAGAGGCGCGTTTTTACCTCTTTTGAGAGCTCCGTGGACAGGACACACAGCGTGCACGTATGGTACTGTACTCGTTCGCGCCCGAAGTTTGCACGACTTTCTGCATGTGCAAAAGCTACAGGCACCACGTCTTCGCGTGAACGTCAGGCGCCGTCAGCGCGAATATTCAACTTGCGATGGTCTCCAAGACTAATCCCCGCCTCCAATAACTTTGGATACATTCGAAATACGCAGTGGATGGACCAACACTAAATCCTGCTTTTTGAAGCATTTTGAAGCATTTTGCAAGGGTCGATCAAGAACTCAGGAAGGAGGAGGGGGTTGATATTTGAGTGAAGGCGTGCCGATGGCAGGCCCTGCTAGAAGGTCCAGGGGAACCCCAACCCCCACCTGGAAAATTGTGAAATCTTCAATGCTTTCTCCTGAACTCTACAGCAATATCAGAATACCTTTAGGAACTTTGAGTTAAGAAAATTTAGTTCAACTTTTTCAACCCATTTATTTTTGTTTGCCCCATAAAAAATAATAGTATCATAACATTGGTCAACGGCTGAATGGGTGGGGGCATTGCAACCCCCCAAACCCACACCCCAACCCCCTCCCCGATCAAGTCCAGTTACAATAAGTTATCTCAACAAAACAATGCTGTCCATGTGCAACCATCTTTTACATGTGCATGTAGCTATTGGGATGTTAGCACATGCACACTACGCCATGCAATAGTTCCATGATAATTTTCAAAGTGTTTATCTGGAGAGCAATGTAGGGAAACTTTCTTATTCTTAGTTGTTGTAAGTGAGAAATAGCCAACAAAAATAGCAATTTATGACAACTTTTAGTTGGGGGGGAAGCAATCAGCGTTTATCACCGAGTTTAAGGGACAACACACTTCAAGTGTCTTGCCCAAGGGCACGCTAACAGTTCAAAATAGCAGTGTTTGCAACAACAATTCATCTGGAATGATACTGTGACAACAGTTTTTAAAGTTGCAGACATTGAAAAATTCTATTTTTCTGTTTTTGTGCATGGACTCACCTCTAGCGTGCTTCCGTCAGGCAGCATGTACAGCGACTTCTCTGTATCTGTTGTCTCCTCCTTTTGAGGGTTGATTGATAGGAAACAAGACCGCTGCCAAACAAAAACAATTCAACAAATTTGGTACTTTCTTTCTGAAGCAAATAGTCGCCATGTTAGTTCCCTTCATGCCTTGTGCGATCTTAACTCCTGGAATTGTGTAATTTAAATGTACCACTATTTGGGAGATTTATATCAGGATTGTGGTCGATGCGTTTAATGTCTGACGCAGTGCTTTAAATTTTGAAGTTTTTTTTTTTTTGTAGAATCAATCCTTTCAAAGATGAGATTTCGAGGTCACGTTATAGAGCAAGGATTTATTTTAAATGTGCGTACCTCTGTCGTCCCTACAACAAGATACATTTTTTGGGGTGAAAAACGAGGCTTCCAGACTCCATATCGTACAGGCATCGCATAGTCTTGAAAAAGATGTTCGTACGTGACGTGCAGAAGATTATGCATGAGCGCATATTATAGGTCGTGCAGCCTTCGAAATACGTGCGCAGTACGCTCTGAATAGCCAGGCAGCTTTGTTTACGTATTTCTCACGGCCAGGGGTTAGTAAAGGAATGCCCACGGGCCCATGGAGTCGAGGCTGGTAGTTGATGTACATTTTTGCAGAATACGAATTTAACCCAGATTTCTCAACATGCATGAAAATTGAAAAAAAAAATTATTCTGCTACTTTCCATGTTTCTACTTTCTATTCTTGTAAAGAAATCCCATGTATCCACTCATCACGATACATGTTCATCACTTAAAAAGTGTTAACAGATCAGCTTTGTTTTCTTCATGAAATCGAGTCCACTGTGCTAATCTTATTGATATTTCAAAACAAGATTATTTTCTCCACTTTTGAATCGAGTTATTAACCAACTTAAAACCACTCGATTCATGTTCACCCTACAAAGGTTTTTTTTCCTTAACCCTAACTCCTTAGGCATTTTTGCTAGGATGCAACCTCAATCCTGCAAAATCATCCAGCAATTACTGTCAATATGTTGAGGCAGAGTTGGTGACATCCTGGAGCAGTGTGGAGGATTTCAAGTATAATCCAGGCCTAAATTTATGCACGGCTGAGCATAAACAACACAAGGTCTGGCCCAAGACTTTGACACAGTGCATCCTCCGAAATTTTGAAGGATTTGGGAAGGTTATTTCTGATTTTTCTGTTGCACAAAACCCTGATTGCTCCAATTTTCATAATAAAGAACCCTTCACTGTCGTCCTTTTGCTTGGGTACTTCTTGAATCGTCTTAGGACAGCAGGACATCAATGACCACAATACTTATAATGTCAAGGGGGGGGGGGGTTAAATCCCAATTAAAGTAATAGCAGCCTTCCACAATACTCCATTAAAATCTTCAAAAGTCCCCAGGTAGCTTTTGAAAGATCTGGCAGGGTTAAGCCGCCTTTCCATATGCGTGTTTTTTTAAAATCCGTTACACACATTGAGTATTTATTGAATATGTGCCGAAATCGCTCCGTGGAGCGATCTAAATGGAGGATCGAAACGGACACGCATCATATACGTACATATGAAAGTGTGCTACATTATGAGATTGATTGTTCGCGTCCAAAAACGAAACGAATACGCAACGCATACGGGACAACGGATGAAAATATCGTGCATATGGAAAGGCTGCTTTATGGTTAAACAATTGTGGGAATCTGTCAGAGTAATTGCTCCACATTCTACAGTGTTCTCAACCCCTCTCTTCACGCCCCCCCCAAAAAAAATCTCAGAGAAAAGGACCATTTTATACCTCTTTGATCATCTTGACTACTTCAAGCTCGGCCGACGTGTGGAAATTGAAGCCTTCCTTCCTCAGTAGCAGCTGCAGGTATCGGGTGACGTCCCGGCCTGCTATATCTACCCTCATGATGGAGTGAGGCAAAGCAAAACCCTCGTAGATCGGCACGGCATGCGTCACGCCGTCACCGGAGTCTAAGACTACACCAGTCGTCCGACCTGTCGCATATCTATCAATAATTAAAAAAGGATAGTTTACTATTCGTAATCATTCTTGGAGGATGACTGTATTAAGGAGTACATCAGAATTATATAATCATCTGTGTCAGATGTAACATGGACAGGGAAAAACGTAGACTTGACTTAAGTCGGAATTGCTTTCAGTCGGTATCTTTTTTTTTTAAATTGCAAAAATCACTTAGTTTACGTCTTTCCAGAAGCACGACAATGTACACTTCAGCACGCATTCCACTTCAGTGCCGTATAACAATGCGCACACACTGTATGTACATTGTACAACACGCGTATACATGTGGTGCAAAAGTTAGCAATTCCGACTTGATCAATCTGCCATCAGCACCCCCCCCCCCCTCACGCGCACGCGCCTGTATTCATCGATGCATATGCAACACCATCTTTATGCATATGCAGCAATATCGCTTGACCAATGAAAGTAACCAATTTTTGAATACTCGTTTATTATTTTTCAGTAGGTATGGAAGGCTGGATAACAATCTGCAAAAGATTTCATACATATATATTTGGATGATAATGCTAAGATCAGCTGCTCTTGGCTTGTAAAGAACACGACATTCAAATGTTATTCAAAACAAAAGGGAATTTTTATTGTGGTTAACCTGGAAAAGATGTTGAGATCCATTGATTCCGCTACGTGTTGTGCGTACCTAGAGCCATTTCAAAGCATTCAAACATACGCGTGCGTGTATCTGTTTCTACTCCTCACCATGGGATGCGTGTGTGTTCTCCGCGAAACTTTGGCTGATTGCGTGTTAGGAATAATATCAAAACAACCTGCGCGCGTTTTTAAGAATAAAAACACTGATTACCTGAAATACTGTGCTCTGATTAGCTACTACCCAAATCGGTTGAAGCCAATCACAGCGAAAATTAATTTCCATAGACTGTGTACAAACGTCAAACAAACCAGCGCGTACGCTTGGCAGATTGACCAAGTCTGGGTTGCTGCATCACATAAAAATAACATGTACATGTACGTTTTTAACATGTTGGTCTGGATTTGACGCATGAAGGCGTGTACAGTGTACGTATGCACTTTGGCACATTTAGATAAAGACCGAGCGCAACCTAGACTTGGCCAAGTCTAGGAAAAACGTAGACCCCTGAATTTATAGAATGACCCAGCTGTGAGTTTACATATACAGATTTTGTTTTGGGGAAATTTTGAAACATCAGGAAGAATCTGTTTCTTACAAGCTAAGGATGGCCTGCATTGAGATGAAGAGAGCGGGAACATTGAACGTCTCAAAGAACACCTCGGCTGCCTTCTCACGATTCTTCCGTGGGTTGAGAGGAGCCTCGGTCAGGAGAACTGGATGCTGTTGAGAGTTGAAAATACTTGTTTCAAGATTGGAGTTTGAAAGTAGGTTATTTTTTTACTTTATCCTAACTCCCTACTTTGTTATACTAAACAGAAGACCATGTCCATCAAAATCCATCACTCACTCTGCTTCACATAATGCTTCAGGACCAAATCAGTTAAAATCCACAACTGGTGCTGGTGGATTTTGATGGAATTGCTACACATGGCCTATCAGCAAAAATCCCCCAAAATGGGGGGGGGGGGGTGGATTTCGATAGAGTTGGTAAGGTTAAGTGGCTAAACAGACTTTTTGTTTCTGAGTGAGGGCCATATAGAAAGCCACTGGGCAAGTAACAATGAATAAAACAGAGCATATCAATACAAAAGTTGAAATGCAAGACAATACAATTTTCAAATTCAGCCACGAAAAGTTTGGAATTCCATGATATCTGTTGCACTGGTATGTGGTTAACAAGAAAATGTGATGAAAAAAATGAAATGTTCATAATAAATGAGAAATTTTAATCAAGCTGATCTTAGTTTTTAATAGCTAGAAACCTGATCTCAGATGCTGAAATGTCATTGGCCACTAGGCACAGATAAAAATATCAACAGAAACATAGGAAAGGATTTAGTCACTCTAACCTCTTCTGAAAAGGTCTGCAGTTGGTCTTTGGAATAAATATACTGCCATATTCGCTCCATGTCATTCCAGTCTTTCACAATACCATGCTGTAATAGAAAAACAAGGGGTGAAAAAAGTAAGAGTGAATGACAAATTGAGAGAGGTATTAAAGATCACTCACATCAATGTGGCAAACTTTGACTGAACTTTGAAACAATGTACAACATCTAAAGTTAAATAAGTGGAGTTTCAGCCGTAAACAAATAAAAGTGGAAAAAAGCTCTGCTAAAAACCAGAAGGAAAACAAAAGCTGTCGGGAGCATGGGCTACAAGCCCATTTTGAAGATGTCAAGGTACAGTTCTACAATCAAACAACTGTTTTGTACCAAACGTACATATGCATATGAATATAGTGAATGCATTTCACACATTTGGATTTATGATTCACTCTTGAATTGAAACAAATTAGGCCAATTGTCTGACGGCGTGTATAGTTTTGAAGATTTATGAAAGGAGTTGTGAGGCGTTTGATGTGCACCTACATGTACATGTGCATGCATTTCATGTAACATGTTCGGGTGCAAACATATATAAATGCGGCAGCCTTTGTGAAGTGGCTAAACGTTTAAACTGTTAACATTAATTGTATTTAGTATTTTGAATTGAATTAACCCCCTCGTACTTCCCCAGGACTACCCTGCTAAATCCAACAGAGTCCAACGGTTACTCATATGAGTTTCCTGCTCAATCCAACACAGTATGTAAATTAGTTGGATCCTGTTAGATTGAGCAGGGTTAGGGTTCATAGATTTGCTAAACGTTTACAAAATTAAACGCAAAGTCCCATCCCTAGTACACAATGCACTACCACAGCCAAATCTCAAACAAATATTGATCTTGACATTTTTATGATACCAGCACTTGCTCATGCATTATCATATTTTTGCATTTAACCTTTTGTTTACCTTTTGATTGTTTGTATCCTAATTAATACACACAACAGGTGCGGAGCAGACATACTGCCCTTTGTTACGTGTTGTTCCTAAAAAAAAAATACACATTGGCAATAATGCTTTGTGATGACAATGAGTGACTGCGTAGAAAAATCAATATCTACTTAATCATTTGCATATTTTGTACCCAGTTGAACAATGAACAAGGATTTGTGTACAGTGTTGACAACTCTCTAGAGTAATGTACATGTACATGTACATGTACAGTGAACAACAGTGATGATTGCAAACAAATTACTGTCCTCATGATGTACATGTATACATATTTGATACACATGGAATCGGTAAACAAATAACCACAATATGTTACAATAAAATATATTCATTTTCAAAGCTGAACATAGTAATTAAACTGGAATGGGGTTTGAACCTCCAACCTCCGGATTGCTGTTCCGGTGCTCCACCAACTGAGCTTTCCAGCCCTATGTTGGCGGTTCCCCATTTTGTCAATGTCTTCGTTCAAGGGGCGCTAGTCAGAAGCCATAAACCCATAAATATGCCATGTAGCCAGGGATCACGCCTTAAGTCACGATGTTAGCAACATTAGCAATGCTGCAAACCTGAGAAATACCATTTGAACGGGGATCACTCGAAGAGGATACGGCTTTTTGTTACAAATTTTCAAATAATTTCTTTTGTGAAAAAGTATAAAATAAAAATAATAAAGGTTAAAAGGTGTTGTAGAGATTGTGTGAAACACTATCACCAGCTGATATCCTACATCATAGTCTGTAATCTGTGAGGGTCAGCTCTAGGTCAAATGTGAACTATACATGAATGTTTTTAAACACGTTATTTTTCCAGTAGTATACAAATTATACATGCATGGTTTTAGGGTGGATAGTCAGTTTTAGATCCTCTCAGTGTTGGAAGTTGACAAAGGCAAAGCCGATTGATCTAATTTGTCAACTACGGCTACAATAGCACTCTGCACTAATGTTAAAAATAGAAGCAAGTACCCGGATCTCAGACAAGCATGTTGTACGAACTTCTCATGTGAAGATTACGCACAGGCTTGCAGCACCGTTTCTATGTGAATGTATGGGCCAGTGCGCGCATGATTGTTCGAAAGTTTGTCTGAGTATGCGGGCGTACGGCGCGGAGCAAAATTCTGCTAAATGTGCTATTCACATCAAGCCCTTATATTCACTTCGTACCCAAAACAAACCATGTTAGAATAAGCCAGTTCAGTATTTCAACTGCGCATGTACACAATGATATGGGTCAAAGGTCATTCGGGATAATCAAAGGCGTATGAATGCACGCAGAGACGGTCGCACGACACTCGTGCGCTAATTCCAACCCAAATTCGAACCCAAATGACCTTTGACCTGGACTACTTCATGGAGATACCGAACTGGCTTACTGTACCACTAAAGATCGTACATGGTGGCAATTCCATGAGAATGCTCGTAGGGCTGTCCATTTTCGAATAATTTAGTATTCGATTACTTGAAACTGCATGTGACCGAATATTCAGGTATTCCAAACTGTCACCTGCAACTGCATGCCACGCTGGTCAAAAGTTGCACGCAGAGCGCACCAGTTAAAATTTGCATGCAGTGATCGATATGAGCCGTTAGAGTGTTTTGCAATAAGTATTTTATAACTGTCAAGGGTTTTAAAGGGAATGTACATCATTGGCTTTTGCTGTAATTTTCAGAAATGAACTAGTTGAGGGGTTAGTATAATAGGTCAAATATTGTTACACTGACATGTTTGAAGTTTTGTGTTTGAAAATGCTGGAAAAACCAAGAAAAACGAAAATGATTAAGTAGTCTGGTTCCCCGACTCCACTAAGGATAAAATGGATCAATTTATAGATGCCGGAAAATTGTAAGGTAAGGGAACAAGTCTGGCTGGCCTGCACCCGTTCATGAACATGTTACCAATAACAAACAAAATTTGGACTGGAAAAATGGTAAATTTGAAGCAGAAGTTGAAAAATAGTTAGGTTTTTCCAAAGGTGATCGGCCGACCACTGTTGGAAATGTATACAAAAATGCCAATTTCTTGAAAATGACTTCACACCAGGAGCCATAATTTTACAGGATGCTTTTGACTGTCATTTACCAACATCCAAGTAAGGTATTTTGTAAAAACTTGATAGTTTTATTTTTCGATGTTTGCAAATGTTGTATATTCCCTTTAACCAGCTATAGTTACCGTCAATAAGAAAGTGGCATCTGACAATAAAGCGCCGAACTTTATGATAAAAATAACATCACAATCTTGTGTGTACGTGCATAGATTTTTGTTTTCAAATATTCCAACCGGCAAAAAGCTATTTGAATATTCAGTTGACACTTGAATATTCAAATATTCGTGACAGATCAAAGTGCTCATATATTATGCAAAAAGAGTTTTTTGGTTTGCTTTTTAGCTTCTATACGTTTTAATTTATACCAAGTGCGCAAACATTTTTGCCCCATGTTAATCGAAAAAATAGCAGCTGGCACATGATGGTGAAGAGAAAAGTTAGATTTCAGCAGGATCATGAATATGTATGAGGCAACTGGGCTGTGCCTCCAAGTCCCTCAATCCTGCAAAATCCGCAAAAAAAAATTTGTGGATATTTAAGGATGGGAGGGGGTGTTAATGCCAACAAACACTTACCTCCATCGGATATTTGATTGACAGTAGTCCGCGGTGCTCCTCCCCCTTTGGACCAATAAATATATCGCCCTCTAGTGCCCCGGCCATAACTCGTACATGCTTAGGTCTTCCAACACTAGAGAAAAACAAGGACACGTACATTGTATGGTAGCATAAAACAAAAATGTGTATGTTTTCCTCCATACAATTTTAGATTACATTGAATTTTTGTCGACAACCAATTTCCCCAACAACTGCTGAATACCTGTGCTATTTCAAGAACACTTTTAGTCCAGTTATTCACACAAAATTAGACAAATTTCTTCTAAAGTGGTATTTTTTTAAGTCATAGTTTTAAGAATGACTTTTTAAAACATCAGTGTCTGGAGAAGACTATTTGTCTGTATGTTTCAGCGAATTCATGCTAATTTTTATCCTCAATTTTCATCCTCATGGATGAAGTAAGCAAATAGCAAACGGGGATCACTCAAAGAGGATACGGCTTTTTATTACAAATTTTCAAATAAACCACAAAGGGAAACTGAAAAGGTGCATTTTATAAACGTATTACTTTTTTCAAAGTTGAACAAAGAATTTGACTGAAGCGGGATTTGAACCTGTGACATCCGGATTGCCGTTCCAGTACTCTACCAACTTAATCATCCAACTGAGCTATCCAGCCCTATATTGGCAGTTCCCGAATCTGATAAATTGGAGAATTACCAACATAGGAATGGATTAGTCCAAAAATTTGCAACTCTCAATAATGGGTATGAGAGTCCCAAAACTTTAAGTAAAAACATGCAATACAAGAAAATAGACTGGCACATGAAACAATCAGTTCAACTGTGTCAAAAAAACACCTGGTACCTGGTCTCTTTTTCTACACATTCTCTCATAGTCATGTCACCAGACTACAGAATGGTCAATCTTTTCAAACCTTGGACATGTACCAGTCTAGTCTTAGGCTTCAAATTGAAATCATTTGGCTTCGCTCTCAGGTGGCAAATGTTGAAGAAAAGTCTTCTTCAAAATTGAATTGAGACCTCAAACTTGGCTGGTGAAATACTGAGGACCTTGTCTTGGCCTCCTGAAAATTTTGGACAATTTCATTGGCTAAAGAGAGGGTAAAGTTGGCCTGATTTTTGTTTGCATGTTTTTCTGCATTTAAGGTCCCAGTCCGGGGCTGGATAGCTCAATTGGTGAAACACCAGAACGGCAATCCAGATTAACAGGTTCAAACCCCCCTCCAGTCAATTTCTTTGTTTAACTTTGAAAAACATAATAAATTTTACTTACTAATTGGGAAAGTGGTACTTTGGTATCTGATCGCCAGCAAACCCTGCTTTAATGACACCGGAACCCTGTACAGGTAAAACAAGCCCAAAAATGCTACGATCTAAATATATACATTCCACGTTATTTAAAGGTAGGGTAGATCATTTGTCATTTGTTGCATTTTTTTTATTGAAGACAGTACCCTATTCTGATGAAAAATGTATGCAAGCTATCTGTTTGAATAGTGGAACAATTATTTAAAGAAAAGAAATAATTTACATCATCAAGCAAATTGTTTAATTAACCCCAACTCCCTAGGCCATTAGGATGTAGCCTCAATCCTGCAAAATCCTCCAATTGGCCTCATGGAAATATACATGTAGCATATAGCCTCAATCCTGCAAATTCCTCCATTATTTCTTGAATATGGTCCATGAAGGGGTGACCACTGCCTGAATCCTGCAAAATTCTGCGGCAGTGACTGTCAATATGTTGAGGCTTGGCCAGTGACATCCTGGAGCAGTACGGAGGATTTCAAGCATAATCCAGGCCTACATTTATGCATGGCTGAGCAAAAACAACACAAGGTCCAGCCCAAGACCTTGACAAAGTGCATTCTACGAAATCAGTAACGCACTATGCCACTATGCCATGTAACCTCGATCATCCAAATTCCTCCACTTTGGCAAAGAGGATTTTGAAGGATTCGGGACGGTTAGGGTTAATGACGTCTTCCTTATAATATGTACAATGTATGTGATAATCAAAATCAGTTTGGCTCATTAAAATTGCATTAAAAAACCTTGCTTGTTCTTTCTTTTGTATTGCCTCTTTACATTTCGTTATATAAATCACAGTTTCAAGAAATAAAAATAACACAAATATTTGATTAAATGATTTCTTAACCGTGGGTAAATTGTTTATTTCACAATACATTAAAAAAATTAAATGTCATTAAATCCATTCATTTCTAAGTGCAAGGAGTAAGTGCGCAAATTAACAACAGCCCAATTTAGCCAAAATACAATCCAACACAACCGCATACTGCACAAACAGAACACCCCTCCCATGAAACAGTCGTAGAAAAGAGCGCCCATACACAACGTGGTGTGTGCACGTGCATGCTCAACCAAGGCTGCTACATTCATGCTTCATGCCTCCCTTCACACGGCCCAACTCTGACCGTGTTTTTCAAGGATTTGTTTGGCCTTTTTCAGTCACCTAAAATGTATCGTTTTAAGAATAAATAGAATTCAATTTTCTCCACGAAAGTCACCAAGCACTTCTTTTCTTACCAGGGCATTTGTAATCGTAAATTAGTTCAGAAACTTGGCCAAGAATCGCTCAAGTAGATGCAAGAATCTCGCAGTGACATTGACAACGTCATTCGTTTACACACCGTTTGGTCACACTTCTTGTCATTTTCAAAACTGACGCAAGGAAAAACTCGCTGTATTTTTTCTCAAATAGACAGGAATTCCTCTCAAGTATTGGAAGATCTGTATGCTTGAGGTGAAAGAGCAACTTCTCCACAATAGTGCAGTGCTTGTTTCGTCTCGAAATTGTGGAAACTTCAATTTTTACGGTATGGTATTCCCGCAAGGAAATAAAAGATCCTGCGTGACTGTAGCGCGCAATGATGGTGTATTTTATAAGTTCGATTATTGTCGCTGTATTTTATTTATTCTGTACTTTAAAAAGATACAAATATAAAAGAAATGACACAATATTCACACAAGAAAAAATAACCTTGATTGGTTATTGACTCTAAAATGAGACGATCTTGAAAAGTGCACTACATCATATGTCCCGGTCACCACTACGTACGTGCATACGGCAGACTGTATGTTGGGCAAGAGTGCTATGCCTACGAACCAGGCCCTACACTACCTGACTACACGATCGCCGAATGTTGCAACCTGACGCTGCTTTTTTTCTTCATATATCATCTCAATGAAGTTCAGTCATTGCAAAAATGATGATAAGACATGAATCTGGGACTGAGAACTAGGCCTAATTCCAATTTTGTTAGGAAATAGGCCCTACTTGGAAAATTTTCTTGACTCTCCATAGACTTTGTACACAACCGCTGAAGTAGCGTCAGGTTGCAACATTCTTTCCATCAATTTACGTCTCCATCCTTGAACATTATTTAACTTACATTGTCTATGACGACCGGTTGGTTCGCTATGACATCATAAGAGTCCATCGTTGTAAAATCAGGGCCAAAATTTACCCAAATTCTAGCACTTTATATCGGATTAGTTTCCCGATCGCCGCGCTGGACAATCTGCAAATCAGACCCTTCTCATTTAGTCTGATACCGTTTTCGGCATCGCGCTTGGGAATCATAATATGAGTCTGGGATGCAGCTCGCTTTGGCACCGCTCCTAAAAGGAAATTTCTGAAACTCCTGCTTTGTTTCAGCTAAGGCTTCGTCCTTCACTTCAAAAATGTGAAGAATCAATCAAATAGAAATACAATTGACTTTGGCATGGTCTGATGACATTTAACCGATTTTGTTTCTAAAGTAGGAGGTGGAGTCATACTGATTTGGACTCTGGAAGATCATTAAATCGGTGGAACCAGTGAGGAAGCCAAAGTTGTAAAACCTCACAAGTTCGCTAACGAACAGGCTCGGACCACTAAATGTAAATAGCGCCCTCTTACATAACCTTCGCCGAGTATCATTAATTAAGAGGTGGTTCGCCCCCCCCCCCCCTTTTTTTCTTCGATTCAAAAGCAATTTGCCTATAAAATCTATATATTCTTTTAAATAAAGCACGACCCAACTAGTTTATAAAGACTTTTAGTGTAACATCTTGCAACTATGCCCACACCGACATAATTGTTGTATTCGTTTTCAGGAAAAGGGTAATAGAACCGATAAAATTCTGGAAAAAAGTATGAAAACCAAATCGATGTCCCTAGCGAATACGAAAGTTTGCTGTTTGATGAACAAATTAGATATCACATCACACTGCATTCCTTGATGAAGAAAAATCCTTTTGCATGATTTTTAATGCATGTAAAACTAAAGGTAGTTTCTAGGATTGGAAAGTCGCTGAATGGAGTTTAATGAGTTTACTTTGAACGCAATGCGCCAATATTTATCATTTGTATCGACAAGGGTGGATCCAGCCCAGTCTGCCCAGAACCATTTTCTTTTTGGGGGGGGGGGGCTGCAATTTGAAAAGCGAGAGTGGAGGGGCTGGGGAGCTGGACCTCATTCGACACACGGGGGCGTTCTTTTCCCTTTTTTTTATTAACACCATAGAGCTATATAGCTCTATGATTTTCGCATGCTCTATGGTTTACACGCATCTTTGGGCAAATTCCCGCATGTTTGGGCAAGTTCCCGCAAGAACGCGTGACTGCTATGCGCCCCTGATATAGACGTTAATCAAGCGTACGTAGACTGATCAGACAGTGCGCGGAACCGTCGACAACTTTGCCGATCGTCTGCGAGCTAGTTTACGTCTGTCTCAGTTAGTTGTCGACGACACTTTCAGATGAAATGTTTCCAGATGCTTGCGTTGCAGTTAGTCCAGTTTGCGTTTCACTTTGTGGTTCTTAAGTCAATCTGGAAACTGACGTTAGGCTATCCGTCATATCATCACACCAGTCAACAAATAATTGCAGTGGCGTAGCGGCACGGTCATTTTGATTGGGGGTAAATTTTGTTGAAAAGGGCTTTTACACATCCGGGGTAAAATGTAAGCGCGTTTTTTCCCCTGGACACTTGGCCTCCGTAAAATAAAAAAGCTGGGAGGGGGGAGGTGGGGGGGGGGGCTGGTACCATATGTCGGTGGAGGCGCTGTTCAAAACCCACCGTTATTCACACTGACGGACAATATGGGGCTATTCGGGGCGATATGTGCGTCAAATTAAACCAAAAAAGCACCCGAACGGCCGCTGCCACAAGGGGCACTTCTTAATAAAAAAGGACACTTCTACAAAAATACTGGAGGGGTAAGAGCAGGTGAAAAAAGGGTAGGCCTACTTCAATGGAAAATGGCAGGCTTCAGAAAGTATCCCCCCCCCCCCCCCCCCCCGCTGGCTACGCCTATGAATTGGGTACTTCATACTTCATCATGAAATATTTACTTGCTTTATAACTGCCTATCCCACCGGAGCGCTTCGGTAGCTCGATTGGTAAAGCGCTTTGAGACCCGTTGGTATAAACATGGTATAAAGGGCCATACAAGCACACTACGCGTGGCGAAAGACACTCATGTAGATTTTTAAAATTTTATGTGACAAATCAATTTCCAAAAATTATAACCCCAAAATGCAAAGCAAAACTCCCTAAACTAGAATACCCCCCCCCAAAAAAAAAAAACCTTGAAAAGACGAGTTAGACGACTCATAACAATATTTGTTTCCAGCTCTTTTATTCGGAACCCTGCGCTGTCTGAAGCTGAGCACGAAAATATAAGTAAATCCGCATCAACTGATCATACCGAAATACACTCCCGGCCGATAAGTCCCCCAAAACCTCCGCTGTGACTTCACAGCGATGGACCGGGAGAGTGACTTGTCACGTGCGAGGGCTTAACCAATAATAGGGAAAATTTGGACCGATTTTCATAGGAGTCGGATTTTCATAATAATGACAACGGTATGTGCAACGTGTGCAAGTACCATGCGATGAACTATGGAAGGCGACAAATACAAAAATGAACAGGAATTCAGAAAACGAATATAAAACAACTTTTCGAGACACAGCTAGTTTTACTAGTAAAATATTCACACTACAACCCTTGCATTGTTGTGCAAGATTAAGTTTTGAAGAATAAATACTTGATTAATTTAAAACTGTAGGACAACAAAATCAGGGAAAGTAGTTATTTATAGAGGAAAATACGTCTTTTTGAAGACACCGTACTATAGGTTTAGCTTATACCGGAGAGAAATTATAGAGGGCGCTGTGAAAACTTATGGAAGTTCAAAAGTGGATTCTTTTCTGCTAATGCGCCTATCAAATGGTTTCCCCCCCCCCCTCCCGCTGCGCCCCCCCCCCCCCCCCCCCCCTCCCGCTGCCTCAGGTCCGATGTCGGGATTTGGTCACGTTTTTCATGCCCCAGGGTAGGGATTATGGTCACTCAAATTACATTGTTAAAATTGGCGTACTACATAGAAAGGCAATCACTAGTGCGCCCCAGGCATGTATGTCGGGGCATGGTCGGGAGTTGTCACTTAAATTTTGCCCGAAGGGTGCGGATTTTGTCACTTCAAAAGTGACAATCCCCACGTCTTGGGTGGGGTAGCCCGGGGAGGGGTGGGGGAAACAATTGGTAGGCGCATAACACTCAGACTCCGGTTTGTTATTTGTATAATGCATTCTTTGCTAGAGTAGAGTTCCATGGTTGCTATTAGTTAATTGTCGATCTCCATCGACTAAAGGAGTGTTTGTTTGTCAGTGGTGTTAATTCAACGCTTCTTATTTCCCGTGTTAAAAGGCATCAACAAGTCCAAACTTTTATATTTGCGTGGGGGATCCGATTTTTCTGAGAAAAAAAGTTATCAAAATGAAATCAGTCTGAAGAGGCTGAAAGTAGGCGCGCAGCAATAACGATGGGGGAGGGGGAAATTAGGGGGTGATTCTACCCCGCGTGGCCATGTTGGCACTTGGCCAAAAATCAAGCCTTGCACACTCTTTAGATCCAAATCCCACATTTGAGCCTTTGTGACGTCACAGTGACGTGCGCGCAAACTTGGAATGTATCAGCGACATCTGCCGCGTCTTGGCAACTTTATGTTAGTTTGTGTTTGTGTTTCGATCAGTGAACACGGTTTTTTGCTTTGGTGCGTTTTCGGATGCTCAAAAGTGACGATTTGACGGAGAATATAGCGATTCAGGATGTACAACTACGCAAGCGCGTACGCAGCAGCCTTTTCGGAAAGTTACAAGTAAGTAACTTTTAAATACAAACAAATACAAACATTTTCTGTTCAAAGAATTTCTGTTTTTTAGAACCATTCTCTTAGTTGAGAAATTATTTGAACATGGTGTTTCCGCAAACCTTTCATTATTTAAACCTAAATGCATTTCAATGAAAAAGAATCAATCTGAATGCATTTCAATGAAAATATTTTTCCAAGTGAAACAAGGCGAGAGACCTTTTGCTGATCATTGCGAAGTTATTATTTTTGTTCTTGGGTTTGATCATTCAGAAAGGCGTGTGACTCGAATCCCATGACGGCAGGCGGCGGGCAGCACTACGGCACCTGCGGTCCCTACGGTTCTGCCACCGTCCGAGGACGGTGTCCGCACACGGCTCGTGTCGACGGGAGCGAGAATCCATGGGGAGGTGACACCCGCCCAAGATCACGGAATGCCGGTCAGCTCATGACTGGCTCCCGGTGGGTGTCCCCAAGTGGATATGTCCATCGCCAGATTGATTCCGCTAAGGATGAGCGGAATCTCAAGCCACCCTTACAAGGCCCTCAAGCTAGGTGAGTCTTACTCAAATCTGAACCACCCCCCCCCCTAAAAAAATTTGAATAAACAAAGCCCAACGAGAAACTGTCCTCATTTCCCAATGTGAAACAGAGAACTGTAAAGCAACCCCTAATTCCAATCAACATTGAAGGAATTTATATTTTGGGGTTGGGGGTGGGAGGTGGGGGAAATCTGTAATTACATTAGAAGAAAAAAAAGTTCACAGAAACACGATGGCTGGCGCGGAATCAACAAACCTGCTGACAACACTGATAACTTCTGTCATTAGGTAAGATATACTGTCGACCGTCTAATTTCATCTGGATATGTAACGTACCGCTTAATGGGTTTTTTTTTCATTCTTTGCCGTTGATGTTTCTTTTCCTCGAAATCTATTCATAGTTTCACTTCACCATTTTTCTATTTACCGCAAATTCCCGACTTCATCAAACGCATTAAGTTAGTTCATTTATAATAAAGATTGGAGTGGACCTTATCCAATATACCGGATCTGGTGGTGGGTGGCGGAGATGAGTGGTTGCACACCCCACCGTTCAGCCGCTGCAAAAATGTTGTGATACTATTAAAAATGGAGCCAAAAATAATTAAATTATACTCAAAGTTTCAAAATTTATTCTCAAATTGCCTTAGAACGGAGAGAGCGCATTCCCCCGAAGGGGCACGACTTCACTCCAATATTGACCTTCGTCTGCATGCGTTTCCTGAAACTTTCATTTATCCTTTGATACTGTCTGTCCAAATTTAAATCAAAAGATACTTGAACTGTGCCCGGAGAATGTGTTGACTGCAGTTTTGCAGGAAACGAACGCAAATTGAGTCCCCCAAACAAGAGGCTAACCTATTGGGCATTGAAGGAATTTTGAATGTTTCTGTTGAGGCTGAATATTTTAATCACGAACATTGCCCAGCGATTGGAGACAAAATTTGTATTGATAGCTGCCAACATATAAAAACCTAAAACCTGACTTCTGCAAAACTGGGCATACGGAATACAAACCCATCAGTAATATCCTGATGAATATCGATTTTGATCTTGTTGTTTAATTTGATCATTCAGAAAGGCGTGCAACTCGGATCCCTCGGCGGGAGGCAGCGGGCAGCGCTACGACAACTGCGGTCCCCGTTCTGCCACCGTCCAAGGACTGTGTCCGCACTCGGCTCGTGTCGAGAGCGGGAATCCACGGGGAGGTGACACCCGCCCAAGATCACGGAATGCCGGTCAGCCCATGACTGGCTCCCAGCGGGTGTCCCCAAGTGGATATGTCCATCGCCAGATTGATTCCGCTAAGGATGAGCGGAATCTCAAGCCACCCTTACAAGGCCCTCAAGCTAGGTGAGTCTTATTCAAATCTGCCCCCCCCCTAAAAAAAAATAGCAGAAACACTCCTCATTTCGCAAAGTGTTAAACAGTTCAGGTTTGCCGGAAACAAACACAAATTTATTTCCACAACTCAGGAGGCTTTCCCCCCTTCGGCGTCTTCCTCAACGCAACAAGGTTCGACCTCTGAACATCGACGGTCTCTTGTTGACGTCAGAGGCACGCCCACCCTGCCCCAGTGACTCGGCCCGCAGCTACGCCATGTTCAATGCCTCTTCGCAAATCTCCAATACCACCCAGAGATCAGGCAACTTGGTCGTAGCCGGGCAGTCCCGTAAGCTGGCGAACATCACCAGCGACAGGACGAGCTCGAGTCACCCAGAAGACGACATTGACAGGCCGCCGTCTGTCGTCGTAGGACAGGCATTTGTCCCGACAACATCAAGGTGAATGTCATCATTTTCTGTAGGGAAATGTTCCACAACAATATGTTTGACAATAATGCATTACAGCACCGAAAGTAGACTGTTACTGGCCTGTTGCTTTGCCATTAAGTTAAAGGTGGCATATTTTCATCAAGTCCCAACATTGTTGCATTGCTTACTCATGATTATCCCCTCTCCACATGTGTGTCTCATGGAAATTGTGTGTGCTGTCAGGTGGGCTGACTGTCTGAATTTATGTCCGTGGGCCGAAATCGGATCGTCAGTCAGTGAGATGGTTGTTGTTAGATAACAAGTTTGTCAACCTCTCTTCGTTAAATTGCTTCTCATTAGACTTCGAGCATCTCAATTCAAAGGGATCGGAATGCAGGAAAAGAAACAGGCAGACAGGGTCGTGCCTTTGCGTATCATCCATAATAAGAAATGACCGCCACCTATATAACTTTCTTCCCTAAGGTCCAAGCGAACGTGGAAAACGAGACTTCGATCTCTCTTTGCTCCTCGGAGTCGTGGGACCAAGACCACCGTTCAGCCTTTCGTTACACCACAAGGGCAATCGGAAGGTCAAGTCAGCCGACCTAGGTCACTCGAAGAAGACCACAGTGACCCAGGTCAAGTCAACCGACCCAGGTCACTCAAAGAAGACCACAGTGACCCAGGTCAAGTCAGTCAACCTAGGTCACTGAAAGAAGACCACAGTGACCCAGGTCAAGTCAGTCGACCGAGGTCACTCAAAGAAGACCACAGTGACCCAGGTCAAGTCAGTCAACCTAGGTCACTGAAAGAAGACCACAGTGACCCAGGTCAAGTCAGTCGACCGAGGTCACTCAAAGAAGACCACAGTGACCCAGGTCAAGTCAGTCGACCTATGCCACTCAAAGAAGACCACAGTGACCCAGGTCAAGTCAACCGATCTAGGTCACTCAAAGAAGACCACAGTGACCCAGGTCACCAGAGCCACACCAGCGCTCTGATGAAGAATCGAGAAGCGAAGGGATTTGGAGGAGATGGTAAGTTATATCTATCTGGCAAAATGCATGGTTTGTCTGTAACAACATCATCATCTGAATTATTAATAATAAAAAAATTGTCCAGTTGATTTATGGCAGGTGCATTGCTTGTAATTCATGTTCTTGGACCTTTGAATTTCAAAATGAAAAGCCATTGTGAAAAATAACATTACCCTGAACAATTCTTTGAAATGTTTACAATTAGAAAAAGAAAACATTCCTTATAGGAAACAAATGTGTCCTACTGGCCAATTGCTTTATTCTCCAGCATTAAGTATAAAGATGCATCATCGGCAATGCAGCGCTGCCATGGCAACAAGACCAGCCTCGTACAGCAACCAGCCCCTCCCGATCCCAGGAACACCTCAATTTGACTGGGACCGTCTCCAGTCAAGCTCCCACCCTGCTCCAAGAAGTGACAATCTGATCACATCACAGAAGCAGAAGGAGGTTACGAGCCTCGTCGCCAACTACGGTGACGGGTCACTCCCAGCTTCAACTCCTAGGAATGCTTCCTTTCGCAATTCCTCGGTTTGCAACTTGCCTTCATTTCCATCTCAGAGGCAAGGAGCAAAGATGCGGGATAAGATATCATCAGATGAGGAAGTAGCAATCCCTAATGCAGATCCTCTGACGTCGATCTCACGTGGTGATGGCAAGCCTCACGAAGAGGGAAGAGAAAGTGGAGACCATGGTGGTGGTTGGGAATCGATCTCAATTCCAGTGTCTCCATCTCCATCTCATCAATCTGTCTCCTCCACATCCAGGAATTCCTCTCCGTCTCAGAATGTAGGATCAGAGACGGATGTTGAAGACTTCATCTACAATGTTGATGGAGAAAGCTCATCGGTATCATCTATGAGCGATGTAAGCGTTGTCAGTGTCCCATCACAATATTAACTCGCTACATCTACCTGGAAGTTACGAATTTGATAAAATAAATACTCACGTTGACTTCCTTTAATTTATATCTCGATGTTAAAATTGTAAGTCCTGGCAGTAAGGAAATGTTTCATTGTTCTGGCGAACATTTAGAATATCCCGTCCCCCTTTATCCACAGTCTTCATGGGCAATGCCAAATTCAGAAGCTGATGTGGATGTTGACTCTTTTGATGAGGAGACAATTGCAGACAAAAGCAGACAAAGGTTTACAAAATTACCACCGCTTCGTCAGCAGCGACTCGCTGTGAGTATAATAAACATCGTACATCATCCATACTTTAAAGTTTTTCAGAGTTGAGTTTGACCTCTTAATCTTTCTTTCCTATTGCTTAATTAACTCCATATAAATCTTACGTTGTCTCCATGGTGCATGTTTGAAGTAATCGTTTCAGTTTTCGTTGTTTTGGTTGGCTTTGCAGCTCAAGATAGCCCCGGCATTTGCTTTAAAAACATCTTATCCGGAGGACTTTGCTCATTGGCTGACGGTTGTGCTAAGTTGTATTGAGCGAAGGGATGTGATGCGACGGATGCAACTTGCTTCCAACTACAAGACACCGTTCACAAGAAAGGAGGCTTGGGTAAGTCGATACTCATTACTTCTGCGAAGTGATTTTAAACCTCATGATTTCTTGGAACCTGAGGAAGGACCGGGTCTGAGATTATTTTAGGAATGGTCAGAATAAACTATTAAAAAATATTTCGAAATTTTGAAATATTTTAAATGGTCTGTATGTTTTTTCCAACAGGAAATTCATGCCAACGCCGCAAAAGCCAAAGACATAATGCGTCAATTGAACCAAATCATCTCATTATCGACGAAGGACGAAGAGTCGAGTATTGAGAGTTTGCAATTAGCCTCTCCTGCAAATCCTGTCAAGAAAGACTCGGAAATCGAGGGGGACAGAAGAACATCAAATGCAACACCACAGTTCCCGAAGGACGCCTGGAGTTCTAGAGAGGTAGCATCTTCAAAAGATTCCGAATCGTCTGCATCCATAACTGCAAAGACAAAGTTCGAAACTACTTTGAAGGAACACAAAGAAAAAGTTGAAAAGAGCGACTCAGATCAAGAAGAGGTAACGCCAGCTGAATGTCCAGAGTCTTCAATTTCAAAGCTCTCTGAGATGATGTCTACTGAAAGTAAACCATGGGATGTTGTCAACAAGGCATCCCCATGTGCACATCTACCCACAATCTCGAAGAAGTCATCTTCGAATGACGCATCAAGAGCAGCGTCCCATGCTCAGAAGGACATCTTAAGTCTCGCAGAGGCCGCTTCTGAAAATGGCGCAGAATATACTTCATCTATAAATGCACAGAAATACATAGTGTATGCCCAAACAGAAATGGAAGAAACTCCAAGAAAACCCCAAAAGACTGAGAAGAGCGACTCAGATCGACCATCTGGAAGTCCAGTGTCTTTACTGCCAAAACTTTCTAATAAGACTCCCACTTCAGCTTCATTAGGAAAAGTTGTCAACAAGGCATCATTTGAAGAAAATTACCATTCGCCACAACGGAAAATCTCGAAGAATTCGTCATTGAAGGATGCGGCTACAACTGATAACACATCAAGCACAGCTAATGCTTCTTCTACGAACCCTCAAGTAACACAAAGTCCTCAGGAAGGACTACCAGAACTCACAGCCTATCCCTCAATCGATCCTAGCGAGTTGGAGTTCATTATGTCTGACAACGGAAAAGAAGTGGCGCTTGGGTCGGGTTCTTGTGGTGGAGTCCTACTGATGCGTCATAAAGGAGACAACACCCTCCTTGCTGTCAAGGTGCTGGTTAAAAACTTCTCTTTCTTGCAGCACGAGGTGGCAGCCATGCATGCGGTGAGAAACTGTCTCTTCTTCCCCAAATTTGTAGGAGTCATCGACTACTGCTCTTACGCCCAAGAGCTCGTAGGCGGTGTTGGCAGAAACACGGCTTACGACTTCCGCAAGGCGCTGCACGACGATCTCTTGAACGCGTTAGAGTGGCTACACGTCTGCCGTGATGTCACGAAGGGACTCAAGGCTTTGCATACTGCTGGCTGGCTTCACTGCGACCTACACTGCGGCAATGCTATGGTGTGTCCCAATCCACCAGGCTCTGATGTGGCTTGGCGCGGCAAGATCATCGACCTGGGAAACGCCCTGCAGATTTCGAATCCAGGCCCAGTCACGATCCTTGATGATGAGCAACAGAAGAAGCTCTACGAACTTGCCAAGCAGGTACGAACGAAACCAAGAGAATTAACACGCCATCATCTTTTAAACCCAGTCCATTTCTTGGATGCTTTCTCCTTCCTTTCCCAACTTTTAAACTACTGAGATTAAGATTTCTTTACTTCAGTTTTAAAACAAAAAATATATAATTTTGTGCAGCTGAATATGAAGTGCAAAGAACAACACAATAGATTATTGCAGTCTGCATTCTAATCAATTGAGCAATGTTATTCTTGCCCGATGTAAAAGCTTAGACTAAAGTCATTTTACTTTCTCACACATTGACTTCCAGTGTGCCCCCGAGATTCTGGAAGGCAGAGACACATTCACCGAGAAGTCCGACATCTACAGTCTCGGCAATCTCTTCGTGGATGTAGCCAGTGACGCAAACATCCCCCACGGTCTCCGTCTGCTAGGCGAGTTCTGCATGAGACGAAGTTCTGATGCTCGCCCAACACTGGATGCCATCTCGGGGAAACTAGACGATTTCATCTCGGAGATGATGCAGGCTGAGCAACAGCCTTCCAGCCCGTCTCCTATTCCTCCTTCCTCATCCTCTCCTTCTCCTAATCTTCGTTGCCATCTCATCGCGGAGACGGTGCAGGCTCAGCAGCAGCCTTCTAGCCCGTCTCCTATTCCTCCTTCCCCATCATCTCCTTCTCCTAAAATGCGTTGCCGTCTTTGTTAGTTTATCAAATCCGAAATCGCACAGAAAGAGTAGAGAAGACCGGCCGCGTCCTAATCGGATGTTTTAGACTACGATTACAGAGCAGTACATGATCATGAGTAGTGGAAGGCTGGAAGTATGCAAACCGTAGTCTAAAACAACCGATTTGGACGCGGCGTTAGGGCCGTGTTTCACACGAAGGAATTCACAGGCAAATTGTTCCAGGCAAGAAAAGGACAGAACAAAAATGTCATTCCCTACAATACTCTGAGGTATTCTTTGACAGCTAAAGTTCTCCATTCCTCCTAGTGTTTCTTGCATTTAGTTGTCGCTCAGTTGCCGATGAGAATTGCTTTGTTATTGGCCCTTACACACCAGAGAACTTTATCACGATGTAACCATTTTGTCTAGTTTCCAGCAGCAAGACATTGAGAAATCACTGCGGCCACTTGCGTACAGAATAGTCACCAGACAGTGATTATTTTTCTCTGTAGATCTGTTTGGTCATTTGGATCAGTTGTAAGAACATTGAGAACATGATTAAGACTATAATTATCATGCGCTGCTAACGTTCCAGTACGCTGTATTTTGGTAAAAATAATAAGCTTTTAAACTTGAAAAATATCTGAAATATGAAAATATCTGCTTATTGAACCACAGATTTGCTGTTCAACTGATCCAAAGAGAGTACTGCTAAAGTTTACTGTTTCTGTGCGATTTTTGACAACCATTTATTCTGTTAATTATTATCTGAGATGTGGCTCACTCAAATATGGTATTAAAAAAAACTGATCTAAAAATCTTGAAAACAAACCATCAGTTCAATTTTGCTTCATATTCAAATCCTCCGATTTGAATATATTTTGTTTTCACACACTTATAGAGGTGAGGGTTAAGACCAGTACTCCGTTTGTTCAAGTGTTAGTTTTTGTGGGTGTCCTAACAACCTCGTTAACATAGCTTTCGAGCTCCAATACGAGGTTGACCTTTGACACCCGCAATGACGTCACCTTTTTCAAGTCCGGAGTTCTGGTCTTATTTTCAGTCCAAACATGACATGCGCTGATTTTTCTTCATTCAATTTCATTCTCTATTAATTGAGTCATATCCTATGGATCCCTTATTTTTTTATATTTTACGATGGACCACTTTTTTTCACGAGTGAAGGTAGCTTAATTTTGAAATCACAGTTTGAATAATTGCAGTAACATCAGTTACTAACACAACCATTGACCTCAGGTATGCATGTAGTCAGTTTGAAGACAAATAATGGAAATACATACACATTGTCATTCATATAAATAGGTATGTAACACAAGTTCAATCCTAACTTTAGCTTTGATGCAATTTTTTTTCACAGCAAAAAGAAATCCTCTGCATTCTTCTTTCCAGCATAATGTATTTGGTTTTTATAATAAATGGTGTTGGTTAGTACTATCAGAATATTACTGATGCTTATAGATATTGGTACTCCCGGGTATCTATCACATTCTTTTATGACACTATGAAACTCTAGAACGCTGATACATAGCACAGAATGAAACAATATGTGACATCAAGCTGGCTTATTCTGTACATTAAAGGGAATATACATCATTTGCTTTTGCTGTAATTTTCAGAAATGGATGGAATTGGGGGGTTGGAAATATATAGCAAATATAGTTACACTAACTTTTTTGAGGTTTTGGGTTCGAAAATGCTATAAAAACCAAGAAAAACAATCATTTTCCTGTAGTCTGGTTCCCTGACTCCATATAAGAAGAAACAGAGCAGTTTACATACATTGGGGAATTGTAAGGTCAGGGAACCAGTCTAGCTGGCTTGTACCCGTTCATAGGTGTGTAATCGATTGCAAACAAGTGCGATGGTCAATTGGGGCCAGTATTTGAAAAAAAAAGCCAGTTTTTTCCAACGCTGGTCGGCCGACCAGCGTTGGAAATTGATACAAAAATACCACTTTTCTTGAAAATGACAGTATACCAGGTGCCATGATTTTACAGGATGCTTTACACTGTCATTCACTAACAGTCCAGCAAGGTATTTTAAAATGATTTGGTAGTTTTATTTTTTGATGTTTGCAAATGTTGTATTTTCCCTTTAATGGCAAATGAGAATTGACAAATAAATCATGCCAGAACGAAAAATTGTGTTTTCTGGTCTTTTTTTTTCAAGTTGTGACATTTACTTCAAAATTATAATGTCCTCCATTGCCTTACAGCAAAACCACCCTTTCACGCAACTGGCGGGGGCGGGGCGGGGGGGGGGGTTTCTTCGAATTTTTTATGGTTTTTTTTTTTAAACTATGAAGCCGAATTATTTAAACATTTCAAAGGATTTCCGGAACAAATACAAGAAACCAGAGATCCTTTATAAACAATGTGAGTTGGAAACAGTTTAACAAGTCAGAAATATAGGTTGATAGTGTGACATTTGGCACTGATCGATATAGCGCAGCGTGATTTTCCGCGGAGTCCCCCAGGGGCAGTGCGCGCAGCAGACGGTCAACATCGCAGGCCGTGCTGGCGCGCGGCTGGTACCGCCACCGTGTTTCAATGATATTTTGTAAATAGGCCCTCAGTTTTCATCATTTTAGTTAATTTTCAGCCCTAACAATGTGTTGTTATTTTGGGTTTCTCTTTTGCCTGTCGTTATTTCCGTTAAAGATTTAAAAGTGTTTTTAGGTCATGTATAGGTTTTCCCGGTCATTTTAACACTTGTATCACACGAATTCCCTATATCGATACTTTAATTTCGTCCCCGATAATGTATTCCCCTCCATTTTTAAGATGGCTGCTGAATGTAAATAATTATCCAGGGGGCGAGTCGGTCGGGGGGGGGGGGCAGTCAGCTAGGACGGGAGTTGGCGAGGGGACAAGTCGGCTAGGGGGCGAGTCGGTCAGGGGCCGAGTTTGTACAGGGTCGAGACGGTCAGGGGGCGAGTCAGTCAGGGGGCGAGTCGGTAAGGGGCGAGTCGGTCAGGGGGCAAGTAAAGGGGCAAGTCGGTCAGGGGACAAGTCGGTAAGGGGCGAGCCAGGGGGCGAGTTGACCTACAATCCTATTGTTGACCAATGGTTAACCATAGTTCGATGTTGGTTCACTATCGGCTATTTGGAACCACACGCACTACGTACAGCAGGGAGCCAGGACCCAGTAATTTTGTGATGACATTTTGACCAGCATTTGACTCGAGACGTTCGCACGTTGCTATTAGTGCACAGGCGTAAATTACGTCCACTAGTCGACAAATAGTCCTTGCCCGAATTTGCTCATTGTTGATATTCAAGGATCCGCAGATGGCAAAAGGACGAGTAACATCACTAAAAAAATTCATCTTCACCCCTCAACTCATCTTTGATCGAAGATAATTTGTTTATCAGGAATCAACTCCATGGGTAATTCAAACAAAAGAAACATCCATTTAAGAAAGGCACGGAACAATCTTTTTATTCATAAACGATTATGTAACCACTTAATTTTACAACACAGCTTGATTGTACAAACCTGGTGTAAAATTCACTACATGTATTGTACTTTTTGGTTGGCATAGTCCATGATCACACTATCAACTGTTAAACTAAGTTAAACACAAATAACCGGAAAGCCTTATTTTGGTCATCTCCACAAAATCACCAATCGTCATTTTTCACAAAGAGCCAAATTTAGTGCACGGAGATATAGGAAATTTGCCTCCTAGTGAAAAATGATGAAATGTCATCAATTTCCCCAGCACCCCCCCCCCCCTACAAAAGAAAAACAACGTTTAGACTAACCTACATCAGTGTATGGCACTGTTTCAACATAGAAACCAACATGAACTGCTGTTTCAGTTTTAAGACAGTAACGCCTTGTGCACTTCTTCATGAACTTCACAAAAAAAATGATGACAAGTGCTTTAGAATATTTACAATAAACACAGAATTACGTATCTAGACAAATTTCTGATTAGCAGGCAGCACTTAGGCTCTTGAGGGCCTTCCACACTAGGGACCAGTGTGGCTTGGAAATACATGTAGTGGCTTTAATATTAAATCACCATTGCGTTGGATAATTTTACAAGGCCCACACACCTATATCTCAATTTTGTGATGTGACATGCACATTGCCAGTAATGTGCCCGATAAAATAACCACACAAACTGACGATTTAACGAGTGAATTTTTCTGAGCCGCGCAAATACCCCGAATGGTCCCTATTGGCTAAAATCCCCATGTTGGACCAGGATCCAACACAGAAATTTCTGCAACCCATTTCACGCCAGCAAGAATCCAACACTGCTTCTACACGGGTCCGGCGCTATACGCAGGTTAATTCCAACCATGGTTGGGACCAGGGTTGAGTGGTTCTACCCCGGGGTAGAAAATAAACAATTTACAGTCGACCCGTGTACACACTGCTGTAAGTGTGAATGATGAGAGTTGCATAACTACATTCGATTATTTCGGTTTGTAAAAAATATGGGTGGAAGCCGTGCACAGGACTGTGAGCTTGTAGTTCCGTTCAATTTGGATGAAATTGGGGCCCTTAAAGCGCTCTATTTTGCAATGGAGTGTAGGCATCGTTTTTCAAAATGGCGATGGGCTTCAGGACTATTTTCAGGGGTGATCATCTTCGGATGGAAATAACTCCTAAAAGTCATCAGTTGACCCCCAAAAAACTGAAAAGAAAATGAAAGATGATGAAATAAGCTTTAATTAGATGTGTGTCTCGAAACCTTGGAGAGTTGTGAGTATTTTTCCCGAATTTCTGAAGTGGGAGCATTTACCATTGGGGTCTATGGAAGTTTATTTACTGGTCTGTAACCCTAACAGACTACGTTTGGTTATTTGTATAATGCATTCTTTGCCAGTGTAGAGTGTCATGGTAGCAATAAGTTAATTAGGTTTGATCTCCATCGACTTAACAATCAACGTTTCTTATTTCCCGTGTGAAAAGGCATCAACAAGTCCAAACTTTTATATGTGCGTGGGGGATCCGATTTTTCTGAGAAAAAAAGTTATCAAAATGAAATCAGTCTGAAAAGGCTAAAAGTAGGCGCGCAGCAATAACGGTGGGGGAGGTGGAAATTAGGGGGTGATTCTACCCCGCGTGGCCATGTTGGCACTTGGCCAAAAATCAAGCCTTGCACACGCTTTAGATCCAAATCCCACATTTGAGCTTTTGTGACGTCACAGTGACGTGCGCGCAAACTTGGAATGTATCGGTGACATCTGCCGCGTCTTGGCAACTTTATGTTAGTTTGTGTTTGTGTTTCGATCAGTGAACACGGTTTTTTGCTTTGGTGCGTTTTCGGATGCTCAAAAGTGACGATTTGACGGAGAATATAGCGATTCAGGATGTACAACTACGCAAGCGCGTACGCAGCAGCCTTTTCGGAAAGTTACAAGTAAGTAACTTTTAAATAAAAACAAATAAAAACATTTTCTGTTCAAAGAATTTCAATGGAAAGAGTTTTTTAGAACCATTCTCTTAGTTGAGAAATTATTTGAACATGGTGTTTCCGCAAACCTTTCATTATTTAAACCTAAATGCATTTCAATGAAAAAGAATCAATCTGAATGCATTTCAATGAAAATATTTTTCAAAGTGAAACAAGGCGATAGACCTTTTGCTGATCATTGCGAAGTTATTACTTTTGTTCTTGGGTTTGATCATTCAGAAAGGCGTGTGACTCGAATCCCATGACGGCAGGCGGCGGGCAGCACTACGGCACCTGCGGTCCCTACGGTTCTGCCACCATCCGAGGACGGTGTCCGCACACGGCTCGTGTCAACGGGAGCGAGAATCCACGGGGAGGTGACACCCGCCCAAGATCACGGAATGCCGGTCAGCTCATGACTGGCTCCCGGTGGGTGTCCCCAAGTGGATATGTCCATCGCCAGATTGATTCCGCTAAGGATGAGCGGAATCTCAAGCCACCCTTACAAGGCCCCCAAGTTAGGTGAGTCTTATTCAAATCTGAACCCCCCCCCCTAAAAAAATAGAATAAACAAAGCCCAACGAGAAACTTTTCTCATTTCCCAATGTGAAAAAGAGAACTCTGTAGCAACTCCTTATTCCAATCAACATAAAAGGAATTTATATTTTGGGGGTCTGGGTGGGGGCAAAGATCTGTAAGTCCTTTAAAAATAATAATAAAAGTAAACAGAAACACGATGGCTGGCGTGGAATCAACAAACTTGCTGACAACACTGGTAACTTCTTTCATTTTGGTAAAATATATATTGTCGATCGTCTAACTTCATCTGAAATTTCATCGTCTAATTTCAGCTAAATGAGTCGTTTGTCGGGAATGTTTATTTACAGGCCAAAATAGGACCACTTCATCACATCACTTCATCACATCTCTTGGTGTTCCAACTTTCATAATTTTTGAGCTAAAGATGGTATCAGCATGCGGTTTTCACAGCAGTAATGCTGAGATTGTGATCTTTTCAATTCTGTAATAAAAAAACTTTTTGACCAGGGTCGACAAACGACTCATGTAGCTTGATCGCATCACATTTGTAGCCTACCGCTCAATGTTTTTTTTTTATTCATTCTTTGCCGTTGATGTTTTTTTCCTCGAAACCTGTTCATATAGTTTCACTTCACCATTTTTCTATTTACAAGTCCGACTTCATCAAAAGCATTAAGTTAGTTCATTTATAATAAAGATTGGAGTGGACCTTATCCAGTATACCGCATCTGGTGGTAGGTGGCGGAGATGAGTGGTTGCACACCCTTCCGATCAGCCGCTGCAAAAAATGTTGTGATACTATTAAAATGGGGCCAAAATAATTAAATTATACTCAAAGTTCCTAAATTTATTCTCAAATTGCCTTAGAATGGAGAGAGCGCATTCCCCCGAAGGGGCACGACTTCACTCAAATATCGACCTTCGTCTGCATGCGTTTCCTGAAACTTTCATTTATCCTTTGATATACTGTCTGTCCAAATTTAAATCACAAGATACTTGAACTCTGCCCTGAGAATGTGTTGACTGCAGTTTTGCAGGAAACGCACGCAAATTGATTCCCCAAACAGGAGGCTGTAACCTATTGGGCATTGAAGGAATTTTGAATGTTTCTGTTGAAGCTGAATATTTTAATCACGAAAATTGCCCAGCGATTGGAGACAAAATTTGTATTGATAGCTGCCAACATATAGAAACCTAAAACCTGTCTACTGCAAAACTGGGCATACGGAATACAAACCCATCAGTAATATCCTGATCAATATCGATTTTGATCTTGTTGTTTAATTTGATCATTCAGAAAGGCGTGCGACTCGGATCCCTCGGCGAGAGGCAGCGGGCAGCGCTACGACAACTGCGGTCCCCGTTCTGCCACCGTCCAAGGACTGTGTCCGCACTCGGCTCGTGTCGAGAGCGGGAATCCACGTGGAGGTGACACCCGCCCAAGATCACGGAATGCCGGTCAGCCCATGACTGGCTCCCAGCGGATGTCCCAAAGTGGATATGTCCATCGCCAGATTGATTCCGCTAAGGATGAGCGGAATCTCAAGCCACCCTTACAAGGCCCTCAAGCTAGGTGAGTCTTATTCAAATCTGCCCCCCCCCCTAAAAAAAAATAGCAGAACACTGCTCATTTTGCAAAGTGTTAAACAGTTCAGGTTTGCCGGAAACAAACACAAATTTATTTCCACAACTCAGGAGGCTTTCCCCCCTTCGGCGTCTTCCTCAACGCAACAAGGTTCGACCTCTGAACATCGACGGTCTCTTGTTGACGTCAGAAGCACGCCCACCCTGCCCCAGTGACTCGGCCCGCAGCTACGCCATGTTCAATGCCTCTTCGCAAATCTCCAATACCACCCAGAGATCAGGCAATTTGGTCGTAGCCGGGCAGTCCCGTAAGCTGGCGAACATCACCAGCGACAGGACGAGCTCGAGTCCCCCAGAAGACGACATTGACAGGCCGCCGTCTGTCGTCGTTGGACAGGCATTTGTCCCGACAACATCAAGGTGAATGTCATCATTTTCTGTAGGGAAATGTTCCACAACAATATGTTCGACAATAATGCATTACTGCACCGAAGGTAGACTGTTACTGGCCTGTTGCTTTGCCATTAAGTTAAAAGTGGCATATTTTCATCAAGTCCCAACATTGTTGCATTGCTTACTCATGATTATCCCCTCTCCACATGTGTGTCTCTTGGAAATTGTGTGTGCTGTCAGGTGGGCTGACTGTCTGAATTTATGTCCGTGGGCCGAAATCGGACCGTCAGTCAGTGAGATGGTTGTTGTTAGATAACACGTTTGTCAACCTCTCTTCGTTAAATTGCTTCTCATTAGACTTCGAGCATGTCAATTCAAAGGGATCGGAATGCAGGAAAAGAAACAGGCAGACAGGGTCGTGCCTTTGCGTATCATCCATAATAAGAAATGACCGCCACCTATATAACTTTCTTCCCCAAGGTCCAAGCGAACGTGGAAAACAAGACTTCGATCTCTCTTTGCTCCTCGGAGTCGCGGGACCAAGACCACCGTTCAGCCTTTCGTTACACCACAAGGGCAATCGGAAGGTCAAGTCAGTCGACCTAGGTTACTCGAAGAAGACCACAGTGATCCAGGTCAAGTCAACCGACCCAGGTCACTCAAAGAAGACCACAGTGACCCAGGTCAAGTCAGTCGACCTAGGTCACTCAAAGAAGACCACAGTGACCCAGGTCACCAGAGCCACACCAGCGCTCTGATGAAGAATCGAGAAGCGAAGGAATTTGGAGGAGATGGTAAGTTATATCTATCTGGCAAAATGCATGGTTTGTCTGTAACAACATCATCATCTGAATTAATTAATAAAAAAAAATTGTCCAGTTGATTTATGGCAGGTACATTGCTTGTAATTCATGTCCTTGGACCTTTGAATTTCAAAATGAAAAGCCATTGCATTGTGAAAAATAACATTACCCTGAACAATTCTTTGAAATGTTTACAATTAGAAAAAGAAAACATTCCTTATAGGAAACAAATGTGTCCTACTGACCAATTGCTTTATTCTCCAGCATTAACTATAAAGATGCATCATCGGCAATGCAGCGCTGCCATGGCAACAAGACCAGCCTCGTACAGCAACCAGCCCCTCCCGATCCCAGGAACACCTCAATTTGACTGGGACCGTCTCCAGTCAAGCTCCCACCCTGCTCCAAGAAGTGACAATCTGATCACATCACAGAAGCAGAAGGAGGTTACGGGCCTCGTCGCCAACTACGGTGACGGGTCACTCCCAGTTTCAGCTCCTAGGAATGCTTCCTTTCGCAATTCCTCGGTTTGCGACTTGCCTTCATTTCCATCTCAGGGGCAAGGAGCAAAGATGCGGGATAAGATATCATCAGATGAGGAAGTAACAATCCCTAATGCAGATCCTCTGACGTCGATCTCACGTGGCGATGGCAAGCCTCACGAAGAGGGAAGAGAAAGTGGAGACCATGGTTGTGGTTGGGAATCGATCTCAGTTCCAGTGTCTCCATCTCCATCTCATCAATCTGTCTCCTCCTCATCCAAGAATTCCTCTCCGTCTCAGAATGTAGGATCAGAGACGGATGTTGAAGACTTCATCTACAATGTTGATGGAGAAAGCTCATCGGTATCATCTATGAGCGATGTAAGCATTGTCAGTGTCCCATCACAATATTAACTCGCTACATCTACCTGGAAGTTACGAATTTGATAAAATAAATACTCACGTTGACTTCCATTAATTTATATCTCGATGTTAAAATTGTAAGTGCTGGCAGTAAGGAAATGTTTCATCGTTCTGGCGAACATTTAGAATATCCCGTCCCCCTTTATCCACAGTCTTCATGGGCAATGCCAAATTCAGAAGCTGATGCGGATGTTGACTCTTTTGATGAGGAGACAATTGCAGACAAAAGCAGACAAAGGTTTACAGAATTACCACCGCTTCGTCAGCAGCGACTCGCTGTGAGTATAATAAACATCGTACATCATCCATACTTCAAAGTTTTTCAGAGTTGAGTTTGACCTCTTAATCTTTCTTTCCTATTGCTTAATTAACTCCATATAAATCTTACGTTGTCTCCATGGTGCATGTTTGAAGCAATCGTTTCAGTTTTCGTTGTTTTGGTTGGTTTTGCAGCTCAAGATGGCCCCGGCATTTGCTTTAAAAACATCTTATCCGGAGGACTTTGCTCATTGGCTGACGGTTGTGCTGAGTTGTATTGAGCGAAGGGATGTGATGCGACGGATGCAACTTGCTTCCAACTACAAGACACCGTTCACAAGAAAGGAGGCTTGGGTAGGTTGATACTCATTACTTCTGCGAAGTGATTTTAAACCTCATGATTTCTTGGAACCTGAGGAAGGACCGGGTCTGAGTTTATTTCAGGAATGGTCAGAATAAACTATTACAAAAAAACATTTCGAAATTTTGAAGTATTTTAAATAGTCTGTATGTTTTTCCCAACAGGAAATTCATGCCAACGCCGCAAAAGCCAAAGACATAATGCGTCAATTGAACCAAATCATCTCATTATCGACAAAGGACGAAGAGTCGAGTATTGAGAGTTTGCAATTAGCCTCTCCTGCAAATCCTGTCAAGAAAGACTCAGAAATCGAGGGGGACAGAAGAACATCAAGTGCAACACCACAGGTCCCGAAGGACGCCTGGAGTTCTAGACAGGTAGCATCTTCAAAAGATTCCGAATCGTCTGCATCCATAACTCCAAAGACAAAGTTCGAAACTACTTTGAAGGAACACAAAGAAAAAGTTGAAAAGAGCGACTCAGATCAAGAAGAGGTAACGCCAGCTGAATGTCCAGAGTCTTCAATTTCAAAGCTCTCTGAGATGATGTCTACTGAAAGTAAACCATGGGATGTTGTCAACAAGGCATCCCCATGTGCACATCTACCCACAATCTCGAAGAAGTCATCTTCGAACGACTGCGCATCAAGAGCAGCGTCCCATGCTCAGAAGGACACCTTAAGTCTCGAAAAAGGCGCAGAATATACTTCATCCATGAATGCAAAGAAATACATAGTGTATGCCCAAAAAGAAATGGACGAAATTGCAAGAAAACCCGAAGAGACTGAGAAGAGCGACTCAGATCGACCATCTGGAAGTCCAGCGTCTTTACTGCCAAAACTTTCTGATAAGACTCCCACTTCAGCTTCATCAGGAGTAGTTGTCAACAAGGTATCAGTTGAAGAAAATTACCATTCGCCACAACCGAAAATCTCAAAGAATTCATCTTGGAAGGATGTGGCTACAACTGATAACACATCAAGCACAGCTAATGCTTCTTCTAAGAACCCTCAAGCAACACAAAGTCCTCAGGAAGGACTACTAGAACTCACAGCCTATCCCTCAATCGATCCTAGCGAGTTGGAGTTCATTATGTCTGACAACGGAAAAGAAGTGGCGCTTGGGTCGGGTTCTTGTGGTGGAGTCCTACTGATGCGTCATAAAGCAGACAATACTCTCCTTGCTGTCAAGGTGCTGGTTAAAAACTTCTCTTTCTTGCAGCACGAGGTGGCAGCCATGCATGCGGTGAGAAACTGTCCCTTCTTCCCCAAATTTGTAGGAGTCATCGACTACTGCTCTTACGCCCAAGAGCTCGTAGGTGGTGTTGGCAGAAACACGGCTTACGACTTCCGCAAGGCGCTGCACGACGATCTCTTGAACGCGTTAGAGTGGCTACACGTCTGCCGTGATGTCACGAAGGGACTCAAGGCTTTGCATACTGCTGGCTGGCTTCACTGCGACCTACACTGCGGCAATGCTATGGTGTGTCCCAATCCACCAGGCTCTGATGTGGCTTGGCGCGGCAAGATCATCGACCTGGGAAACGCCCTGCAGATTTCGAATCCAGGCCCAGTCACGATCCTTGATGATGAGCAACAGAAGAAGCTCTACGAACTTGCCAAGCAGGTACGAACGAAACCAAGAGAATTAACACGCCATCATCTTTTAAACCCAGTCCATTTCTTGGATGCTTTCTTCTTCCTTTCCCAACTTTTAAACTCACTGAGATTAAGATTTCTTTACTTCAGTTTTAAAACACAAAATGTATAATTTTGTGCAGCTGAATATGAAGTGCAAAGAACAATACAATAGACTATTGCAGTCTGCATTCTAATCAATTGAGCAATGTTATTCTTGCCCGATGTAAAAGCTTAGACTAAAGTCATTTTACTTTCTCACACATTGACTTCAAGTGTGCCCCCGAGATTCTGGAAGGCAGAGACACATTCACCGAAAAATCCGACATCTACAGTCTCGGCAATCTCTTCGTGGATGTAGCCAGTGACGCAAATATCCCCCACGGTCTCCGTCTACTAGGCGAGTTCTGCATGAGACGAAGTTCTGATGCTCGCCCAACACTGGATGCCATCTCGGGGAAACTAGACGATTTCATCTCGGAGATGATGCAGGCTGAGCAACAGCCTTCCAGCCCGTCTCCTATTCCTCCTCCCTCATCCTCTCCTTCTCCTAATCTTCGTTGCCATCTCATCGCGGAGATGGTGCAGGCTGAGCAGCAGCCTTCAAGCCCCTCTCGTATTCCTCCTTCCCCATCATCGCCTTCTCCTAAAATGCGTTGCCGTCTTTGTTAGTTTATCAAATCCAAAATCGCACAGAAAGAGTAGAGAAGACCGGCCGCGTCCTAATCGGATGTTTTGACTACGATTACAAAGCAGTACATGAGTAGTGGAAGGCTGGAAGCATGCAAACCGTAGTCTAAAACAACCGATTTGGACGCGGCGCTAGGGCCGTGTGTTAACACGAAGGAACTCAAAGGCAAATTGTTCCAGGCAAGAAAAGGACAGAACAAAAATTTCTTTCCCTACAATACTCTGAGGTATTCTTTGACAGCTAATGTTCTCCATTCCTCCTAGTGTTTCTTGCATTTAGTTGTCTCTCAGTTGCCGATGAGAATTGCTTTGTTATTGGCCCTTATACACCAGAGAACTTTATCACGATGTAGCCCTTTTGTCTAGTTTCCAGCAGCAAGACATTGAGAAATCACTGCGGCCACTTGCGTACAGAATAGTCACCAGACAGTGATTATTTTTCTCTGTAGATCTGTTTGGTCATTTGGATCAGTTGTAAGAACATTGAGAACATGATTAAGACTATAATTATCATGCGCTGCTAACGTTCCAGTACGCTGTATTTTGGTAAATATAATAAGCTTTTAAACTTGAAAAATATCTGAAATATGAAAATATCTGCCTTTTGAACCACAGATTTGCTGCTAAACTGATCCAAAGAGAGTACTGCCAAAGTTTACTGTTTCTGTGCGATTTTTGACAACCATTTATTCTGTTAACTAATATCTGAGATGTGGCTTATTCAAATATGGTATTAAAAAAAAACTGATCTAAAAATCTTGAAAACAAACCATCAATTCAATTTTGCTTCATATTCAAATCCTCCAATTTGAATATGATTTTTTCACACACTTATAGAGGTGAGGGTTAAGACCAGTACTCCGTTTGTTAAAGTGTTAGTTTTTGTGGGTGTCCTAACGACCTCGTTAACATAGCTTTCGAGCTCCAATACGAGGTTGACCTTTGACACCCGCAATGACGTCACCTTTTTCAAGTCCGGAGTTCTGGTCTTATTTTCAGCCCAAACATGACATGCACTGATTTTTCTTCATTCAATTTCATTCTCTATTAATTGAGTCATATCCTATGGATCCCTTATTTTTGTATATTTCACGATGGGCCACTTTTTCACGAGTGAAGGTAGCATAATTTTGAAATCACAGTTTGAATAATTGTAGTAACATCAGTTACTAACACAACCATTGACCTCAGGTATACATGTGGTCAGTTTGAAGACAAATAATGGAAATACATACACATTGTCATTCATATAAGTAGGTATGTAACACAAGTTAAAACCTAACTTTTTAGCTTTGATGCAGATTTTTTTTCACAGCAAAAAGAAATTCTTTGCATTCTTCTTTCCAGCATAATGTATTTGGTTTTTATAATAGATGGTGTTGGTCAGTACTATCAGAATATTACTGATACCTATAGATATTGGTACTCCCGGGTATTTATCACATTCTTGTATGACACTATGAAGCTCTAGAACGCTGATACCTAGCACAGAATGAAACAATATGTGACATCAAGCTGGTTTATTCTGTAAATTAATGGCAAATGAGAATTAACAAATAAATCATGCTAAAACGAAAAATCGTGTTTTCTGGTCTTTTTTTCAAGTCGTGAAATCTACTTCAAAATTATAATGTCCTCCATTGCCTTACAGCAAAACCACCCTTTCATGCAACTGGCGGGGGCAGGAAGGGGGCGGGGCGGGGTTTCTTTGAATTTTTTTTTGTTATTATTTTTGTTTTCTCTTTTGCCTGTCGTTATTTCCGTGAAAGATTTGAAGTGTTTGAAGATCATATATTTAAAGAATAAGAAAAATATTAGTAAAGTTATTTGTTTGGGCTGGGACAACTTGAAAACGATGCCCTTCCTATCTCCCTTCTAATTTTTTTTTTGGGGGGGGATGGGGGCTTTTAAAAAATTATCATTAAATATCTGTCCAATTAATAAAGACAATCAATCCAGGACCGGCGCTTATAGGCCAAAAAAAAAAAATGTTAGCGTCCCCACCCGCTTCCTTTTTGGAGGTCGCCTCCTTTTTTTTTGATAAAAAATGCTACATTTTAAATAGTGACATCATTTGGGCCTCTTTATCTGTCGCATCTAATCCATATAAAGCTGGTATGTCATTTCCTGAGTCCAGGTGGCTGCCATTACAAAAAAAAGCTGGCATTTAAATAATTTGGTTCCACCGCGGGCAATGTATTCCCCTCCATTTTTACGATGGCTGCTGAATGTGCATAACTATCCAGGGGGCGAGTCGGTCGGGGGGCGAGTTAGCTAGGAGGGGAGTTGGCAAGGGCGCAAGTCGGCTAGGGGACGAGTCGGTCAGGGGCCGTATTGTAAGGGACGAGACGGTCAGGGGGCGAGTCAGTCAGGGGGCTATTCAGTCAGGGGGCGAGTCGGTCGGTATGGGGCAAGATGGTAAGGGGCGAGTCGGCCGGGGGCGAGTCGGTCAGGGGCAAGTCGGCCAAGGGGCAAGTCAGCCAGGGGTCGAGTTGACCTACAATCCCATTGTTGACCAATGGTTAACCATAGTTCGACGATGGTTGATTACGTTAGTCGACTATTTGGAACCACACGCACTACGTACAGCAGGGAGCCAGGACCCAGTAGTTTTGTGATGACATTTTGACCAGCATTGACTCGAGACGTTCGCACCTTGCTGTTAGTGCGCAGGCGCAAGTTACGTCACAAATCAACCACTAATCGACAAATGGTCCTTGCCCGAATTTGCTCATTGTTGATTATCAAGGATCCATAAATGGCAAAGGGACGAGTAACATCACAAAAAAATTCATCTTCACCCCTCAACTCATGTTTGATGGAAGATAATTTGTTTATGAGGAATCAACTCCATGGGTAATTCAAACAAAAGACACCTCCATTTAAGAAAGGCACGGAACAATCTCTTTATTCATAAACGATTATGTAACCACTTAATTTTACAACACAGCTTGGTTGTATAAACCTGGTGTAAAATTCACTACTTTTTGGTTGGCATAGTCCATGATCAAACTATCAACTGTTAAAAATCACCAATATTTAATACAAATAACAGTAAACCAAGTCAAACACAAATAACCGGAGAGCCTTATTTTGGTCATCTCCACAAAATCACAAATCGTCAGTTTTCACAAAGAGCCAAATTTAGTGTACGGTGAAATAGGAAAATTTGCCTCCTAGTGAAAACTGATGAAGTGTCAGCAATTTACCCAGCGCGCCCCCCCCCCCCTTACAAAAGAAAAACAACTTTTAGACTAACCTACATCATTGTATGGCACTATTTCAATATAGAAACCAACATGAACTGCTGTTTCAGTTTTAAGACAGTAACGCCTTGTGCACTTCTTCATGAACTTCACAAAAAAAACTGATGACAAGTGCTTTAGAATATGTACAATAAACACAGAATTACGTATCTAGACAAATTTCTGATTAGCAGGCAGCACTTAGGCTCTTGAGGGCCTTCCACACTAGGGACCAGTGTGGCTTGGAAATACATGTAGTGGCTTATTAAATCACCATTGCGTTGGATAATTTTACAAGGCCTACACACCTATATTTCAATTTTGTGATGTGACATGCACATTGCCAGTAATGTGCCTGATAAAATAACCACACAAACTGACGATTTAACGAGTGAATTTTTCTGAGCCGCGCAAATACCCCGAATGGTCCCTATTGGCTAAAATCTCCATGTTGGACCAGGATCCAACACAGAGATTTCTGCAACCCATTTCACGCCAGCAAGAATCCAACACTGCTTCTACACGGGTCCGGCGCTATACGCAGGTTAAATCCAACCATGGTCGGGACCAGGGTTGAGTGGTTCTACCCGGGTAGAAAATAAACAATTTACAGTCGACCCGTGTACACACTGCTGTAAGTAGGAATAATGAGAGTTGCATAACTACATTCGATTATTTCGGTTTGTAAAAAATATGGATGGAAGCCGTGCAAGGACTGTGAGCTTGTAGTTCTGTTCAATTTGGATGAAATTGGGGCCCTTAAAGCGCTCTATTTTGCAATGGAGTGTAGGCATCGTTTTTCAAAATGGCGATGGGCTTCAGGACTATTTTCAGGGGTGATCATCTTCGGATGGAAATAACTCCTAAAAGTCATCAGTTGACCCCCAAAAAACTGAAAAGAAAATGAAAGATGATGAAATAAGCTTTAATTAGATGTGTGTCTCGAAACCTTGGAGAGTTGTGAGTATTTTTCCCGAATTTCTGAAGTGGGAGCATTTACCATTGGGGTCTATGGAAGTTTATTTACTGGTCTGTAACCCTAACAGACTACGTTTGGTTATTTGTATAATGCATTCTTTGCCAGTGTAGAGTGTCATGGTAGCAATAAGTTAATAGTTTGATCTCCATCGACTTAACAATCAACGTTTCTTATTTCCCGTGTGAAAAGGCATCAACAAGTCCAAACTTTTATATGTGCGTGGGGGATCCGATTTTTCTGAGAAAAAAAGTTATCAAAATGAAATCAGTCTGAAAAGGCTAAAAGTAGGCGCGCAGCAATAACGGTGGGGGAGGTGGAAATCCCACATTTGAGCTTTTGTGACGTCACAGTGACGTGCGCGCAAACTTGGAATGTATCGGCGACATCTGCCGCGTCTTGGCAACTTTATGTTAGTTTGTGTTTGTGTTTCGATCAGTGAACACGGTTTTTTGCTTTGGTGCGTTTTCGGATGCTCAAAAGTGACGATTTGACGGAGAATATAGCGATTCAGGATGTACAACTACGCAAGCGCGTACGCAGCAGCCTTTTCGGAAAGTTACAAGTAAGTAACTTTTAAATAAAAACAAATAAAAACATTTTCTGTTCAAAGAATTTCAATGGAAAGAGTTTTTTAGAACCATTCTCTTAGTTGAGAAATTATTTGAACATGGTGTTTCCGCAAACCTTTCATTATTTAAACCTAAATGCATTTCAATGAAAAAGAATCAATCTGAATGCATTTCAATGAACATATTTTTCCAAGTGAAACAAGGCGATAGACCTTTTGCTGATCATTGCGAAGTTATTATTTTTGTTCTTGGGTTGATCATTCAGAAAGGCGTGTGACTCGAATCCCATGACGGCAGGCGGCGGGCAGCACTACGGCACCTGCGGTCCCTACGGTTCTGCCACCGTCCGAGGACGGTGTCCGCACACGGCTCGTGTCAACGGGAGCGAGAATCCACGGGGAGGTGACACCCGCCCAAGATCACGGAATGCCGGTCAGCTCATGACTGGCTCCCGGTGGGTGTCCCCAAGTGGATATGTCCATTGCCAGATTGATTCCGCTAAGGATGAGCGGAATCTCAAGCCACCCTTACAAGTCCCCCAAGCTAGGTGAGTCTCCCTCAAATCTGAACACACACCCCCCTAAAAAAAAATAGAATAAACAAAGCCTAACGAGAATCTTTCCTCATTTTTCCAATGTGAAAAAGAGAACTCTGTAGCAACCCCTAATTCCAATCAACATAAAAGGAATTTATATTTTTGGGGTCTGGGTGGGGGCAAAGATCTGTAAGTACTTAAAAAAAAAAAAAAAGTAAACAGAAACACAATGGCTGGCGTGGAATCAACAAACTTGCTGACAACACTGATAACTTCTTTCATTTTGGTAAAATATTGTCGATCGTCTAACTTCATCTGAAATTTCATCGTCTAATTTCAGCTAAATGAGTTGTTTGTCGGGAATTTTTATTTGGAGATACAGGCCAAAATAGGGCCACTTCATCACATCACTTCATCACACCTCTTGGGTGTTCCAACTTCCATAATTTTTGAACTAAAGATGGTACCAGCATGCGGTTTTCACAGCAGTAATACTGAGATTGTGCTCTTTTCAAATCTGTAATAAAAATATCGATTTTGATCTTGTTGTTTAATTTGATCATTCAGAAAGGCGTGCGACTCGGATCCCTCGGCGGGAGGCAGCGGGCAGCGCTACGACAACTGCCATCCCCGTTCTGCCACCGTCCAAGGACTGTGTCCGCACTCGGCTCGTGTCGAGAGCGGGAATCCACGGGGAGGTGACACCCGCCCAAGATCACGGAATGCCGGTCAGCCCATGACTGGCTCCCAGCGGGTGTCCCCAAGTGGATATGTCCATCGCCAGATTGATTCCGCTAAGGACGAGCGGAATCTCAAGCCACCCTTACAAGGCCCTCAAGCTAGGTGAGTCTTATTCAAATCTGCCCCCCCCCCTAAAAAAATAGCAGAAACACTCCTCATTTCGCAAAGCGTTAAACAGTTCAGGTTTGCCGGAAACAAACACACATTTATTTCCACAACTCAGGAGGCTTTTCCCCCTTCGGCGTGTTCCTCAACGCAACAAGGTTCGACCTCTGAACATCGACGGTCTCTTGTTGGCGTCAGAAGCACGCCCACCCTGCCCCAGTGACTCGGCCCGCAGCTACGCCATGTTCAATGCCTCTTCGCAAATCTCCAATACCACCCAGAGATCAGACAACTTGGTCGTAGCCGGGCAGTCCCGTAAGCTGGCGAACATCACCAGCGACAGGACGAGCTCGAGTCCCCCAGAAGACGACATTGACAGGCCGCCGTCTGTCGTCGTAGGACAGGCATTTGTCCCGACAACATCAAGGTGAATGTCATCATTTTCTGTAGGGAAATGTTCCACAACAATATGTTTGACAATAATGCATTACAGCACCGAAGGTAGACTCTTACTGGCCTGTTGCTTTGCCATTAAGTTAAAAGTGGCATATTTTCATCAAGTCCCAACATTGTTGCATTGCTTACTCATGATTATCCCCTCTCCACATGTGTGTCTCTTGGAAATTGTGTGTGCTGTCATGTGGGCTGACTGTCTGAATTTATGTCCGTGGGCCGAAATCGGACCGTCAGTCAGTGAGATGGTTGTTGTTAGATAACAAGTTTGTCAACCTCTCTTCGTTAAATTGCTTCTCATTAGACTTTGAGCATCTCAATTCAAGGGGATCGGAATGCAGGAAAAGAAACAGGCAGACAGGGTCGTGCCTTTGCGTATCATCCATAATAAGAAATGACCGCCACCTATATAACTTTCTTCCCTAAGGTCCAAGCGAACGTGGAAAACGAGACTTCGATCTCTCTTTGCTCCTCGGAGTCGCGGGACCAAGACCACCGTTCAGCCTTTCGTTACACCACAAGGGCAATCGGAAGGTCAAGTCAGTCGACCTAGGTCACTCAAAGAAGACCACAGTGACCCAGGTCAAGTCAACCGACCCAGGTCACTCAAAGAAGACCACAGTGACCCAGGTCAAGTCAACCAACCCAGGTCACTCAAAGAAGACCACAGTGACCCAGGTCAAGTCAACCGACCCAGGTCACTCAAAGAAGACCACAGTGACCCAGGTCAAGTCAACCGACCCAGGTCGCTCAAAGAAGACCACAGTGACCCAGGTCACCAGAGCCACACCAGCGCTCTGATGAAGAATCGAGAAGCGAAGGGATTTGGAGGAAATGGTAAGTTATATCTATCTGGCGAAATTGATGGTTTGTCTGTAATAACATCATCATCTGGATTATTAACTGTCCAGTTGATTTATGGCAGGTGCATTACTTGTAATTCATGTCCTTGGACCTGTGAATTTCAAAATGAAAATTAGCCATTGTGAATATGACATCACCCTGAACAATTCTTTGAAATGTTAACAATTAGAAAAAGAAAACATTCCTTTTTAGGAAAAAAAATGTGTCCTACTGGCCAATTGCTTTATTCTTCCCAGCATTAACTATAAAGATGCATCATCGGCAATACAGCGCTGCCATGGCAACAAGACCAGCCTCGTACAGCAACCAGCCCCTCCCGATCCCAGGAACACCTCAATTTGACTGGGACCGTCTCCAGTCAAGCTCCAACCCTGCTCCAGGAAGTGACAATCCGATCACATCACAGAAGCAGGAGGAGGTTACGAGCCTCGTCGCCAACTACGGTGATGGGTTACTCCCAGCTTCAATTCCTAGGGATGCTTCCTTTCGCAATTCCTCGGTTTGCGACTTGCCTTTATTTCCATCTCAGAGGCAAGGAGCAAAGATGCGGGATAAGATATCATCAGATGAGGAAGTAACAATCCCTAATGCAGATCCTCTGACGTCGATCTCACGTGGTGATGGCAAGCCTCACGAAGAGGGAAGAGAAAGTGGAGACCATGGTGGTGGTTGGGAATCGATCTCAATTCCAGTGTCTCCATCTCTATCTCATCAATCTGTCTCCTTCGCATCCAAAATTTCTTCTTCGTCTCAGAATCTTGGATCAGAGACGGATGTTGAAGAGTTTATCTACGATGATGATTTTGAAAGCTCATCAGCATCATCTATTAGCAATGTAAGCATTGGCAATGAGGACAAATAGGATGCCTGTCCCATCACAGTATTAACTCGCTACATCTACATGGAAGTTAAGAATTTGATAGAATAGATATTTCACGTTGTCTTCTAATTAAGCCATCTCTCTATGTTAAAATTGTTATCATATTGACAGTAAGGAAATGTTTTATTGTTCTGGCGAACCCAGAAATATTGACAGTATCCCGTCCCCCTTTATCCACAGTCTTCGTGGGCAATATCAAGTTCAGAAGCTGATGTGAATGTTGACTCCTTTGATGAGAAGACAATGGCAGACAAAAACAGAGAAAGGTCTACAAAATTACCATCGCTTCGTCAGCAGCGACTCGCTGTGAGTATAATAAATATTGTACATCATCTATACTTTGAAAGATCTTCCGAGTTGAGTTTGACCTCTTAATCTTTCCTATTGCTTGACTAACTTCATATAAATCATACGTTGTCTCAATGGTGCATGTTTGAAGCAACCGTTTCAGTTTTAGATTTTTTGGGGGTTGGTTTTGCAGCTCAAGATGGCCCCGGTGTTTGCTTATAAAAGTTCTTATCTGGATGACTTTGACGATTGGCTGACGGTTGTGCTGAGTTGTATTGAGCAAAGGGATGCGATGCGACGAATGCAACTTGCTTCCAACTACAAGAAACCTCACACAAGAGAGGAGGCTTGGGTGAGTCGATACTCATTACTTTTGCAAAGGGATTTTAAATCTCATGATTTCTTGAAAACTGAGGAAGAGCCGGGTCTGAGTTTATGTCACGAATGGTCAGAATAAACTATTACAAATATTTTGAAATTTTGAAATTTTTAAATGTTTCTGCATGTTTTTCCCGACAGGAAATTCAAGCCAACGCCGCAAAAGCCGAAGACATAATGCGTCAATTGAGCCAAATGATCTCATTATCGACGGACGAAGAGGACGAAGAGTGGAGTACTGAAAGTTTGCAATCAGTCTCTCCAGCAAATCCTGTCAAGAAAGACCCAGAAATCGAGGGGGACAGAGGAACATCAAGTACAACATTACAGGCCCTGGAAGACGCTTTGAGTCCTAGACAGGTAGCATCTCCAAAAAAATTCGAATCGTCTGCATCCATAACTGCAAAGAAAAATTCCGAAACGACTTTCGAGGAACACAAGGAAGTCGAAAAAGTTGGAAAGAGCGACTCGGATCAAGAAGCGGCAACGCCAGCTGAATGTCCAGAGTCTTCAATTTCAAAGCTCTCTGAGATGATGTCTACTGAAAGTAAACCATGGGATGTTGTCAACAAGGCATCCCCATGTGCACATCTACCCACAATCTCGAAGAAGTCATCTTCGAATGATGCATCAAGAGCAGCGTCCCGTGCTCAGAAGGACACCTTAAGTCTCGCAGAGGCCGCTTCTGAAAAAGGCGCAGAATATACTTCATCCATAAATGCAAAGAAATACATAGTGTATGCCCAACAAGAAATGGAAGAAACTCCAAGAAAACCCCAAGAGACTGAGAAGAGCGACTCAGATCGACCATCTGGAAGTCCAGTGTCTTTACTGCCAAAACTTTCTGATAAGACTCCCACTTCAGCTTCATTAGGAGAAGTTGTCAACAAGGCATCATTTGAAGAAAATTACCATTCGCCACAACGGAAAATCTCGAAGAATTCGTCATTGAAGGATGTAGCTACAACTGATAACACATCAAGCACAGCTAATGCTTCTTCTAAGAACCCTCAAGCAACACAAAGTCCTCAGGAAGGACTACCAGAACTCACAGCCTATCCCTCCATCGATCCTAGCGAGTTGGAGTTCATTATGTCTGACAACGGAAAAGAAGTGGCGCTTGGGTCGGGTTCTTGTGGTGGAGTCCTACTGATGCGGCATAAAGGAGACAACACCCTCCTTGCTGTCAAGGTGCTGGTTAAAAACTTCTCTTTCTTGCAGCACGAGGTGGCAGCCATGCATGCGGTGGTGAACTGCCCTTTCTTCCCCAGATTTGTAGGAGTCATCGACTACTGTTCTTACGCCCAAGAGCTCGTGGGCGGTGTTGGCAGAAACACGGCTTACGACTTCCGCAAGGCGCAGCACTATGATATTTTGAACGCGTTAGAGTGGCTACACGTCTGCCGTGATGTCACGAAGGGACTCAAGGCTTTACACGCTGCTGGCTGGCTTCACTGCGACCTACACTGCGGCAATGCTATGGTGTGTCCCAATCCACCAGGCTCTAAGGTGGCTTGGTGTGGCAAGATCATCGACCTGGGAAACGCCCTGCAGATTTCGAATCCAGGCCCAGTCACGATCCTTGATGATGAGCAACAGAAGAAGCTCTACGAACTTGCCAAGCAGGTACGAACGAAACCATCATCTTTTAAACCCAGTCCATTTCTTGGATGCTTTCTCCGTCGTTTCCCAACTTTTTAATTCGCTGAGATTAAGATTTCTTTACTTCCATTTTAAAACAAAAAAATATATAATTTTGTGCAGCTGAATATGAAGTGCAAAGAACAATACAATATATTATTGCAGTCTGCATTCTTATCAATTGAGCAATGTTATCCTTGCCCAATGTAAAAGCTTAGGCTAAAGTCATTTTACTTTCTCACACATTGACTTCCAGTGTGCCCCCGAGATTCTTGAAAGCAGAGACACATTCACCGAGAAATCCGACATCTACAGTCTCGGCAATCTCTTCGTGGATGTAGCCAGTGACGCAAACATCCCCCACGGTCTCCGTCTGCTCGGCGAGTTCTGCATGAGACGAAGTCCTGATGCTCGCCCAACACTGGATGCCATCTCGGGGAAACTAGACGATTTCATCTCGGAGATGATGCAGGCTGAACAACAGCCTTCCAACCCATCTCCCATTGCTCCTTCCTCATCCTCTCCTTCTCCTAATCTTCGTTGCCATCTCATCGCGGAAATGGTGCAGGCTGAGCAGCAGCCTTCTAGCCCGCCTCCTATTCCTCATTCCTCATCATCTCCTTCTCCTAAAATGCGTTGCCGTCTTTGTTAGTTTATCAAATCCAAAATCGCACAGAAAGAGTAGAGAAGACCGGTCGCGTCCTAATCGGATGTTTTGACTACGATTACAGAGCAGTACATGAGTAGTGGAAGGCTGGAAGCATGCAAACCTTAGTCTAAAACATCCGATTTGGACGCGGCGTTAGGGCCGTGTGTCACACGAAGGAATTCAAAGGCAAATTGTTCCAGGCAAGAAAAGGACAGAACAAAAATTTCATTCCGTACAATACTCTGAGGTATTCTTTGACAGCTAATGTTCTCCATTCCTCCTAGTGTTTCTTGCATTTACTTGTCACTCAGTTGCCGATGAGAATTGCTTTGTTATTGGCCCTTACACACCAGAGAACTTTATCACGATGTAACCATTTTGTCTAGTTTCCAGCAGCAAGACATTGAGAAATCACTGCGGCCACTTGCGTACAGAATAGTCATCAGACAGTGATTATTTTTCTCTGTAGATCTGTTTGGTCATTTGGATCAGTTGTAAGAACATTGAGAACATGATTAAGACTATAATTATCATGCGCTGCTAACGTTCCAGTACGCTGTATTTTGGTAAAAATAATAAGCTTTTAAACTTGAAAAATATCTGAAATATGAAAATATCTGCTTATTGAACCACAGATTTGCTGTTCAACTGATCCAAAGAGAGTACTGCCAAAGTTTACTGTTTCTGTGCGATTTTTTACAACCATTTATTCTGTTAACTAATATCTGAGATGTGGCTTATTCAAATATGGTATTAAAAAAAACTGATCTAAAAATCTTGAAAACAAACCATCAATTCAATTTTGCTTCATATTCAAATCCTCCAATTTGAATATGATTTTTTTCACACACTTATAGAGGTGAGGGTTAAGACCAGTACTCCGTTTGTTCAAGTGTTAGTTGTTGTGGGTGTCCTAACAACCTCGTTAACATAGCTTTCGAGCTCCAATACGAGGTTGACCTTTGACACCCGCAATGACGTCACCTTTTTCAAGTCCGGAGTTCTGGTCTTATTTTCAGCCCAAACATGACATGCACTGATTTTTCTTCATTCCATTTCATTCTCTATTAATTGAGTCATATCCTATGGATCCCTTATTTTTGTATTTTACGATGGACCACTTTTCTTCACGAGTGAAGGTAGCTTAATTTTGAAATAACAGTTTGAATAATTGTAGTAACATCAGTTACTAACACAACCATTGACCTCAGGTATTCATATGGTCAGTTTGAAGACAAATAATGGAAATATATACACATTGTCATTCATATAAGTAGGTATGTAACACAAGTTCAATCCTAACTTTAGCTTTGATGCAAGTTTTTTTTTTCACAGCAAAAAGAAATTCTTTGCATTCTTCTTGCCAGCATAACGTATTTGATTTTTAGAAGAAAAAAAAAGTTGGTTTAATATATCAGAATATTACTGATGCCTATAGTTATTGGTACTCCCGGGTATCTATCACATTCTTTTATGACGCTACTATGAAACTCTAGAATGCTGATACATAGCACAGAATGAAACAATATGTGAAATCAAGCTGGTTTATTCTGTACATTAATGGCAAATGAGAATTAACAAATAAAGTACGCCAGAACGAAAAATCGTGTTTTCTGGTCTTTTTTTCAAGTCGTGAAATTTACTTCAAAATTATAATTGCAAAAATGACGTGAAGGCATGAATCTGGGACAGAGAAATGTTTCCAATTTTGTTAGGAAATACTTGAAACGACTCTCCATAGACTTTGTACATAAGCGCGGAAGTGGCGGCAGGTTGCAACATTTTTTTTCCTGGCGTGTTTAGCAGTATCGCCGCACCCGTACAACCAAGTCATTTTGTGTGCCTTACGTCAAAATGGATAGTTGAGACGACGATTTCTTTCTGGCTAAAAGTAGTTTTTGCAGTGACGGCGGAGAATCTGACAGTGAAGATGCACGGTTATTTTCGGAAAGCAATTTTCCACGCAGACGTTCCTATTCAGGCTCATTACGGAGAACAATAAATTGTCCGACGTGTTCAAAGTGTGGATTCGTAATTCCAAATCCACACTTTACAAAAGATTCGTAGTTCCGAATCCACACTTTGTGAACAGTGTAAGAGATTCGTAGATCCGAATCCACACTTTTATCGATATTGTGACGTCATAGCAATGGTTTAATTTCTGCTAACACTCAGACTCCGGTTTGTTATTTGTATAACGCATTCTTTGCCAGATTTCAGTTTCATGGTTGCTATTAGTAAATTGTTAAGTTTGATCTCCATCGACTAAAGAAGTAAATTGTTTGTTTGTCAGTGGTGTTAATTCAACACTTCTTATTCCCCGTGTAAAAAGGCATCAACAAGTGCAAACTTTGCGTGGGGGATCAGATTTTTCTGAGAAAAAAAGTTATCAAAATGAAATCAGTCTGAAAAGGCTGAAAGTAGGCGGGCAGCAATAACGGTGGGGGGGGGGATGAGGGGGTGATTCTACCCCGTGTGGACATGTTGGCACTTGGCCAAAAATCAAGCCTTGCACACGCTTTAGATCCAAATCCCACATTTGAGCTTTTGTGACGTCACAGTGACGTGCGCGCAAACTTGGAATGTATCGGCGACATCTGCCGCGTCTTGGCAACTTTATGTTAGTTTGTGTTTGTGTTTCGATCAGTGAACACGGTTTTTTGCTTTGGTGCGTTTTCGGATGCTCAAAAGTGACGATTTGACGGAGAATATAGCGATTCAGGATGTACAACTACGCAAGCGCGTACGCAGCAGCCTTTTCGGAAAGTTACAAGTAAGTAACTTTTAAATAAAAACAAATAAAAACATTTTCTGTTCAAAGAAGTCTTAACTTGAATTAACACAGCTGACCTAGTCAAGATTGAATGTTTTCTATTCAAATTTGTAAGTGGCTAGGCTACTGTAGCAACGTTTATTTAGAAGAGATGGAACACAGAAAGTCTTTCAATTTCATATTTCATCCTCATCATTCATTTTTTTGCATTGGAAAAAAAACACAAATCACGTAGTCTTCAATATTATTAATTTGTAGCCGCCTTTAATGAGGTTTTTGTGTATTTTCTATTAAAAAAAATATATTCATCTTAAGTTATATCATATTTTATGTTCAATAAAATAAAAGTACAATGTTCAGTACAATGAAAGGTAGTATGAATGTAATTCCTATTAGGCACTGATGGAATTTGATATTTTTTTCCCGTTGAGGCAGAATATTGTTAGCACAACTGCACAGAAAACCCAAAGTGAATAATTTGACTCCGAAATCGTAAAAATGAATCCTTTTGTCCGTGAAATGACACACTTGGAGCCACGGGAGAAATGACTCATTTTTTTACGATAAAGAGTGAAATGACTCACTTGGGTTTTTATTCCCCATCTTCCTAATGATTGAAGACAAAATGTTTATTGATGACAACCAACATAAACCCTACAATGTTAATTGAAAACCTGGCGTACTAACTACAAACCCATCAGTAATATTTTGAAGACCTTCAGAGCATACTGACCGGAACGTCGATTTTATACCTCTGATTCTTTTTAGAACCATTCTCTTAGTTGAGAAATTATTTGAACATGGTGTTTCCGCAAACCTTTCATTATTTAAACCTAACTGCATTTCAATGACAAAGAATCAATCTGAATGCATTTCAATGAAAATATTTTTCCAAGTGAAACAAGGCGATAGACCTTTTGCTGATCATTGCGAAGTTATTATGTTTGTTCTTGGGTTTGATCATTCAGAAAGGCGTGTGACTCGAATCCCATGACGGCAGGCGGCGGGCAGCACTACGGCACCTGCGGTCCCTACGGTTCTGCCACCGTCCAAGGACGGTGTCCGCGCTCGGCTCGTGTCGGGAGCGGAAATCCACGGGGAGGTGACACCCGCCCAAGATCACGGAATGCCGGCCAGCTCATGACTGGCTCCCGGTGGGTGTCCCCAAGTGGATATGTCCATTGCCAGATTGATTCCGCTAAGGATGAGCGGAATCTCAAGCCACCCTTACAAGTCCCCCAAGCTAGGTGAGTCTCCCTCAAATCTGAACCCCCCCCCCCTAAAAAAAAAAATAGAATAAACAAAGCCCAACGAGAAACTTTCCTCATTTCCCAATGTGAAAAAGAGAACTCTGTAGCAACCCCTAATTCCAATCAACATAAAAGGAATTTATATTTTGGGGGTCTGAGTGGGGGCAAAGATCTGTAAGTACTTTTAAAAAAAAATAAGTAAAAGTAAACAGAAACACGATGGCTGGCGTGGAATCAACAAACTTGCTGACAACACTGATAACTTCTTTCATTTTGGTAAAATATATTGTCGATCGTCTTGAAATTTCATCGTCTAATTTCAGCTAAATGAGTCGTTTGTCGGGAATTTTTATTTACAGGCCAAAATAGGACCACTTCATCACATCATTTCATCACATCTCTTGGTGTTCCAACTTTCATAATTTTTGAGCTAAAGATGGTATCAGCATGCGGTTTTCACAGCAGTAATGCTGAGATTGTGCTCTTTTCAAATCTGTAATAAAAAACCTTTTGACCAGGGTCGACAAACGACTCATGTAGCTTGATCGCATCACATTTGTAGCCTACCGCTTAATGTTTTTTTTAATTCATTCTTTACCGTTGATGTTTTTTTTCCTCGAAACCTGTTCATAGTTTCACTGCACCATTTTTCTATTTACCGGAAATTTCCGACTTCATCAAAAGCATTAAGTTAGTTCATTTATAATAAAGATTGGAGTGGACCTTATCCAGTATACCGCATCTGGTGGTGGGTGGCGAAGATGAGTGGTTGCACACCCTACCGATCAGCCGCTGCAAAAAATGTTGTGATACTATTAAAATGGGGCCAAAAATAATTAAATTATACTCAAAGTTTCTAAATTTATTCTCAAATTGCCTTAGATAGAATGGAGAGAGCGCATTCCCCCAAAGAGGCACGACTTCACTCAAATATCGACCTTCGTCTGCATGCGTTTCCTGAAACTTTTATTTATCCTTTGATATACTGTCTGTCCAAATTTAAATCACAAGATACTTGAACTCTGCCCTGAGAATGTGTTGACTGCAGTTTTGCAGGAAACGCACGCAAATTGATTCCCCCAATCAGGAGGCTATAACCTATTGGGCATTGAAGGAATTTTGAATGTTTCTGTTGAAGCTGAATATTTTAATCACAAAAATTGCCCAATGATTGGAGACAAAATTTGTATTGATAGCTGCCAACATATAGGAACCTAAAACCTGACTTCTGCAAAACTGTGCATACGGAATACAAACCCATCAGTAATATCCTGATGAATACCGATTTTAATCTTGTTGTTTAATTTGATCATTCAGAAAGGCGTGCGAATCGGATCCCTGGCCCTCGGCGGGAGGCAGCGGGCAGCGCTACGACAACTGCGGTCCCCGTTCTGCCACCGTCCAAGGACTGTGTCCGCACTCGGCTCGTGTCGAGAGCGGGAATCCACGGGGAGGTGACACCCGCCCAAGATCACGGAATGCCGGTCAGCCCATGACTGGCTCCCAGCGGGTGTCCCCAAGTGGATATGTCCATCGCCAGATTGATTCCGCTAAGGATGAGCGGAATCTTAAGCCACCCTTACAAGGCCTTCAAGCTAGGTGAGTCAAATCTGCCAAATCTTATTCAAATCTGCCCCCCCCCCTAAAAAAAAGAATAGCAGAAACACTGCTCATTTCGCAAAGTGTTAAACAGTTCAGGTTTACCGGAAACAAACACAAATTTATTTCCACAACTCAGGAGGCTTTTCCCCCTTCGGCGTCTTCCTCAACGCAACAAGGTTCGACCTCTGAACATCAACGGTCCCTCGTTGACGTCAGAAGCACGCCCACCCTGCCCCAGTGACTCGGCCCGCAGCTACGCCATGTTCAATGCCTCTTCGCAAATCTCCAATACCACCCAGAGATCAGGCAACTTGGTCGTAGCCGGGCAGTCCCGTAAGCTGGCGAACATCACCAGCGACAGGACGAGCTCGAGTCCCCCAGAGGACGACATTGACAGGCCGCCGTCTTTCGTCGTAGGACAGGCATTTGTCCCGACAACATCAAGGTGAATGTCATCATTTTCTGTAGGGAAATGTTCCACAACCATATGTTTGATAATAATGCATTACAGCACCGAAGGTAGACTCTTACTGGCCTGTTGCTTTGCCATTAAGTTAAAAGTGGCATATTTTCATCAAGTCCCAATATTGTTGCGTTGCTTACTCATGATCCCCTCTCCACATGTGTGTCTCTTGGAAATTGTGTGTGCTGTCAGGTGGGCTGACTGTCTGAATTTATGTCCGTGGGCCGAAATCGGACCGTCAGTCAGTGAGATGGTTGTTGTTAGATAACAAGTTTGTCAAACTCTCTTCGTTAAATTGCTTCTCATTAGACTTCGAGCATCTCCATTCAAAGGGATCGGAATGCAGGAAAAGAAACAGGCAGACAGGGTCGTGCCTTTGCGTATCATCCATAATAAGAAATGACCGCCACCTATATAACTGTCTTCCCTAAGGTCCAAGCGAACGTGGAAAACGAGACTTCGATCTCTCTTTGCTCCTCGGAGTCGCGGGACCAAGACCACCGTTCAGCATTTCGTTACACCACAAGGGCAATCGGAAGGGCAATCGGAAGTTCAAGTCAGTCGACCTAGGTCACTCAAAGAAGACCACAGTGACCCAGGTCAAGTCAACCGACCCAGGTCACTCAAAGAAGACCACAGTGACCCAGGTCAAGTCAACCGATCTAGGTCACTCAAAGAAGACCACAGTGACCCAGGTCACCAGAGCCACACCAGCGCTCTGATGAAGAATCGAGAAGCGAAGGGATTTAAGGGAAATGGTAAGTTATATCTATCTTGCAAAATCCATGGTTTGTCTGTAACAACATCATCATCTGAATTATTAATAAAAACAAATGTCCAGTTGATTTATGGCAGGTGCATTGCTTGTAATTCATGTTCTTGGACCTTTGAATTTCAAAATGAAAAGCCATTGTGAAAAATAACATTACCCTGAACAATTCCTTGAAATGTTTACAATTAGAAAAAGAAAACATTCCTTATAGGAAAAAATGTGTCCTACTGGCCAATTGCTTTATTCTCCAGCATTAAGTATAAAGATGCATCATCGGCAATGCAGTGCTGCCATGGCAACAAGACCAGCCTCGTACAGCAACCAGCCCCTCCCGATCCCAGGAACACCTCAATTTGACTGGGACCGTCTCCAGTCAAGCTCCCACCCTGCTCCAAGAAGTGACAATCTGATCACATCACAGAAGCAGAAGGAGGTTACGAGCCTCGTCGCCAACTACGGTGACGGGTCACTCCCAGCTTCAGCTCCTAGGAATGCTTCCTTTCGCAATTCCTCGGTTTGCGACTTGCCTTCATTTCCATCTCAGGGGCAAGGAGCAAAGATGCGGGATAAGATATCATCAGATGAGGAAGTAGGAATACCTAATGCAGATCCTCTGACGTCGATCTCACGTGGCGATGGCAAGCCTCACGAAGAGGGAAGAGAAAGTGGAGACCATGGTTGTGGTTGGGAATCGATCTCAGTTCCAGTGTCTCCATCTCCATCTCATCAATCTGTCTCCTCCTCATCCAAGAATTCCTCTCCGTCTCAGAATGTAGGATCAGAGACGGATGTTGAAGACTTCATCTACAATGTTGATGGAGAAAGCTCATCGGTATCATCTATGAGCGATGTAAGCATTGTCAGTGTCCCATCACAATATTAACTCGCTACATCTACCTGGAAGTTACGAATTTGATAAAATAAATACTCACGTTGACTTCCATTAATTTATATCTCGATGTTAAAATTGTAAGTGCTGGCAGTAAGGAAATGTTTCATCGTTCTGGCGAACATTTAGAATATCCCGTCCCCCTTTATCCACAGTCTTCATGGGCAATGCCAAATTCAGAAGCTGATGTGGATGTTGACTCTTTTGATGAGAAGACAATTGCAGACAAAAGCAGACAAAGGTTTACAGAATTACCACCGCTTCGTCAGCAGCGACTCGCTGTGAGTATAATAAACATCGTACATCATCCATACTTTAAAGTTTTTCAGAGTTGAGTTTGACCTCTTAATCTTTCTTTCCTATTGCTTAATTAACTCCATATAAATCTTACGTTGTCTCCATGGTGCATGTTTGAAGCAATCGTTTCAGTTTTCGTTGTTTTGGTTGGTTTTGCAGCTCAAGATGGCCCCGGCATTTGCTTTAAAAACATCTTATCCGGAGGACTTTGCTCATTGGCTGACGGTTGTGCTGAGTTGTATTGAGCGAAGGGATGTGATGCGACGGATGCAACTTGTTTCCAACTACAAGACACCGTTCACAAGAAAGGAGGCTTGGGTAGGTTGATACTCATTACTTCTGCGAAGTGATTTTAAACCTCATGATTTCTTGGAACCTGAGGAAGGACCGGGTCTGAGTTTATTTCAGGAATGGTCAGAATAAACTATTACAAAAAATATTTCGAAATTTTGAAGTATTTTAAATAGTCTGTATGTTTTTCCCAACAGGAAATTCATGCCAACGCCGCAAAAGCCAAAGACATAATGCGTCAATTGAACCAAATCATCTCATTATCGACAAAGGACGAAGAGTCGAGTATTGAGAGTTTGCAATTAGCCTCTCCTGCAAATCCTGTCAAGAAAGACTCAGAAATCGAGGGGGACAGAAGAACATCAAGTGCAACACCACAGGTCCCGAAGGACGCCTGGAGTTCTAGACAGGTAGCATCTTCAAAAGATTCCGAACCGTCTGCATCCATAACTGCAAAGACAAAGTTCGAAACTACTTTGAAGGAACACAAAGAAAAAGTTGAAAAGAGCGACTCAGATCAAGAAGAGGTAACGCCAGCTGAATGTCCAGAGTCTTCAATTTCAAAGCTCTCTGAGATGATGTCTACTGAAAGTAAACCATGGGATGTTGTCAACAAGGCATCCCCATGTGCACATCTACCCACAATCTCGAAGAAGTCATCTTCGAACGACGCATCAAGAGCAGCGTCCCATGCTCAGAAAGACACCTTAAGTCTCGCAGAGGCCGCTTCTGAAAAAGGCGCAGAATATACTTCATCCATGAATGCAAAGAAATACATAGTGTATGCCCAAAAAGAAATGGACGAAATTGCAAGAAAACCCGAAGAGACTGAGAAGAGCGACTCAGATCGACCATCTGGAAGTCCAGCGTCTTTACTGCCAAAACTTTCTGATAAGACTCACACTTCAGCTTCATTAAGAGTAGTTGTCAACAAGGCATCAATTGAAGAAAATCACCATTCGCCACAACCGAAAATCTCAAAGAATTCATCTTGGAAGGATGTGGCTACAACTGATAACACATCAAGCACAGCTAATGCTTCTTCTAAGAGCCCTCAAGCAACACAAAGTCCTCAGCAAGGACTACCAGAACTCACAGCCTATCCCTCAATCGATCCTAGCGAGTTGGAGTTCATTATGTCTGACAACGGAAAAGAAGTTGCGCTTAGGTCGGGTTCTTGTGGTGGAGTCCTACTGATGCGTCATAAAGCAGACAATACTCTCCTTGCTGTCAAGGTGCTGGTTAAAAACTTCTCTTTCTTGCAGCACGAGGTGGCAGCCATGCATGCGGTGAGAAACTGTCCCTTCTTCCCCAAATTTGTAGGAGTCATCGACTACTGCTCTTACGCCCAAGAGCTCGTAGGCGGTGTTGGCAGAAACACGGCTTACGACTTCCGCAAGGCGCTGCAGGACGATCTCTTGAACGCGTTAGAGTGGCTACACGTCTGCCGTGATGTCACGAAGGGACTCAAGGCTTTACACGCTGCTGGCTGGCTTCACTGCGACCTACACTGCGGCAATGCTATGGTGTGTCCCAATCCACCAGGCTCTGATGTGGCTTGGCGTGGCAAGATCATCGACCTGGGAAACGCCCTGCAGATTTCGAATCCAGGCCCAGTCACGATCCTTGATGATGAGCAACAGAAGAAGCTCTACGAACTTGCCAAGCAGGTACGAACGAAACCAAGAGAATTAACACGCCATCATCTTTTAAACACAGTCAATTTCTTGGATGCTTTCTCCTTCCTTTCCCAACTTTTAAACTCACTGAGATTAAGATTTCTTTACTTCAGTTTTAAAACAAAAAATATATAATTTTGTGCAGCTGAATATGAAGTGCAAAGAACAATACAATAGATTATTGCAGTCTGCATTCTAATCAATTGAGCAATGTTATTCTTGCCCGATGTAAAAGCTTAGACTAAAGTCATTTTACTTTCTCACACATTGACTTCCAGTGTGCCCCCGAGATTCTGGAAGGCAGAGACACATTCACCGAGAAATCCGACATCTACAGTCTCGGCAATCTCTTCGTGGATGTAGCCAGTGACGCAAACATCCCCCACGGTCTCCGTCTGCTAGGCGAGTTCTGCATGAGACGAATTCCTGATGCTCGCCCAACACTGGATGCCATCTCGGGGAAACTAGACGATTTCATCTCGGAGATGATGCAGGCTGAGCAGCAGCCTTCCAGCCCGTCTCCCATTGCTCCTTCCTCATCCTCTCCTTCTCCTAATCTTCGTTGCCATCTCATCGCGGAAATGGTGCAGGCTGAGCAGCAGCCTTCTAGCCCGTCTCCTATTCCTCCTTCCCCATCCTCTCCTTCTCCTAAAATGCGTTGCCGTCTTTGTTAGTTTATCAAATCCAAAATCGCACAGAAAGAGTAGAGAAGACCGGTCGCGTCCTCATCGGATGTTTTTGACTACGATTTCAGAGCAGTTCATGAGTAGTGGAAGGCTGGAAACATGCAAACCGTAGTCTAAAACAACCGATTTGGACGCGGCGTTAGGGCCGTGTGTTACACGAAGGAATTCACAGGCAAATTGTTCCAGGCAAGAAAAGGACAGAACAAAAATTTCATTCCTTACAATACTCTGAGGTATTCTTTGACAGCTAATGTTCTCCATTCCTCCTAGTGTTTCTTGCATGTAGTTGTCTCTCAGTTGCCGATGAGAATTGCTTTGTTTGACTTGGCCCTGACAGACCAGAGAACTTTATCAAGATGCAGCCATTTTGTCTAGTTTCCAGCAGCGAGACATTGAGAAATCACTGCGGCCACTTGCGTACAAAATAGTCACCAGCCAGTGATGATTTTTCTCTGCAGATCTGTTTGGTCATTTGGATCAGTTGTAAGAACATTGAGAACATGATTAAGATTATAATTATCATGCGCTGCTAACTTTCCAGTACGGTAAAAAATAATTAAGCTTTTAAATTTAATGAAAACATCTGCTTATTAAACCACAGATTTGCTGTTCAACTGATCCAAAGAGAGTACTGCCAAAGTTTACTGTTTCTGTGCGATTTTTGACAACCATTTATTCTGTTAACTAATATCTGAGATGTGGCTTATTCAAATATGGTATTTAAAAAAAAAACTGATTTAAAAATCTTGAAAACAAACCATCAATTCAATTTTGCTTCATATTCAAATCCTCCAATTTGAATATGATTTTTTTCACACACTTATAGAGGCAAGGGTTAAGACCAGTACTCCGTTTGTTCAAGTGTTAGTTTTTGTGGGTGTCCTAACAACCTCGTTAACATAGCTTTCGAGCTCCAATACGAGGTTGACCTTTGACACCCGCAATGACGTCACCTTTTTCAAGTCCGGAGTTCTGGTCTTATTTTCGGTCCAAACATGACATGCACTGATTTTTCTTCATTCCATTTCATTCTCTATTAATTGAGTCATATCCTATGGATCCCTTAATTTTAATATTTTACGATGGACCACTTTTTTCACGAGTGAAAGTAGCTTAATTTTGAAATAACAGTTTGAATAATTGTAGTAGCATCAGTTACTAACACAACCATTGACCTCAGGTATACATGTGGTCAGTTTGAAGACAAATAATGGAAATATATACACATTGTCATTCATATAAGTAGGTATGTAACACAAGTTTAAACCTAACTTTAGCTTTGATGCAGGTTTTTTTCACAGCAAAAGAAATTCTTTGCATTCTTCTTTCCAGCATAATGTATTTTGGTTTTATCATAAATGGTGTTGGTTAGTACTATCAGAATATTACTGTTGCCTATAGATATTGGTACTCCCGGGTATTTATCACATTCTTGTATGACACTATGAAACTCTAGAACGCTGATACATAGCACAGAATGAAACAATATGTGACATCAAGCTGGTTGATTCTGTAAATTAATGGCAAATGAGAATTAACAAATAAATCATGCCAGAACGAAAAATCGTGTTTGCTGGTCTTTTTTTCAAGTCGTGAAATTTACTTCAAGATTATAATGTTCTCCATTACCTTATAGCAAAACCACCCGTTCATGCAACTGGCGAGGGCGGGGCCGGTGGTCTTTGATTAAAAAAAAAAAATGAAACTATGGAGCCGAATTATTTAAACATTTTAAAGGATTTCCGGTACAAATACAAGAAACCAGATCCTTTATAAACACTGTGGGTTTGAAACAGTTTAATAAGTCAGAAATATAGGTTGATAGTGTGACAAGGGCGGATCCGGGGGGGCCAAAGGGGGCCATGCCCCCCCCCCCCCAAGAAAAAACGAAACCAATTTTTTTTTATGTGACATCGCAATAAAGGTGGGCAATGAGTACACCACCATCTTTCTCTCAAAAAAACATTGGTTAAAGTGGTCAGAAATTGCCTCAGATCGCACCACAGAGCATCTAGGATCCAAAAAAAAATCGGGGCCCTTAAGGCCCCCCCAAAAAAGTCTCCGGTTTCTGGTATGGAGCTTGCCCAAAAAGTGGTGCGGCGACGCGGCTTTTTTTTTTTTTTTACCTGTTTTTTTTGCTTCAAATGTCGGCTGACGACTGCAAATGGTGCCCGACTAAACTTAGTGCAAATATATGGGAGTCCAGAGAGGCCACACAAAGCTTATTCTCGATCATAACCCCATCTAAAAACACGTTAAAATTGTGCAGCAGCAGGATTCCAGTCAAACCAGTGAGTTTGGCGGTTTTGAGACATCATCTTTTATTGAAAAAAAAATAATTTCATTTTGCCGACGCGCATGGCTACGGCGACGCGCGCGCATACCAGAAACCGGAGACTTTTTTTTTGGGCCTAAGCGGGCCCCGAACCCCACGCCGTAATTTTTTTGACCCACTTTTTTGGGGGACAAAAAAAATTTTTTGGCCCCCCAAAAATTGTGTTCTGGATCCGCCCTTGTAGTGTGAGGACATTTGGGCACTGACCGATATAGCGCAGCGTGATTTTCCGCAGAGTCCCCCAGGGGCAGTGCGCGCAGCAGACGGTCAACATCGCAGGCCGTGCTGGCGCGCGGCTGGTACCGCCACCGTGTTTCAATGACATTTTGTAAATAGGCCCTCAGTTTTCATCATTTTAGTTTATTTTCAGCCCTAACAATGTGTTATTATATTTGTTTTCTCTTTTGTCTGTCGTTATTTCCGTTAAAGATTTAAAAGTTTTTGAAGGTCATATATTTAAAAAAAAATAAGAAAAATATTAGTAAAGTTATTTGTTTGGGCTGGGACAACTTGAAAACGATGCCCTTCCTATCTCCCTCCATTTTTTTTTTAGGGGGGGGGGGGTGGGTGGGGGCTTTTAAAAAATTATGATTAAATATCTGTCAAAAAAGAAATGGGGGGCGTCCCCACCCGCTTCCTTTTTGGAGGCCGCCTCCTTTTTAATTTGATAAAAAAATGCTACATTTTAATCAGTGACATCATTTGGGTCTGTCGCATCTAATCCATATAAAGCTGGTTTGTCATTTCCCCCGAGTCCAGGTGGCCGCCATTACAAAAAAAAGCTGTCACTTATAATTTGGCTCCATAGCGTTTCACTCGCACCGCGACCGCAGGCAATGTATTCCCCTCCATTTTTAAGATGGCTGCTGAATGTAAATAATTATCCAGGGGGCGAGTCAGCTAGGAGGGGAGTTGGCGAGGGGGCAAGTCGACTGGGGGCGAGTCGGTCAGGGGCCGTATTCGTATTGTACGGGACGAGACAGTCAGGGGGCAAGTCAGTCAGGGGGAAAAGTCAGTGGGGGGGGGGGCGAGTAGGGGCAAGTCGGCCAGGGGGCGAGTCGGTCAGGGGGCAAGTCAGCCAGGGGTCGAGTTGACCTACAATCCTATTGTTGACCAATGGTTAAGCATAGTTCGACGATGGTTGACTATACTTTAGTCGACCATTTGGACCACAGGCACTACGTACAGCAGGGAGCCAGCACACGGCCAGAAGTTTTGTGATGACATTTTGACCAGCATTTGACTTGAGACGTTCGCACGTTGCTGTTAGTGCGCTAATTGACAAACCACTATATCGACAAATGGTCCTTGCCCAAATTTGCTCATTGTTGATATTCAAGGATCCGTAGATGGCAAAGGGCGAGGGATGCGTAACATCACTAAAAATTCATCTTCACCCCTCAACTCATCTTTGATCGAAGATCGTTTGTTTATGAGGATTCAACTCCAGGGGTAATTCAAACAAAAGAAACCTCCATTTAAGAAAGGCACGGAACAATCTTTTTATTCATAAACGATTATGTAACCACTTAATTTTACAACACAGCTTGGTAGTACAAACCTGGCGTAAAATTCACTACTTTTTGGTTGGCATAGTCCATGATCACACTATCAACTGTTAAAAATCACCAATATTTAATACAAATAACAGTAAACCAAGTCAAACACAAATAACCGGAGAGCCTTATTTTGGTCATCTCCACAAAATCACAAATCGTCATTTTTCACAAAGAGCCAAATTTAGTGCACGGAGATATAGGAAATTTGCCTCCTAGTGAAAAATGATGAAATGTCATCAATTTCCCCAGCACCCCCCCCCCCCCCACAAAAGAAAAACAACGTTTAGACTAACCTACATCAGTGTATGGCACTGTTTCAACATAGAAACCAACATGAACTGCTGTTTCAGTTCTAAGCCTTGTGCACTTCTTTATGAACTTCACAAAAACTGATGACAAGTGCTTTAGAATATGTACAATAAACACAGAATTACGGATCTAGACACATTTCTGATTAGCAGGCAGCACTTAGGCTCTTGAGGGCCTTCCACACTAGGGACCAGTGTGGCTTGGAAATACATGTAGTGGCTTATTAAATCACTATTGCGTTGGCCCACACACCTATATCTCAATTTTGTGATGTGATATGTGCATTGCCAGTAATGTACCCGATAAAATAACCACACAAACTGGCGATTTAACAGGTGAATTTTTCTGAGCCGTGTAAGTACCCAGAATGGTCCCTACCGGCTAAAATTTCAATGTTGGACCAGGATCCAACACAGAGATTTCTGCAACCCATTTCACGCCAACAAGAATCCAACAGCGCTTCTACACGGGTCCAGCACTGTACGCAGGTTAATTCCAACCATGGTCGGGACCAGGGTTGAGTGGTTCTACCGGGGTAAAAAATAAACAATTTACAGTCAACCTGTGTACACACTGTTGTAAATATGAATGATGAGCCTTTCGTACCCGCGTTTGATGTGACCCCGTTCCACTTATGGTGAATCCAAGTTGATTTCAACATGGGTAGTGTGAAAAGGGTTTCAGTGTCAATGCTAAACTAGAAATTTGTTTATTTCCTTCTTCAAACATAACAGGTCTTTGTGACATTCCTTAACCCTAACCCTCCTCAATCCTCCACAATCCTCCAGGCGGTTTTGGAGGATTTTGGAGGTTTGCGGCTGAATGGCAAAAACTGTCGGTTGATTTTGAAGACTACAATGGTGTAGAGTTTGTAGGCTGTACCTATCATTGTTTATGTTCAGTCATGCATAATTGAGCCCCGCATTACGCTTGATACCACCCGCACTGCTTCTGAATGTCATTGGCGCTGCCTCAACCAATGAACAGTATGGTTGGAGGATTTTGAAGGATTGAGGCAATGGTCAGCCCTCCACTGAACAAATTCAAGAAATAACGGATGATTTTGGAGGATTGAGGCCGAGTCTAATGTGTAATGGTGGCAATTGGAGGATTTTGGAGGATTAAGGGTGATTCATAGCCAAAAGGGCCTATGGGTTAGGGTTAAGAATCAAAGAATACAGTTTTCTGGATGCTAACAACCCAATAGGTAAAGAATGTTGGCAGTTCATCGCAAGGCTCCCGAACGAAACTGCCGTTCTCTTCAGAAAGTAATTGTTGCTTCCAAGGAAAAAGCTCAAGGCACTGGAAACTCCTGCTCATGTTTTAAGTTCCAGGGTCCACCATCGAGTCAGAGACTTGGACTAAGATTTTCAAGAGTTCAGAGCTGCCTGTGGCAGAGGGGCTATATTCTCTCCAGCACTTCTAGAAGGATGATACTGTTTCCCCTGATTACCTGCAAGAAATTACAAATGTAAACAATCAATCTTCGTATCTTGTTCTTATTTTATTGTTTTGCCCTAGCAAAGCTGTGTTCTTAAAGGGTAAAATGATGTATGTCTGAATTTATCTTTAATCACATGAGACCTGAGAGGGTAACCTAAGTTCAGTGTATTCATATGTATTGGACCATTTAATCCGAAAAGTGTCGAAAAATCTTGAAAACAATACTGAACAACACCATTATAACATACACTGCTTCACTAAACATTCGGCTACAATAACCATCCCATTTGGCTCCCAAAATGTATTTATAATATTACCAGGATTGGTAGTTGAAATTAACAACAACATACAACCACTACATGTATACTTAAAATCTTAGAAATATACTGATATAAATTGAAAAACTGTGGATCCCACTGTGTTTGTTATTGTGTAGTTCTACAATGTACTTTATATGATTTGGATGGAGGTATGGGGTGGCATCAACATCTGTATTTTCAGATTAACTGTAGTACTAAAATAATGTCTCTGATGAATGAAACGTAGTACAAAATTGGCATACGCAATGGATGCTATCGTATGCAGATTTCAAGTGTGCTTAATCAACTCATAAAAATTCTATTTTTGAAAAAAAAACTTTTGAGAGGATGTGGGAGCTTACCACCATGCCAATGTCGTACTTCTCACCACCAGACAGGTTCTCAACGGTCTCGTCCATGACAAGGTTCATGAAGGGATCAAAACCTCGCAGAGTGCCAGTCACCCTGCGATTGCTGTTCAGCTTTACTGCAAATGAAAATAAATGGAAACAAAAAATGAAAAATCTTAAGAATTAACCCAAATTTTTAAGGTATGGTTGGCCTACTACACTTTCAAAGACCTTCTATGTGCAGAAACCAGCGGCAAAATTCTTCGTCCTTAAAAGGTTTCAAGGGCATCAAACCCTTCCTAAATAGATAAGTTGGAAGTTGGGCGGTATCTTCCACAAGTCTACAAGATTCCCCCCCCCCCCCAAAAAAAAACCTCCGTTGTGGATACTGAGGGATATTTGGGGGCAGCGACGAGGGTTACTAAAGGCATATAGGATCACTTGCATTCTAAGACACAAGTGACAGAGAGTGAGTCAGTAAGTCAGTCTATGGGAGTCAGTCAGTCTCAGTCGGGGAGTTGGGGAGTCAGTCAGTTAGTTAGTGAGGTACATGTAAGGGCAAAGGGGAGTATAGGCTGGCCGACTCAGACCAGCAGAAAAACATTACTTACATGATAATTTCTTGTCCATGAACCTGAAACAAAAGAAAAAAGCGCATTAGTCCACCAGAATTGTAAAATATCTTTTTTAACAAAATTCCCGGGGCTCAGTAAGACACCTGAGATATTCTTGACCAATGACTGAATCAGTCAAGGTTTAGACGGCAAGATATTAAAAAAAAGTTCATCGTTTTAGTTCATCAAAGAAAGTCCATATATTAATTCGGTATGACCCCACTTTTCGGGATGTGTATCATCGGCAGAACTCTAGTAGTATAAAAGTATAATAAATGTGTTAGGTTTAATAAAACTCCTAGTTTTCACAGACACAGATTGAAGAGGCCAGCATGAATCAATCGCCCATTGCAGACTTTTGTGCATCGGCAGATGGCACGGTATAGAACTTGTGCCATCATCCATTAACCCTAAATCACCTCACTCCTCCAAAATCCTCCTGGCGGTTTTGGAGGATTCTAGAGGATTGAGGATGAATGGTGATTGAATCAAATGAGGATTCTGGAGGATTGAGGATGAATGGTGATTGAAGCACATGAGGATTTTGGAGGATTGAGGATGAATGGTGATTGAAGCACAAGAGGATTTTGGAGGATTGAGGATGAATGCATTTTGAGGCAGGACTGTCTGATGATTTTGAAGGATTTGGCATTGGTTATCCTTCATTTAAACACGAGTGCAAAGTTTTGGGATGAGGAGGATTTTGGAGGATTGAGGATGAATGCATTTTGAGGCAGGACTGTCTGACAATTTTGAAAAATTTAGGCGGAGTTGCAACATTTTGGAGGATTTTGGAGGATTTTGGAGGATTGAGGATGGTTGTAAGCAACAAGGGCCTAGGGGGTTAGGGTTGAGCCTCTGTAGTCTGTACTGATGACATCACACTTTGTTTGCGTGTGCACTTTTCTATGGGGCTACGAAACCGTCGTCCCACTAGGCTCCCATAAGAAAGCACAAGTGTAAACAAAGTGTGACGTCGTCAGTACTGGCTTATTTGCCCATGGTATAATGTGCACAGGATGTTGCATGATCAATTGATCATGTGAAACAATTGCAGAATTGCCACTTATAAATCAACCTCCTAGCCTGCTGAGCTTCGCGATCATACTTGGTTGCCTCCGTTAATTATAATGTTTCTCCACTTTCACCAAGGATCCGCAGACCCACAGAGCCACTTCAGGGTACAGAAATTTAGACTTTTATTGTTTCAGCAGGCCCCATTTACTCAATGTGGCTTTGCTGTTTGTTTTTCGCCCCAGGCAAAGTGAAGTAAGGAGCCATTTTGGGCTACAAGTTGGACTTGCATGCAAGACATTTTTAGAACCCCCCCCCCCCTCCCATTCACTTTACATGGCCATGGAAAAAAACTTTGACAACGGATCCACGGATCTACACAGGACTTTGTATGCGGGCACACTTTTGACCAAAACTGAATGACAGGCAACAGCCGTACAAATGCACATTGTCAAAATTTGATGCAAGCTAGTGAGGGCGCGATTTATCACACCATGAATAATGCAACACGACCCTTTCGTGAACAATGGCTGTAAAAGTCAGCCGAATTCAACTCGAAATTACAAGATAACTAGACCTCTGAAGGTGCCGAATTTAACGTTTTGTTGATATTAAGCAGTTGTAGACGGCATTGGGTGAGTATAAAGTGACAAAATAATTGCGATTTCGAATGGATTTTCAGCTCCCTTAGCAACAGACCCTCCGTCCAAATACCATATCTGTATCTGTGACATTTAATACGGAGGTAGTCCAGTTATTAACGTCACATTTATGGGACTAGAAGCAGGTTCTGACTTTGTTATTAAGAGGGTGAGCGTATTTTTTTCGAAGCATAAATGAACTGGGTCTGAATTCGGAATGTGGAAATAACTTTGCAAACATGTCCGAGTAGTTTCAGTGCATGGTGGATGTGTGGCCTATGTTTACGGAGGTAGTCCAGTAAATTGGCCACATTTATGGGGCTAAGGGCGCTATTGACGAGACAAAGCCGGTCTTGGGCTGTTGGGCCAAAACTACCGCCCCCGGCGGGCACGCGGCGCACCGCGTGACTGACAGGTGAATGATCCATGATGTATCCCATCAGGTATATTGCGTGTTGAGCATTGTTAAGTTGGAACATGGTTGCAATTGCGTTACACAAAAACGGATGCCAGAAGCCTCCAAAAGGAGCTGGAAGGAAGTTACAGTTAGTGCCATGACACAAAAACTGGAGAGCTGAACACGTCACTTGCGCATCATTTTTTATTTGTTGTTAACAATAACATTACATTGGAAAAAATTCCGTACTCGGACGTCACTTTTTTCAATTAATTTTCTAGCGCCAAAAGTTACATCTTTTATGGTTATTCCTCCACTTTCCCTCCTCTACTCTCACCCTCTCCTTTCCTTAATTTCTATTTATTAATCAGTCAGTTACTTCATCGGGATTCGAACCTCTGACGCTTGCTTGATACACGAGACTCTTAACCGCTAGGCCGCGCACGATCGCTGTTGCAATAATCAATCTTTGGACGTATTTGAAGTATCCATTGAAATAAACTAAATATTCATGAGAAAATAAATATTCATAATGACGTATTGCACTATCATTGGCAGGCTCATGCGACGTCATGGTTGTTGATGTCACGTGTATAACGTACCGCTGTCTTTCAGCCACTACAATCAATTTTGACCGGCTGCTTCAAGTTAGTTCTGCACGACGTATGCATCCAAAATGTGCTCTAAAAACACATTTTGAGTAAATTTTTTTCACCTTTATACAGCTTCCTGGATTTCTCTTGGTTCAAATGACAAGGTGAGGTGACAATTAATATGTTTGGCAGCAGATAAATTGAGTCCGAGTACGGAACTTTTCCCGAAAAGAAATTTGGTAACAAGTGCTAACGTCATGAACGTTGTGACTAAGCATGGACTAAGTGTGGTAATCCTTACTTTTAGGACACCTCTATTTTGTAAGAGTTCTGTTCAAAACTGACTTTTGCAGATGACTGTCCAGTACCAAAGTGACTTTTGCAGGCTAAAGAAGTCTTTTTTCTTCAGACAAACTCATGTTACTTGTTAGTTATAATTTTGAACATGTTGAAAGCACTTTCGGAGTAACTATAGAATGCAGGGCCACGGCGGAGCAAGGTTTTTTTGCGCGGTGGAGGCGGAGTTGTATAATGGGAGATTCGAGACAGAACGTATTCAGTTTGTAGAATATAAGTCTAAGTATGAGAACAGATGGGGTGAGTTGTGTTTGTTAAGGTTGGAATGGGCATCAAGTACAATACCTGTATTGTAATGGCTTGTTGAGTGCTGAGTAGGCAGAAAGTGCTAAGTGCAAAGTGCCAAAGCGATGGTGTGATGGGGCACCGTTAGGAAGATGAATAGTAATGGTGGACAAAAGAGGGCGCATTTAATTTGTATAGTTTTGGTATAGGAGGGATAAGTACGTGAGGGGACCCCGGGTGGAGCCTCGGAGTAGCGGAGGCGCGGAGTCGCGGAGCCGTGGAGTTGGAAGGGATTGCGGGCTCGTGAGGGGGCCGCGGGTGGAGCCTCGGAGGCGTGGAGGCGCGGAGTCGTGGAGTCGGGGAGTTATGGAGTTTGAGGGAGGGCGGGTTCGTGAGGGGGCCGCGGGTGGAGCCTTGGAGGCGTGGAGGCGCGGAGTCGTGGAGTCGGGGAGCTATGGAGTTTGAGGGAGGGCGGGCTCGTGAGGGGGCCGCGGGTGGAGCCTCGGAGGCGTGGAGGCGCGGAGTCGTGGAGTCGGGGAGCTATGGAGTTTGAGGGAGGGCGGGTTCGTGAGGGGGCCGCGGGTGGAGCCTTGGAGGCGTGGAGGCGCGGAGTCGTGGAGTCGGGGAGCTAGGGAGTTGGAAGGGAGGTCGGGCTTTTGAGAGGGCCGCGGGTGGAGCCTCGGAGGCGTGGAGGCGCGGAGTCGTGGAGTCGGGGAGCTATGGAGTTTGAGGGAGGGCGGGCTCGTGAGAGGGCCGCGGGTGGAGCCTTGGAGGCGTGGAGGCGCGGAGTCGTGGAGTCGGGGAGCTATGGAGTTTGAGGGAGGGCGGGCTCGTGAGGGGGCCGCGGGTGGAGCCTTGGAGGCGTGGAGGCGCGGAGTCGTGGAGTCGGGGAGCTATGGAGTTTGAGGGAGGGCGGGTTCGTGAGGGGGCCGCGGGTGGAGCCTTGGAGGCGTGGAGGCGCGGAGTCGTGGAGTCGGGGAGCTATGGAGTTTGAGGGAGGGCGGGCTCGTGAGAGGGCCGCGGGTGGAGCCTTGGAGGCGTGGAGGCGCGGAGTCGTGGAGTCGGGGAGCTATGGAGTTTGAGGGAGGGCGGGCTCGTGAGGGGGCCGCGGGTGGAGTCTTGGAGGCGTGGAGGCGCGGAGTCGTGGAGTCGGGGTGTCCCGAATACCCGTGGAGAGTTGAGAATATATTGTGCTAGGGGTTGAAGTGGGAGCTTATAGCATAAGGGTTTAGTGATTTTAATAACTTTGATGGATTTGTTAAGGTTGGGGATGAGTGTCTTCTGAAGTGGAGGCGTGCTGTGATAGGGCAGAAAATGGTAGGAATGTAAAGGGGGGGGTTGAGATTGAAATGAGTTTTGTTTTTGTAAGTTTCGTAGCAGCAAGTGTTTAAGGAATTAAAAGGCAGACCTTCTTCAGACAATAAATGGTTGAAACCGGTTATTGGGCCGTCTTTGAGCAATATTTGGATAGAGGCAGTTTGGTTTGGGGGTTTATGTATTGCACATGGTGGGATGAAGTAGATAAACAATTTGGGGAAGAATAGGAAAGGAGCAATAAGAACTGTACGACATAAGATGAAATTTGCACAGCACAAAAGCATTGGAAATGCGTGTTTATTGATTAATTGAACTGGATTAACTGAAGTATAAGGAATGGAGGAATCTTCAGGTCGATCATAACGCAGCAAGTTTTGTAATAGAAATAGCGAAGCAAAACATGTGTAATGGAGAATAGATAATAAAGTAAACAATAATGTTTAAAAAATATGGGTTGGATATTGAGCTATGTAGCACTGTTAAAGTGAAATATATTTGAAATTGAAAAAACAATTAAAAATAGTACAATTATTAACGCGCATTGAAATAAATGCGGCATGGAAATGCACATAAGTTTTGTAGGGTTACAGTGATGGTTGAGTGGCAAGCCAAAATGAGCATCAATGAATTTGTAAAAACATGTAGCAATAGGAATAGAATAGGTTTTTGGTAGCTTAAGTTTAATTTTTGTACGAAAATTGTAGCGAAATGGATTGGAATGTTACAATGAAAGGATTAGCAAAACAGGTTAAGAAGTATCAGCTGGATTTTTGGAAACACCTAGTTATTGACGAACTGATATCAAGTATTAGGAATGATTCTATGGCGCATTAAGTTTTTGTTATATAAATAACACCAGATGGTATTTAGAATAAGCAATATAATTAAGGGTATATAAAAGTATGAAAAAAACTACTATCTATCTAAAGGTTAAAGAGGTATTTAGCTAAGCTTTGAGGGGAGCAAAGGCAGTGATTAAGGGAAATATATACATTTATTGAATGAGGTAAACGTACAAATATAACAAAGTATAGCGCATATCAAAAGTGCATGTCAAATGAATATTTAGCGAGTATAATAACACAAAGTGAAGAACAAACGTGAAGAAACGTGAAGAAAAGTAGATATCTATGTTATTGTATTTACATTAAATAATGAGATTATGCATACATATTTGTTATGGTGAGAGCGACGTTTTATTAGTATTATACTTGTTGTTGGGCTTGGTCCTATCTGTAGGGACTACCGAAGTTAGAAAAATATGTCTGGAGGCAAGACGATTAGGTTTGTGGGTTTGACTGTAGTGCGTCAACAAGTTGGGCAGCCGTTCTTGTCGGTGGCAGTTCTACAAATATTCAGCCAACTCTGAAGTAGTCTTCAGGCAGATCTTCATGTGCTACTACAGCCGCTTGAATGTTTTGTGTGATCTTCACACTGCAGGGAGCGTCGAATCGTGCTCGGTAGACCTCTTCGTTGACTGTCTGCCAGTCGGTGATCGTGTCTGGGTGCTTCTTGAGGAAGACCATGATGGGTTTGCAGCGAGGGACCTTGATTGTGAATTGCTTGCCGTAGGTTGCTGACTTAGTGATGGCTGTTTGAAATTCGACGGATGTTGTTTGGCGCAGACACCGTGGGCCAGAACTTGTGAAGCTGCGGTATGTAACGATTCTGCCTGGGAAAAGGATGATAGCTCGCAGGACATCTTCTTGAGATGGTTGCAGGCGTACGTCCTCCAGTACAGGGCTGATCATGTTGCTGAGAACCTGCGTGTATGGGAAAAAACGAAATACATGTACAGTTATTGTGAAGGCATAATTTGTGGGTGGCTATTGAAAAAAGAGATAGGCGAATGATGTTTATTAGTGACAAGATAATTTTGATGTCTTATGGCAGTCATGTGTAGTGCAGAAAAAAGGAATTTTAGTGGAATTATAAATTTAAACAGTATGGGAGGTTTCAACTAAATAATGCAACAAGTGCCAACAAGTCTTTTATAAATGTCAGCCAGCTGCAACAACGGTAATAACCGCAAATAAGCGTGAACGGTTGTCAACAAGTATTATTTTATTGTGTATTATGTTGTGCAACAATGAAATAACTAAGATGGTAGAAAAAGCAACACACAACTTCTTTTGCATAGGAAATAAAGTGATAATAATGTCCAAACAATTATTTTGGAGGCAAGTGAAATCAACGGCGTATTTTACCAATATCGTGGCCGCCATTTTGTTTGGATGGCGTTCTTAATTGCGCTTGCGTAGTATGGCCTTGAAGTGTTTATTCTGTAATCATGTGTAATAGGAACCCTAGTTGCAAAAGCGTTAACAAGTGTCAACAAGCGTGAACAAATTGTAATGGTTGCTAATGAGCGTAAACCATTTTTGTATAGACTTGTACATAATGAAAACAGTAGTAAAAGCAGAAATGTACATCTTCTGCAAATTATGTATTACAGTTATAATTTTTTGACAAAGTGGTTAAAGTTACTTTTTTGGAAATTTAAACATTGTCTTTGAGGAAGTAAAGGAATGAGTCATAAAACTGAGTTTTGTTAGAGGTTTGTCTCTGAAATAAAAAACACACAATTACAAATGTTGTAATCGTTATTTGTAATGTATAGAAAAATGTTAATAACACTTACCTGCATGAATACTGTTTTCTGGGCTTCGCAGTGTTCGACGAAAGTCAATGCCGCTTCTAAACTGGATAGGTCAATCTCAGGCGGTGGTGGTCCAATGTTGTCTTGGCCATCAAGAAAGGCGGAGCAGGTGTAAACGAACACATGGATGCCAGCAGCCAACCGGACTACGAAGTCGAACGTTTTCGACTTGGGTGGGACGAGGCCATTTTTGATGGCATTGTTGATGTCAGCAATGATGTTTGCATTGATGTCTGAGAGGCGTCTTTTCGCAGCGTCGGTGAAAGTGAAGGTGTTGATGGTGTCCAGGATATCATACATGGCCGAAACCAAATCGGAAAACGAAAAGTTATGTTCTTGCAATGCAGCTTGTGCTGTGACTGTGTCGTCAGGAGTCGGTCTGAGGCATTGAGGGACGTGTATGAGGAAACGATCCAAAAGTCCTTGACCTTTATTAAATGCCGTTAATAGTGTGGCTGCTGGTTGCATCTGGGTTCCACCAAGAATTGCGAAGGGTAGAGATGATGGGATGGTTTGATCGTTTTTGGTGGCGAAAGTAAATGTGACAGGCTCTCCGGAAAACAGTTCGCAAAGTAGGGCGGGGTCGCAATCGTCTGCTTTGGTCAGTCTTCCGAGGGCATCTGAGATTTCTGAACTAACGATGAAGCCGCTTTTGTTGTCGGCTAGTTTCTTCCCGAGACCGGCGGCGGTACATTTGTTCAGCATGGGATTGGCGATGTCTTTTTGGTTGAAAAGTTCCAATAGGGGATCTGTCGTGATGGCTCGAATCGCTTGTGTCTTGCCAGTTGATGGGGGGCCGATGAAGATGGTGAACATATTCGCTTTTTGTTTACCATGAGGAAGTTGAACGTCGCATTGGAGACTTATGAGGAAGCAAACGGTCGTGAGGATGCTGGACAACACATAGCCAGCACAAGTGCTAAGGCTATCTGCTTGCGTTTGGACGTATGTCGCCACTGGCCGAGGGAAGACTCCCTGAAGATCAAACTCCATTGAGCTTAACCGTTGGTGTAGCGAACACCAAGTTTCCTCGCGTTGTCGAGATATTTTAGTTTGAGACATTTTGAACTTCTTTCAGTAAGATACCATGTAGATGTGATACACGACGAAACAAAATTTGTGACTTTATTATGTTGAAGGAGACTTAGTGAGCAGTGAGTTAATACGTAGTTTAATGGGAACGCACGACAAAGCTTATTAGTTGATGACGTCAATTGAAAAAGGAGTTTCTATTGGGTGGTTGGGACCGGAGTGTGTAATGTTGTATCCAATCACAAAGCGATAACACTGTTGCTGTATTGAATGTGATCAATGCAAGGCGCTGAATGAAATGAAAACTCAGTCAGGTGAAGAGGCATAGGCCTTTTATATTTGTGTACATTAGCGTAAAAAAAAAATTAACACGTCAAGTGAGTGTTTGCTTTTGGGAAAAGAGAGAATTTACAGTGTTCTCCCTGTATGATAAGTTTGTGAGTTGGCTAGATGGCTGTAAGATTGTGGTTATTACAGCGTGCATTTGATTGTAAGAAATCATTGTTACTTGTCACTAAGAAACAACATTTGACGGAATTTTAGGATAACAATCATTTTGCCCTCATAAAAATGGCTTCCACATTTTGTTCGAGTTGGAAAAGACAGCGAATGTTATTTATGCACTATCCATGTATAGTTGTAGATTACCCTAGTAATGCATATTTTAGAAAAGGAAGCATCCATATCCATCCGTATGCAGATTAATGGGACAAATGTCCCCCCCCCCCCGCCCCCATTTTTCCGAAAATTAGAAATGGAATTATTTTTTGTGTTTTTCTGTAGTCTGCGCTACATTTGCGTAAATCTTGCATAGGCTTTTGGGCCATGCGTGTGTGAATTTGGACACTGATAAAACGATGTCAATCAGCGCTTTGTGCGTAACGACCAATTACGGTCTGTATAATATAGGCATACATTTAGCAGTTAACGTGTTTTCCCACGAAAAGTGTGTGTGAGTTATTGTAAAATATATATTTTGCATGCATATTTTCGCCAATGAGGTTAATGCTGTACACTATATTATACACAGCCACAACATAAATGCTGTATACTACATCATAACTGTTTGTTTGAAAATGTGTTACCTTATTTTGTATGTAATGTACGTGTATTTTTTTAACATTGATTCAAAAATACAGGGTATCACTAGTCCATTGAATGCATGCCCATCCTAGGAGGACTTGTATTCTTTTGGTAATTGCAATAGTTCTTGGATGTCATTGATGCCCGCTTGTGATTTTTTTTAGGGGTGGGAAAGGTATTTTTTTGTTATGATACGAATTCGCTTTAGGTCATATGTATTTGTCGATTTTCAAGGGGGAGGGGGAAATGGTGCTACGTTGGTGATATGTATATGGTCTATTTTTAAGGGGGGGGCAGATTGTGCTAAGTGGTTAAATATTTCCCCCCCCCCCCCCTAAAAATAAACAAAGTTGTCTTTTTGCACTCAAACATTGTGGAAACATTGTTTTAAAATTGCACTTTGTTTTGGCTATATATGCAGCTGTGGGGAAGATGAGCTCTTGATAATGTTTGCAAACGAAGCAACACAAAACGACATGCTAAGGTATTAGGTGTGCTTGTTTTTACTCATGGTGGGTTATGTGGAAACAATTAGCAGCACAGTGTTTCGTTGAATTTTAGACCTAATTGAAATGTATCACGGGTGCACAATCTGCCGGCTTCGGGTTGCGCAACTTTGCCAGTTGAATACTGCAAAGACTATAAGATTACATATTGTTAAAAATGCCGACAATATTAATTCATTTGTGTAATAACAAAATGCTTATTAAAAAAAAGACCCAATAATTACAAACCATGACTTTGTCCCATGTAGAATTTGTTTGCAAAGACAAAATGGCCTATCAACAAAGCAAACAAATAATTTTTAAACACGCCTTTCTCCTATGAATTTGGGCGGGCCATGTCTTCAGACAATCATCAGTAAAGGCGTTTTCCAGTGATCACAGTTGTTATTAAAATGTGTTATAAAACGCAACCCTCGTAAAATAATGACCGGTCATACAGAGGACGAGACGTATGTTTTCTGTTCTATTTCAATACCTCAAAGTTTGTTGATGTCAATGACAACCGCTTTCAAAAGAAAACACTTATCCCTTTAGTGGGTAGCCACTTTCTATAGATAACACCTATCCCTTCAGTCTAACGGGCGCAAGCCGCTTTCAATGGGTCACTCTTATCCCTTCAGTTTTATAACACCACCGGTACTCGCTTTCAATTATTGTGAACACAAATGAACACATTTTCCTACAAACATTAGTAAAGTATAGTACACATCAAAGAGCGTCCACACAGAGGACAAGGAGTGTTCCTTTTGTTCAATATCAATAGCTCTGAGTTGTATGGTACATGCCTGTAAGTGTTAATGAAGAGGTGGAGTTTCAAAGTTTTCGTATTACCTAGGTTAATTTGTTTCCGGCGACGCACAAATAGCCGACTGGGACTGTAACTTTTGTAAGGTTTTTAGGCACGCTGCAAACGTTCAGCTGCTGCTGACTTAGTTTCAATATTTCAATGTAATTATCACGAAATAAGTGTACATCACATGTGCGTCACTGTCTTCAGTTGGCTGTTTCCTTTTAAACTGTGCAGAATGCATTGACCAGTGGTCGCGCCGGGTCGTTCAACACTTTTGGAGTATTGGCGTTCAGACATATTAGTCGAAGAAATAATGTTACATAGGAAATGCAAGAGTTGGACACATTGTATGATTAGAAAGTTGTAGCCTTAGGCCTTGTTTAATTCAACTTGCGTAAATATACGTATCCTTTAGGTAAAAAAAATTGTTTCGTGCAAACACCAATACGTGATGGCTATTATTTTGTGACGTTGTAAACCGTTTTTGTCAATTCCAAGGAATATTTATCCGCGGGACCTCCGTTATTATACGAGAACATGTATTTGGATATGGATGCGCCGTTCTCAATAAAATATGTTTTGTATTTACAGTAGTACAGCTTTAATATCTGTAAATTCAATGTACAATGTATCAGCCATTGAAGGTGTACAAATGGCAACTACCAATGGTGTACTTAGGAAAAGTGATTATTATGTGAATGTTCTTTGTTTGTTGGTACTTTACCGGTTATACCATCAATAGTTTATATTGTCGTAACATGCATTGCCTGACGATTGCCAAAGTAGTACAGTAGTTTGCTTTTTGTGCAATCTTAGTTTTATAATGTAAGCTACTAATGAATTCGGAGGCAGGCCTTTTTCATATGATTGAGGGCGCGATTAGTCATGTTTTAGACAATCAGTATTATAGACGCTTGCGACTGATCACACCTTTTATCAAAATGTCTTATAAAAGCCAGCTGTAAATGACTGTACGTACAGAGAAAGAGTCGGATTTGTTCTGTGCCATTTCAATGCATGTACGTTTGATATTGTCAATGATAGCCGCTTTCAATGGCTCACACTTATCCCTCCAGTCTAACCACCAGTAGTCGCTTTCAATTCATTACACTTAGCCACAAGTAGCCGCTTTCTTTTGGTCAGCCCTATCGTTTCAGTTATGAATAGTATCGGTAGTCGTTCAATTATTGATCACAGCGATTAGCACATTGTCAGACAAACATGACAAAAGCGTTGTCCTCATCAAAGACCGTGTTCACAGAGGATTAGGCGTGTTCGTTTTGTCAATTCAATACCTTTGCGTGTTTTGGTAGCTATCTGGAAGTTCTGAATAAAAAGCGGTGTTTTGCAAGGCCTTTATAAGTATTATGACTTCGGGGAATTGGTATAGGTGGTTCCAGAAATGCTGACCAAGAGGGTCACTTTTGTTGAACACCATAATATGTTGTTATGCAGGGTGCACTTTGATGCACCCGATAGGGATAATATATGGGTATGTCTTTGTCCATTAGTTTGGGTGTTGGCTATTGGTAGTAGGCGTGCCTTTTGTAACATGAGAGGTGTGAAAGTCAAATCCGGTTGTGTTTTTGGGAGGTAAAGTTCGGAAACTGTCTGATGTAGCTGACAATAGGAAAGGTTGTTGGTGCCTTGTAAAACATCATAAAGGTTGTCGTGTAAAATGGACGTTAATTTTGCCAAAAATTGTAATGCAGGAGTCGGTCTCGTAATAGTCAAGTTTGTTCGATTGATGGTTATGGAAGTAGTTGGAAATGATTTTTCAGGGTAACCATCCTTTTGAATAAATAGAGGTGTGAATATCTGAATAATAATTTATGGCCAAATATATTCCTGTACAGTTGTAGGAATAATTTTTTTTTTCGCACGACATATCCATATCCATATCCTTTACAATGGGACAAATTCAATAATAATATATGATCCTTACCTTGACAGTTATATATGACTTTAGGAATAAATTTGTTGGAGAACGAAGCCAAATATCCAAATTAATGTCTTCGCACATAAAAATGGTCTCCACATTTTGTTCGTGTTGGTAAACACATAAAGTGTAATTGATGCACTATTCATGGATAGTTGTGCATGACCCCAGTAATGCATTATTTAGTAGAACGAAGCATCCATATGCAGATTAATGGGACCAATGCCCCCCTCCCCCCCTTTTACTCAAAAGTAGCATGAAAACAATCAAGGAAATGAAAAATACTGCGTTTTATTATCGCAATGAAGTACACGAGGCAAATTTTTCATTAACTTAGCTATATTGGCCAACTAGTTTATGGATGGAATTACTTTTCGTGTTTGTCTGTAGTCTGGGCTATATTTGCGTAAATCTGGCGTAGGCTTTTGGGCCATGCGTGCGTGACTGTGGACAAGAAACTGAGGTCAAACAGCGCTTTGTGCGTAACGGCCACTTACGGTCTGTATAATATATAGGCTTCGGCATACATTTGGCATCTATCGTGTTTTAGTATGAAAAGTGTATGTGAGTTATTGTAAAACTAAATGTACCTGCTCTTCTCGCCAATTAGGCTAATGCTGTACCCTATATCATTCACAGCAACAACATAAATGTTGTATACTACATCATAATTTATTGTTTACAATGTTTTTCCAGAATTTTGTTGTATTTAAGCTACTTGTTTTTATTGAACAGTGATTCTAAAATACACGGTATCACTGGATAATTGAATGGCCATCATGTAGGCCGACTTGATTCTTTCGGTTATTGTAAAAGATTTTGGATGTCATTGATGGCCGCTTTTGGAGGTTTCTTTCTTAGGGGAGGGGGGAAGTTTTTTTTGGATGCTATGAATTCGCTCTAGGTGATATGTATATGGTCTATATTCAAGGGGTTGGGAAATGGTGCTACCTGGGTTAAA